GAAAAGCTGAAAGGTCGGGATAACATTATCAGGAATAGCCACTGGGCAGAATGAACAGAATGGTCACTCATAATTCCCCATTTGGGGTAATAACATACTGTGGAGTAACCACGGCTGGACTCTGACTCAAAACGTGCTGTAACACTGCTGTAATTGTATAAACTGTGGGAGATGCAACTTGTGTGTGTCTTCTCCCATTGTTCTCCAGAAATGGACGTTTTTGTCACAAATGAAACTCATCTCAAAGCTTAAGTGGATACAAGCACTGTGACTCCTTGTATCCCCACATTAATGACGATTGGTCTTTTTAAACCCTTGGTTTTTTTAAAGCAAATCTGATAATGCTCTTTGAAACTTTGCATTGGATTATGTTAAAAACAGCTCTTTTGAGTCATGTAATTGGGCAATACTAAAAGAATAAGAGTACTAGCTAAACATAATTTTAACTTCAGATAGAAAGTACAAGAAATCTGTGTCAAGGCAGAGTACGTAATACCTTCTTGGACTGTTAAACACAGATGTGTTGCTCAAATTTGGACATATTCAGCACAGCACAGCACAATATAGCACAAATTGGGCTGTATTGACACCTGTGAGGGTATGGGTTAATAAAATTAAAACTGAGATCACTTCTTCAGAAGTTATAGCTTCTTCAGATTCATTATTACTTCTATAAATGAAAGCAAGAAAGGATTTTCAGAGCAACAAAAATAAAAGCTTTTATTCTGTTCATTTGAATATAAAACAGGCGTTATCACAGATGTACAAAGCGTACTGGTGGTTTAAGATATAAGAAAGGTTGCTATCGTTTTAGCGAAGAAAACAAAATCTCAGTTGTGATTGGTTGAGTACATAAAATATCCTTAACCAATCACCAGACTCATTGAAATAACGCTGCTAACATTCAACTGATATAAGGGACAAACTCTCCCTTGGGTAAAGTGTCAAGCAGGATTATATATCATAAACAAGCACCATGAGGAGTCTGTTCCTGTTTTTAACTGGTTTGTGTTTGTATGATTGCAGTGTACCTTCTATTTTTTAAAACTTGTGAATGTACGTTTTTTAAGTCCCAACTTCAAAAGCACTAGGTCACAACACAATAAACATGTTTTTGTACATTCTGATACATGGTTTATCTACAGTACGAATTCTAATACAGGCCAATCCTTTATTGCTAAGACATACTGGACTCATAATTGTTGTTCCTTCCATTTTTTTTATCTTTGCAACAATACAAAAAAAAGGTATTTACTATGAGTACCCAATGTTACAGAATTTAACTCTACAACAAAATGACAGGTTGAAGAAGAGATTCAATTAAGAATGGCAAATCGTGAGGAGTGAATCCTAGTGTTCTTTTTAGGATTCTAAACTACAAAAAGCCACTAGTAATAACTTAGTATTGAGCGTTAGCAGCTAACTGTCTTGGCTACTATAACTATATGTTACTCTGGGTCATGATTCACCAATTACAATCATAATTGTAAAACATTAATTCAAAACCTGTGACATATTATGCGGGATAAATATAAAATTGTGACTTGCACACTGCAAAATACCAAGGTCATCTTCAAGTACAGGAATATAGTTTAAACAGTAACAATAGAAAATCTGTAATAGCTTTAGGTGGGAGGGTATGATCACTGTATCTGCTGTCCTGAATGCAAACTTAGACTTTTCCCGGTAAAAACACTTTAGTGCACCTGAACTAGTGAATTTAGGCAGCTATTTTTTCAGCCAAAATGGCTGTTAAAACATGACTTAATACTTTTAACCAGGTGTACAAAACATGTTTCAAGCAAACTTGCACAAACATACAAAAGTGACTAAGCAGATTTTCCAGTAGCTAACAGATATTTACAGACACTTTGCAGATCCTTACACAAGAGGTCTAACTTTCCAGGCAAAGAAATTACATCACAAAATGTTGCAAAATCAAAATTCAAATTCATGTGCAGTTTCTTTTGTTTCTTAAATTGGAAAACATTTCTTTTATTTGGGAATAACATTACCAACGCTTCCATACGTCACAAAGTGCAAGACCGTTTTCTTCTGTTTTTAAAAGAGCAGTTTGCATTTTCACTAAAAGCTCATGTAAATCACCTCCCTCAAATGAAATGAAAACCCATCGAAAAGGCAAATTTATCTTTCCCATTATAGAAACAACATAAAATTCCCCATTGTGTATAGATTGTTCTATTTTCAGCCATTCAGACAATTTGAAACGTGACATGGATAATAACTGACAATAAAAAGGAAGTCTTTGTTCCACATTGTTCACATCATGACTTAAAACACAGGTTATGCAGTTACAACAACAAAAAGTGGACTATAACACTAAAAGTCTGAAATTTGATATGGTGTTTTAGTCTGGAAAACTTTAAAAAAATGAAGCTGCTCACCGAAAGATACCACATTAATTCAACTGAATTAATTAAGAACCTGATATAAATTTTTATTGTTGTATTTTCTCGGCTCTATGATCCCTGCCACCCTATATGGGAAGAATGAGGAAGTGAGTACAGGCAGACTCTTCCAACCTTCTCACCCAGGAGTCAACTGGAGACCCGGGAGACCCCAGACCTCTTAACCCCACCCTACTCTCAAGTCAATAGCACACTGCAACTTTGGGTATCCCAGTCACAGTCTGCTAGAGCTCTGGCTGCACTTGGACAAGTGCCTTAACCGATTGAGCCACTAGGGTGCCCCACAATCAGATATCATTTAAGGAATCTAATAAAGGGAATTAAATGATTTTACCCTGACTGTGGCACAAAAAAAAAATCCAAGACATCAAAATATTGCTATATTTTTTTCCCATCACATTAAAATCAAAAACATTGTTTTCACTAACATCATATTTTAAGTTAGCTATTTTAGAACTTTCTTGAATGTCCGGTTATCCATTATCAGTAAGACACTTATTTCTGGTCATGGTTACAGTGAACTGGATCCTAATCTAGAAGTAAAAGACACAAGGTGGCACTATACCACAGACAGGACACCAGTCATATATTCTATAGTTATTGATTTCAACATTTACAACTTGGAGCAAATACCGAGTATCTCATGTAAACACTGAATCTCAAGGGAGACTAATTCAGAGTCGATATATTCACATTTTGTTATTGCATGACTATCACTGCAATTTTGTTTTACATAAACATGTGTCATGCTGACAATAAATTGTATTAGCAGAACAACATATGTTAGATGTACCAATCCTGTCTAAGCTTCAATGTATTTATGGGGTGTGATTTGAAGATTGTAAACATTACCACACATGACTAAATTGCAGCATAAACAGATACCTAAAATGCCCCCCCCCAAAAAAAGGTCTTTAACAGTGGGAAAACAAAACAACAAAAAAAACAGCCAAGAAATTAGGCCACATGTTAAAAATGCAGAGTGAATATCTTAACACCATTGAAGGTTCAGAAAATACAAAGGTTTAATCCATCCCATTTATGTAGTTATGAACCATTAAAATGCATTGTTTTAAAAGCTCAACGTTTTTAATGCCTCACTGGGAAATTAAAAAATAAATTAATACAGAGATCAGAATGAAGGCACTGCCTCTGTGGATGTCTTTACAGAATACAGAATTTTCTTTGACTAATGGCAATCATTGCCAATGAATAAGCGGGAAGAAAATTCAGCTGGCTGCAGTTCAGATCCACTGCCTCTCATTTAAAAAAAAAAGAAAATCTGGAGATAGTCAAAATCAAATGAAACTTTAAAGAATCAAGAAATGTGGAGTTTTGAAATTTTGAAAATGTCTATTGGTATACCCACACACAAAATTAATGTACATATTAGTTTCTATAATTATCTTAAATTTCTGTATTGGTGCCATAAATCCAAGTTTGTTCTTTGTATAAACCTTTTGCTTATATAACACAGTAGTCATTGTTTTCTTTATAGGGGTTTCCAAAAGTCTTTTTTAAGTGAAACAAGAGTAACACTACCCCTCCACCCCACCCAAAAAAGTACCAATTTATTGTGGGAATGACCACTCATCCTCAATAGAGTTGATGTATAAAACCATTTAGGAATGATGACTTTTCTATATTTACAGTCTCTCAGTGCTCATCATCTCCAACCTGTCATTTCTGAATGCCTAACAAGAGTTTCACATGCCAGCACACACATTTACGAAAACCACCATTCATGCCAACAACAGAATCTCCTTCAGATATTTTGATGTTTAGAATATTTAAGCAACCATCTTCAAAGACAGTTAGGTTTTTCACTTGCAGGTATCGTTTGATTGGAGGACTGTGAACTGGGAACACCCTGACTTATCCTTTTGGACTTGTGTGTGCCATTCAAACAAAGCAACAACATTTGTTTTATCTACAACAACAGACACCATGCAAGTGAGGAGTACTGCAATTCAAAACATTTTCATTGGTGAATCCTAGGACTTTTTCAATAGATATATTTATATATTTATATATTTTTATATACTTGATGTGATACTTTTCACTCAAGATAATACAATGTTTCGTTTTATATTAGCAAATATTTCAAGAGTAAAACATTCTTGAATGTCTTCTCTCATATACTTCTAAAGAGACAAAATAAATTAAAACTGGTTTTTGTACATAATTACATGATATGAAGTAACCTAAGCGTTTTCCTTCCTTATATTTAGTACAATGATATTTAAACATATGAAGACGTAAGGAACGCATGTTGACATTGTTTAAACAATAAAGCTGAGGGAAAAGCTCTCAGGGCTTCCTGACCAGGTGTAACGGAAAGAAAGAGACTAAGAGCCATTGGTTTGAGCAAGGTTGAAAAGAAAAGAAAAAATAATAATTTCGTACCTTTGTACCTCTTCATAACATTTAAGGACAAAAATGGATATGTCCTATATCAGTAACATATCTATATTTGCAATGTTGAATATTTTAAAAACAGTAAACAACTTAAAATACAGTTTGCCACAGTATGTAAATATTTAAAAATACCCTTTCCTCTTAGAGGGCAGATTAAAAAAAAATGAGCAACTTCAGCATACATAACATAACAAAATATAGAGCCACACTTACTTAAAAAGCAATATTATCCAAATGAGCAAGAAACGTGTTCTATAATAGGGGTCTTTCTCCTCTTCCCCTCCCCCCCCCCACCCCCCAAACAAAAATAAAACTGAAGTTTCTGTTGTCCTTGTTTTGGAAACTCATCCGAGAAAACCTAACACATTGTTCTTGCCAATTAGGAGTGCTTCTTCGACCTGTCATTGCACAACCTGTTCAGCTTCTCTAGTCGCTGCAGTCATCCTTCCTTTTTGTTCTGCATGACCGTAGTGAACACCACAACTTGTTTTTGTGTTATGTACATATAGTACAATCCATCAATCCATCAAGGCCTTGAGGCAGCAGGCTACATGTTGTAGGCCACATAAATAGGATCTAGCTGGTCTGCCAGGAATCCATCCCGGAGGTGCATACGCTGTTTCTCGCCACGAGAGTTAATTGGGATGACGCCAATGTCCACCACTACCACAACGCCCACGATAAGGTAATGTTCCTCTAAGACGACATTGGTGACCAAAGGAACAAGGTCCAGGGCTTCTTGCTCTGATCCGTCTAACTCCACGACCACGACCAGCAGGTTTGTCCAGGTGAATACCGCACTGGAAGAGACAACAGAGTTGGGGATGTGACTCTCAAAGCCTGTGTGTGTGTCAATATGAAGTGTGTAGTCAGACCATGTTGAAAGATTTCAACCAAACTAAAACTGTAGTGATTAAAACATTTTTTAAGTAATAAGACATTAGGCCTTCAGACCAGATTAAATTAATTTTTGAAGCTTTCACCTTAATTTCCAATTGACAGAAAAGTACCATATTTGGAAAGCAGTTACAAAATAGTAAAATGCATAGTGACATTTTGTGATGCTGACAAAAACTGTATGGCCCATAAACTGGATTATATCAACAGGAACGTGAAAATAGCACTGCAATATCAAGTCAAATATTAATATCACGTGATATTATCAGATAGATTCTATAGAGTCCCATTATTTTCTTGTAGAGATATTTCAACTAAACAACATATAGATGCTTAAGTTAACAGAAGTGATAATACGGGTGTGACTGCATTTCGCTTTCTGTTTTGCCAAGATGTTTGTACCATTCTGTGATGCTCTTGTGGGTCCTTATTACAGAAGTCTCAATGTCAATTGGATGGTATCTCATCCCTCTGAGCTCCATGGCTTCATCTAGTGCACCAACAACATAAAGGGCATCGTGCCTCTCTAGAACAAAAACAAGAGTTGGTTACTACAAACGTCTAAGAATTTGACCTGAAGTGCACAAAACAAAATATGATTCTGGGGCCCCTTTCTCACCTCCACTTGCATCTGTGAGCTCTGTCCTCCTCAAGAAGCCCAAATAACCAGTCCGAGCCCAGATTGTCTGTGTGTCTCCAAAGCTTAGGCGAGAGTTGAAGTGATCAGACTGCAGGGATTCGTCACCATAGATGGTAAAGTACCCACTGGCGTTGTGGCCACTGTGAACCCAGATCTGTTGGAGAGTAATCAATATACCAGAAGGTAAAAATAAAAACAAAAACCATAGCCTAAGCTTATTTTTTCAAAGCAAACATCAGAAAAAATGCAAACCCTATACAGTATTATTAGCAATATACTGTGAGTTCCAAAAACTAGAAACATAAATGCACACCTTCAGTTCTCTGCCCATTTAAATTACTTATTGTGGTATACCGCATTAATCAAAAGGTTACTGTGTCATATAATCAAATATTAAGGACACGATAAGGCCTCTTTAGTTATTTCTTTTACTGTTAATTGTATTATAATATCCGCAGTCACAGCACATACTGTACATAACCCTGCTGCTTAAAAAAATCTAAAGATGCTGTACTGTCATCATAATCTCACTGCACAAAACAAAAGTAGTATATGTCGAAATTAATTCAATTCCAGAAAGAGGAATTCTCTTTTGAGAGGCTATCTCGTTGTGATATGAAAAAAATTGGAGTGTGCTCTATATGGAGGATCATTGTTTCTCTCCCTGAGCAGTTCCTAGGTGAAGAATGCACTTCTGATCTCACCTCTCCTAGATGCGAGTCTCCCAGGGGCCCCTTGGTTTCAGGATTGGCAATGATGATGCGAACGCCAGGTAGAATCTGAAAGATTGGAGTCCTTCAATAAATCTCACCTTATTCTCCAGAGATCAGTAAAGCAGCTAAGTAACAGGGAGATCAGGGCCCTTAAAATTACATGTAAAATGATGATAGCTTCCGAAAATAATGACTCGCTATTGCTTTTTACAAATAAAAGGTGATCTGCTTGTCATCTGAGAATAGTCTGTGCATGCTAATTGTTTTTTTTTTAGATGAGAGGTCTTCAAACAAGTACAGGTTTTCTAAAAAACTGTAATGATCTTACTGACCTTTCCTGATTCCATGAGAGGCAAACTGTGAGGTGACCCCCTTTCTACCAAGCGAACCCTTTTTTGGAGAGAAAAAAATATACACGAAAACACAAATTAGAAACTGGTTGTTGGGGGTGGAAAACAAAAAACATCCACCTCATTTACTAATGCTGACTCAAAAATGGGAATGGTTTCTTTTTTATAGTAGACACCCGGAATCAACATTTTTATTTGATTTGGTTTTGGCAAGCTGAAAGTTCCGCACAGTCTTACAGAAGCGTTAGTACCAACTAAAAAATGATGAATCATTCACTGATGTTGCTGCAAGCTTGTAGGTGATTGGCACTTTGCAGAGGTCGTTCTCTCCCCCAGAGCCAATAGGATGCTGACTGACTCTGGGAATACCCTGCTGTATGTCTGACACCACGTCACCCAGACTTTTATCAGTGTCTTCTGAGTCATACAGCTCAACAAGTGCTGAAATAGAAGGCTTTAACTGACAAAGCCAACCGGGGTCCAATCACTTGTATTTTGGTCTATGTGTGATAAGAGCACAAACTGAAAACCTAAATGGGTACGGTGCCTTCATCAGAGCTTCCAAATATCCAAAACACAGAAGAAAGTTCAGTTTTTTCACTGGAACCCCTTTTAGCTGACCACCCCATCATCTCGTATTGTGCTAATATGTGCAACCTTCTTTTTCACAACTCCCTTAACTGCCCACAGCAACCATCCACACCAGGTACTTTCCCCAGCAGTAGAGTTTATTGACATATGCAAAAGTGCAATGAAATGCTTTTTTGCATGTATACTCCTATACAAAGACATCAAGGAAACACCAAAAACAAAAACTCAGAACATCGGCAGCAACAACAAAAAGTTAAATAACATACATCTTAGAGACAAAAAACATTAGTGTGAGCCAGTGGGAGGGGTAGAATCCATTAATCTGACAGCTTGAGGGAAGAAGCTGTCTCTGAGTCTAGACGTTCGTGCCTTCATTTTCCTATAATGCTTACCAGAGAGAAGGGAGGAGAAAAGTGAGGAACCAGGATGACTGGTGTCCTTAACGATACTTCCAGCCTCCCTGAGGCAGCGAGTAGTAAAAATGTCTGAAATAGAGGGGAGCTCTTCTCCAATGTTGGACTGGCCTGACCTGACCACCCCCTGTAATGCCTTCCGGTCAGACAACAAGCTGCTGCCAAACCACACTGTAATTCCACCTGGTAGCACACTCTCAATAGCGCACCTGTAAAATGTGGCAAGGACAGTTGAACGCAGTCCATTTTTTTCCAATTGTCTGAGGAAGTAAAAGTCTTGTTGTTCCTTCTTTGTAACTCCATGCTGGGACCCTGTTAATTCATTAGCGATGAGGGTACCCAGGAACTTGAAACTGCTAACCATCTCAACAGCCACCCTACTGATATGAGCACAGATCACATCATCTGCAAATATACTGTATATCCAATACAACCCACCTTCAAGGCTCGGCACAATTCTATCACCCAGATGATATTGCTACATCCCATGCAAAAAATGGCCAGCTATTTACATTGGTGAGACAGGACGGAAACTGGGAGAGTGTTTCAAAGAACATGTCAGAGCTGCGAGGATCACAGATCTCCAAACTGGTAGTTCCCCATTTCACCTCTAACAACCACAATCTTTCCAATCTGTGTCCTCACGGAGGGGTTTAGGAACTCTTACTGCAGAAAGAAATCTGAAACCAAATTGATCCCTAAACTGAGATCACACCCTGCCCCTTCTCTCAATGACAAATTCTTCCTTCTAAATCCTCTGTATTCATTTGCAGATTTTGGCTTTCCACACCTCTCCTCCTGCTCTCCCTGACACACATTCTCAAGTTCTTTATGACCATTTTCCTCCTGATCCCCACCCCATTCTTACATGCTCTGTCTTTAGTTCTTTGCCTTATTTATTTGCAACTTTCCCTCACACCTGTAGGCAGCTCTGTAGCCAAAAAAGAATGTTTTTCTATACCAGCATGGAAAGTTTCTTTGAATGTCAAAAAATAAATAAATTTAGCTTTAATGTGCTTTGTTTCATGGAAAAATTAGGAAAGATGTAATGGCAAAAGGAAAATTGTCTATTTCTTTGGATGATAGGATTAATATATAATTTTGACAAATTAAAATTAGTAATGCCATTAGCGTGTGATTTGCTGCAGTTTTGTCAGCAATGACCAAAGATATCTTGTATGTTAAGTTGCTGTCTGAGAATCCTCCTTTGTAACAGTGACTTTAAAACATACTGAACTGTAAAGAAAAAATGATTCCAAACTGGACACTGGAAACTGGTTCCACAAAAACAAAACAGTATAAGCACTGCATCAGGAACAACGACTGATAAAAATGTAAAACTGAATAAGAAGGGACTACATTGATCTATATATAGTGTGAGATTTTGTAGATCATGTCTAAGATAATGACTACCTCATTTTAACAAAGCTGCATAAAAAAAAATCATCCTAAATTATTAATTTAATTCTGAAATGAAATTGTACCTGAGATGTTTTTTTCATGATTAGCTCAATTTCATTTCACTTGTACAAACAAAATATTAACTCCCTGCTGTGGACCTGACTGAATCAGTGAAAGTATTAAAGAAAAACTCTCAAGAGAATGTTAAGAAAAAATGTGTTCTGAAAGACTTCTGTTTTGTAACAGAAATGCACCCTTACTCAATTTATTTTACAATTAATTTTCAAATTTAAATGGAATGCCAATTTTACCACAAAAAAATCTGGAAATATTCTAATGTCTAAATTTTAAACAACTAAAAAAGTAGATACAGTATAATTTGTTACTGAATCTACAAGTAGTTTACTTGTTAAAACACACCTTGATCATGTCACATCGGTGCCTCAGAACAAAACTTAACATCAGGCCAATGAAGAACAACCTCATTTATAAGGTTACCCTATTCCCCTATATATAATGAAAAAGTACCAGGTTCCCAGGAAAAATATTTTTTGAAGAAAAACAAGATAGAAATAATAACAAACATAGAATTATCAACAACTTTGTCACCCTCCCTACTTCATAAACATTCCACTGTTCATTTTTCCATTGCATTTAAGTCTAAGATGTTTATTCTCAAATACATTTTAAATCACAGTTATTTTACTTAGAATAAAAAAAATGAAAGAAAATAAAGAATTCTATAAATGTCACCTGTATCATATCTCTTGTTTGCAAACTTTACAATGGGCCTGTAGCTGAAACCCCTCAAGCAGGCTCCTAACTTTTCACAGAGACAGCAGGCCATACAGTTTGGATTAATATGTTGATCATGTTTCTATTGACTTTGAAATTCAGGAAATTCATGAATATTTTAAATTATCTGAACTGCAACTTTCTCAAAGAGTGTTATCTTCAATACAAAAATCAGGGCAGCAGGTCTCTACAACACCATGGCTTATTGCTTGGGTGGCCCTATTGATTTGTTTTCTTGAGTGTAATCCATCTGTCTGGTTTCTTCATTGATCCACCCTCTGCTGCCTAAACAAAATTTCAATCCAAACTGCAAACCACATATTTAAGTGAACAAATTCACTTTTAAGTGAGCCCAGTTTTTGAAAACCTGAACCATAAACTAAAAGCTGTGGGGACAACAATGAACATAAGAAACACATATTTTGGGATCCTGTTGAGGGATTTTTTTTTCTAAACAAAATTTCTCTAACAGGTGGCAAAATGTTAGCGAGCACTTAGCGTGAATCAATTTTAGTTGGAATCTTTTGACTCTAGACAAGTTTTTACTTGGATGATATTGATGTCAGTCAATGATTGTAGGTCAACTGCTGAAAGTGATACTGCACAATGGCAAATTAAAAATCTTATTACAAGTTACAAAATGCAATATGTTGATAAATAGGTTCCATTGTATAATTACTACTGAACATGACTGTTTTCTGTCAATCATATCAATTATTTGGGTTATCTTTGGTTGGGTAAAGAATTGTAGTTCATGCCTCTTGAAAACAGGGGCAGATTCAACCTGTATGGAAAAGTCATACAAGTCATCATGTCAGAATGTCTGTAAGCACAAACCCAGGTCTACTCCAAACCATCTTGGTTTTGCTTGGTTTTTATCATCGGTTGTTTTTGTAGTAATTTACTCTGTCTCTCTTCATGTTTAATTTTGCCAATAACGCCTTGCTTGCCAATATACTGTACTGCTCACTGAGGCTACCTACTTACTACAAACGGGAAGAAATGAAAGAGAAACATACATTCTACACTACTGCTGTAATGACGAGAACTTCTACATGAATAGGCAATGCATGTTTTTATAAGATATTTCCTGTTAGACCCACAATTTCAAAATTAATGCAGCAGAAATTTTTATATGGTTTAAATTGTTTTAAAATTTTAGATCAACCACCATTAATTCCCTTACAGATGTGCTGACCTGTTAATGGAAAACATATGTTCTATAAATCTAAAGAAATACTCTACTAAAGTAGCATCTTCCCACACATTAATTCAAACTAATCCAACTTTAAAGCATTCCTGAACTGTTTTTTTTTTCAAAAATGTAGTCAAAGATTCTTTCATGAAGCTATAGTTATTAACCTATTAATAGCTTTGAGATTGTTTTTATTTTTTGAAGAAGGAGTTGCATTATTTAATACTCCTTGGATTAGGAAAAGCAATTATGATGATGAAAATCAATTAGTATTGCTTAGCAAATAAATTAAAAGCATAGCTTTTTTATGTTACATATATCCCACATATGTAAGGAATTTGATACAAAACTTTATACATATATTTATACAGGTTAGACACCAGATAATCCTCTAGTAGACATTTTCATTAAAAAGGGACATAGGCTAAAGAGCTGCATTCTGCAAATGCTGAGAGACGCATCATTCTGGGGTGTACAAAAGATTCAAATATTTATGGGAAGAAAATTAAATATTAAATATATATTTTACTTGAAGGGCTGACATTCAGTTTCTTGCTGCAATGAGGACTTTAATCCACTTTTCTGAAGCTAAAAATGCCAAAACTGGTAATGAAGAACAAATCTTAATTTTAATCTGTTTTCTAGACCTAAACTGTTTGTTGCTTGATGTTGGCCATTGGCTCTGGAGAAAAAGGCTCTGTAATCGAAACCACTCACCTGTCATGCCTCAGAGCTCTCATATCCACATACACAGTAGTTGGGTCTGGTCCTGAAGTACCCTAAAATGAACAGCAATAGAAAATTAAAAGACAAACACCAGAGCAAAGCAACTACAACTAATATAAAAACATATTTCCAATTGCTAATGTGGTAAAAAAGCTCACAGTTGAAACTTGAATAGTATCTGAATAGACGTTTTGAGAGAAAATTCAAACTGGAACATAGGAAAAGACAGACGCCCAGTCTTTTGGAACATTCAGGAGAAAATAGGAAGATAACTATAAAAAAATCTAATAAACAAACAGATGCATTTTCAGGGAAAACAGTAATCAAAATGAAAAAAAAAATAGCAGAATAGACCATGAATAGACCATGATTCTCTTTTGAAGAAAAAAATCTGATAAACATGCAACACACCCAAGCCGCAAGGAAGTTGTAAAAAAAAACCAACAGTGTTCAAAATATATGACAATACTTGAGTCAGGGGGGAAGAAAGAAGGAATATAGAGACAGGTCAATACAGTTTTCTCCCTGAATGACTGCAATGAACTTTATGTAATTCAAATGCCTAACAAACCTATTTTATTCACATTTATTAGGAGACCTTTTGTTTTTACTGAGAGCTTCATTGCTCAACAGGTTACGAGGCTGGACAAGCAGTTTTCTCAAACTTAATTTTCCAAGATGACCCTCACTTATTAATCAACTCTACAGATTCTGTACGGGGACAGACAGGTTACAATTATGAACAAAGCTGTTCGATTCTTTTCAGAATCTTAAAACGCCCAAGTTCTTCTTCAGTCGTGGGTATGCCAAGTATTTAAAAAAATCCAAAGGCACTGATTTTGGGACGTTTTCAATTTGCATGTCTTAACATAACGATTAGAAAATGCCATGAAACTGCATAAAAAACAGAAAGCTCTGCAACATTTGCCATAACAATGCAGCATTTTCTGTAAATCAGCGTGTATTAATAGCTTCATTCAGTAGCACCCCGCCACCAGAGAAGTAGGAAAAGGAGCTACAGTGTTGCACATGCAGATCAAGTTGGTCCTAATCAATATGGCTACAAGCAAACAAAAGTCACAGGACAAAACCTACTATGGAAGTTGAGGGTTAGTGTATCTTAACTATTCAACCTATTTTCAGCAGTGTAACAGACTAGAGCAGAGTGGAGACTCAGGCATTTCCATCTGCTTAAAAAAAAGACTTTAAAAGGAGATTAAGTTAATTGTCAAAGCAGACATCCTATTGCTGGGAGCAGACTGTATACCACCCAAATGCCCCTGTAATCCTTACCATCCAGTCACCAGAAACCACAACCAGACTGGAGGCTTAGTTCAGTTAAGACAAACTTATTCATCTCTGATTGAGAATCACTATTATTTACATCATGCAAGTGGTTCTGGGCTGTAATTTGTTTCTCATGGACTTGAGTTCAGAGTCAACACATTTGAGTGCAAGTTTGCTGCATCCTGGCGAATAAGCATCATAAAAAGAAATATACTGTGCCACATCTGGCAGACTGTGTGCCGTTGAGCATGAATACAAGTAATCATATCATTTGTTTTAAGGTATTGACCTATTTATAGTTTCTGATCATTGCTCATGACCTGCTGGCAGCTGCTACCCATTTTTTTACAGAATACAGTATATGTAAAAAGGAGTATGAAGGTGTATTGCGGACTGATGAAAAAAAAAAGCTCTAAGAAAAAGGAGAACTGTACGCTACATACAGACAAATAATAGAGACAAGTACTTTCAACAATACCATTACCATGCCTTCAGACATTATTATACTGTAGATTAAATGGCTAGATGTATGATAAAACAGCCAAAACCATTATTCATATACCCTTTCCTTGTTCGTTAATCCAGTTTGCTCCTGTATTTATGTACTCTCAGCAAACACACCTGTATCTGTATTTATCCACAGTCATTGCAGTATGAGAGAAAGCAGCATTATTAGCGCAATTCTCTCTGGTTAACATGTTAACTACTGGTTAACATGACTGCACAGCATGAAAAACACAGAAGTGAACTGGATTAAGGAACAGGGAAATAGCATAATGTTCTTAGTAGCAATCTAAAATTAATCAAACGAGTTCAAATTATTTTAAGACTGATATCAAAACAATTAATGGTATGACTTATTGGCTCCCAGCAAAATCACTAGTTAGAATTGGTTGTGGCGGTATGTACTGTACCCAACGCTCAAGGTTTACCAATTATTCCATGCAAGAGTTAATATATATAGCAAATACGAAAATTGTTATTGTCTTTTTCAAAGGGCATTCCAGTCACAGCTGGCCATAAGCTTTTGGTAGCTTCTACACTAAGCCCCCGCTCTCCAGATTCACAGTCTAGTCTGTCCCACTGTTGGAAGCTGATAGGTGGGTAATTAGGGAACACGAAAATCCCCCTACCTGCTCGGCCAGCTTCCCCAGCCTGTGAGGCTATAGCAGCAGGAATAAGAGGGCGAGGAGGAGGAGGAGGAGAAAGAAAAAAGAGGGGGGGAACGAAGACAAAAGGATGTATGAGCAATGTGGGGTGGGGAATGTGCAAAAAGCCGGGAATGAAAATAAATGAATAAAAAAAAAGAAAAAAATGTCAAATACAGAAATGTAAAAAAAAAAAATCTAAATCTCTACTCTGAGTGTTCTGAGTGTTAAAACATTACAGGCCACTAGCTGAGGGTGACTTAAAACTGCACTAAAAGAAACACATGGTGGAGTTTTAAGTGTTCATTTTTTTTGTCTGGAGTCACAGGCTGCAGTGCATCTAGACATCTTTCATGTGGTTTTCAAATTGAAATCTTGCAGTTGACTATTAAATAAAATAAGGATTACAAATAATGTCATGCATACAACAAGGCTTATCTGTTATATGAAAAATGTGCAGAAAATACTGCACCAATGCAAAATTATATCTTTTAGATCTTCTAAAGCATCTTTCAAAAAACAACCAAACCACTTAAAATAACAATTTTAAATACACTGGGCTTTAAAGTATAAAATCACCAAAATGATTTTTAAGTGTAGCTTATATTTTTTTAGCATACTTAGAGACCTTTAAAGGTTAGCCATATGCAAGAAATGGTAAGATTATTACTTAAGAAACTGAAATAAAAACAATACTTGTAATTTATATCAAACTGCTTTGAAGCTGCAATGGTTTGATTAAAAAAAAAAACACTGTTTCAAATGAAGAATAGATGCCAAAATGGAATATTCAAATAAAACTGTGGAACATCAGGAGTAATTAAAAAAATAATGATAAGTATCAATACCCCTTCCAAGAACTTGCTCCTCCTAACCAAATCCTTATCCAGACTGCATATGTAATGACATTTACTCAAGTTTTATACTGACAAGACCTTCCGTTTATGGACTCCTTAGTTTTGTTTCCCTGCAGTGACACAAAATAACAGAGCCCAGGATTTGGGGTAGTGGGTGGTTTCTGCACTATTTTAGATTCATTTTCTAATGAAATCCTGCTTTACTTGGGATTGTTTCAAGCAGATCTTGTAGCTCTTTTTTCATTCAGTTGGACTATATCAAATTGGAAAACTTTTCCAAAAGTAGCATCAGCACAGTAGTAAAAAAATATCAACCCGAGGTCTTCTACTCTCTGCATGCAGTGCTGAAGATGACGTAAGTTCTTATTCTGAACATGCTCGCTTAGAAACAAGACAACTGTATGCAAAACGAACAGTCTTCTCCACATCCACCTGCAAGCTTTTCTTTCATTTTAGCACAAATTCACAGTATGAGTACGTGATTTCAAAACAGAATTTCTAATACAGCCTTGTTGTCACATCACAGTAGGATGATTAACCAAGTCCAGTTGTTTGCTTATAATGCATCATATTCCCCTCGGATACTTGTTTGGCCATTAGCTTGAATTATGCTCCTTGTTAATGATAAAGCCAGTGAGGATGGCAATATCTGGGTTTCATTGTTGCAGGCCCGTATGAACATGTGGCACAGCGTTTGATGGTTTCAGCACCGAAGGAGCCTTCTGAGGAAGGTGTTTCATGAGGCAACAATCGATCACTGTCTGCTGTATAGTTGTCCTGCCCATCTTGACTTGCTCAGCAATAAAGCAAAATGTACAGTACAGGAAACATGCAGACCATTTTTAAAACTTCAACAACAGCTGTTTTGGAACATATTATTACATCTACAGGGTTTCAGAAATTTAGACCAAAGTATCCAGCCACGTGGTCAAAGCTGATTTTGTGAAGCCCAGCTTCCTTCACAAAATGTCTGGGTGGCAGATGAGCTGAATGGCTTCCTATCATTTATAGTATGTCTATTTCATCATTCATGGTATGTGCTATTATCTGAACACATCATGTTTAGGGAGTATTCATATTAATACAAATTTAAAAAATTAAACTTCCCTAAAGGTATAAAAGAGAATGTTATAGATAAACCGAAAAAAATCTTCATGTAAGAAAAGAAACCGAGCGCTATACATTTATTTTCTCTGGCCACTGCTCCAGTGAAAGGATGACAACAGCTACATATATTGTCAATGTGATAAATGAGATAATTATGGGCTAATACAGCAGAATGTCAAAAACATGCACAACAGATATTATAGATTAATGTACTTTGGCCAAAAAAGAGAATTGGTATTGTATTAAGTTTTTCCCTTTAACAATTCTATCTAGACACCAGCAAAACTGTATCCCTTCATAAAGATCGGGAATATTTTACACTATATCCTTTAGTCATAAATGAAAATGTTAGTAAATATTTAATCAAGAGGTTAGCTTTATTTTGTGAAGATTTAGTAAACTCTTTAGAAAGTGAAAAGAAAATTATGAACTTGGCCACAAACCCCATAGACTTCCACAACAGAAAATGTCTCATTTACAAATGATTTCACTTAACATATTGACATCAAGCACACCTAATGTTTAAGTTTGGCTGTTTTGTATATTTCAGGTTTTAATTAACTGTTTAGTTACAATGGTCTATATTAATCATTAATGGACTAAATTTATTTCAGTTGCCTAAAGGTGGATAATATGTGTATAATTCAAGGAAACAACATTGTATCTAGAAATACACTGCCTAACATATTAAATAGGAAACTCAATAAGAACAGCAATGGTTTCAAGCACAAGAAAAATGCATTCTAGTTCTTTCAAAGATGTTCATAGATTCGTGAAGATTGATCACCTAAGAATTCTTCTGTTGCAAGCAAAGTTGATTTTAAAATTCTGTGAAGTTAAAGACAGGTGTGTAATAAGGACTTTATAAATTATTAAAACAAAATAATGACAAAAAAAGAATATGAGTGCACCTACAGTATTAATTCATCCATCAAAATGATTTGTGTTCTGATAAATCAATAAACTAGTATGGTAGCTGTATACTCTATTTCCACATTCAAGAGGATTCCTTGCACCAATAAGTCAAGGTTCTTTTCTAAGAATATACACTTTGTTTAACTGAAATGTATTAATTGTCAGTGAGCTATACCTCACCAAGCAAAACTGTAATGTTGTCTCTTCACCATTAAGCAGAAAAACTGGGAAAGGCCTACAATAAAATTACTAATGAACATAAATAACTAGCCCATATCTAAAAGCGAAAACGAATGTGCCCTACATTCTTAAGTCAAAAATATGAATGGAACATGACAAAAATTGAAGCCCAGACAAACTTCTAATAAGGATGTATGGTAGGTGGAGACTTTTTATCTAAATATTGTGAAGCCGAAGATATCAGGCCCCTGACCTGTAAGCAGATGGCCAGGTTGACTCTGCAGCCGAAGGAGGTGCTGACTGCCCGAGGGTGGAGGCCCAAGTCCTTGAAGAGCTTAGAGAAGGACTGGGTGAGCGAGATCCTTGGTCTCTCCTCTGCCACCACCACACACGTCCGCACGCGAGACAGGTCGAGCCCTCGAGACTGAGAGAGAGAACACAGCAGCTCAGGACCCTCTGCCACACGAGATACCAGGAGCTGTCAAATCTCTGTTTTGGTCTTGGTGAATTAACAGGTACTACTGTATGTTAATTTAGGCAACATTTCACACTTTTTATAAATGAAATAACATTATAACTTTAAACACTAATTGCAAAGAATAATATATTTTAATCTTAGGTTATTTACATCTTGATTAAAAAGCTTGATAAATGTATAAATTGAGTTTTTTTATTTATGAGATTAAGAGAAGTGTACACAAACAGTATGAAGGCCACAATATGGACATACAAATTGTATTACAGATATGGAAAAATGACTTCATTTTCAAGAAGGAAAGATTTCTTATTATACAGTAGTTATTGTCTACATGCAGAATCTTCAAGTATTATTTGGCAAATTATGAAAACTTGTGTAAACTACACCAAGACTAATAACAACTCTCAAAATCCTCCACAATCATCATTACTTTAAATCATTTTAATTAATTAAAATGACTTGATTTTTTGGATCACAGTAAAACAGAAAACACTCCAATTAGGAAGTAGAATTGCAGTCATGTATATAATGTATGGTGACGAGATAGTTTAAAAGCAAGAATGATGGTGGTAGGTCCCCTTTAGAGTGCAGGTTGATTGATATTCCAGACACTGTCATTCTGCAGTTTCAAATGTGTTGTTATTTCTAAGGGCACCTGTGTAGAGCACTAGTTAGGCTTCTGGACTCATTACTGGAAGCTTTAAATCCCAGGTGAAACACTGCTGTTGCATAGTTGAGCAAATTACTTCACCTTTATTCTTGTAAACTAACCAACTACAGTATATAAATAAGTGTGAATTTAAATTGCTTGTAATAAAAGCATCAACCACATAAAAGTAAATTATGATTTACTTTTAACTATGTCTAACTTTGAGATTTAAACTTAGTCTAACTATGATTCCAAATGTGGTGGCACACAACAAGCCATCATTTGAAACGGCACAATCTGTAAAAGGGTATCTTCATCTTAGATTTAGCAATGATGCCTGAAACTTGGCAGAAGTCTATGAACTCACAGCATTGTCAGCAAGAATCGAATCTCTGCTCTAGTTTATGATTCTACTCTTAAAATGGCACTTTTTGCACAGATTGCAAAATTAAATTGTCTCTGGCGTCTCAGAATGTACTCATGATAAATGTGTGGTATGGGTGGCTTGATAATTTGCAAATGTGCTTTTAGGCTGCATATTTGGCATAGTGGTTAGCACTGCTGCCTCTCAGCTTCAGGGTCCTAAGCATCATACCAGTCTTAAACATCTGTCTGTACTTACCTCTATATGTCCTTTCCTCTATGGCACTGTGATAAGATTGGTCTTTGTCTTTGGTCTTTGTATGTAGGTGGAGGAGGTGTTGTGTGTCCTCATTCCTACCTGGGGATATCCTATACGTCTGGAATAGGCATCAACTTGCCACAATCTTCTCATGGAGAGCAACTTAATGATAATGGATGGACTGTTCATTGCACGATTTACTGTACAGGCACTATAAATCCCATTTGAGAAATTACAGTCTAGTATAAGAACATTGAGCTTTGGCGGGAATTTCTATGCTGCCTGTTTTGAATAGGTTAGAATACCTGAGTGCAATTCATTCCATGTTGTGTGGTAAAAACATGAGAAATTATTACATTCAATATGGGTGAAGATCTGGATTACATTACAGAATACACAATTTATAACACCAAACAGTTGCTACCACAGTCTTTAGGGAATCCAAAGGCACTGTTCAAACATTTGTTAGAAGTGCCAAAATGTAAAATAAAATCATTTGATGAGGAAAAACTGAGTTGCACTTGGTTTACATTCAGCAAAGCCCTTGATTTTTAATGATATGGCCTACTGTGTTAATACTAAACTCTGAGCTCCTGTTTGTTCTTTGCAACCATGGAAATGTAACTAATTTCAGAATTAACTTTGTATAGAAAAAATTCTGTTTTTGTGAAAACACTCAAAGCCTTTTGAGAATATTCATGCAGGAAGTGCATTACTACTTTTAGACAAGAATTTAAAAATATCTGGATAAAAAGCCATTTATGCACCTATTAATCATAAGATTTACTGTAAGTAATTACTCCCCCACAACGTCATAACTAATATTGCTGCATTAAATATTACAGAACTTGAAGTAATAGTTCTTCATTTTAGAGGGGAGGGGTGCTGTAATAATATCTCTCAATCATATCATGGCTTCTTAAATTAAACAGTTAGCATCCTTGAATTGATTAGGAACTATCACGCTAATGCGCTAGATTGGTCAATGAACTCCTTTTGGTTGTAAACGTATCAGGCTCTTATGTTCTTGAACAGCAAAAACCTGGTACCTTGAGGGATTCTGTTTGAAGGCCCAGTCCCTTGGTACACAGCTCCATCACAGAATATGAACAGAATGTGTCCCGCACTTTGTACTGACTGACTGCAAGAAGCCACAGTGCTGGGTTTGTCTCCAGCTCTGAGGGAGGGATGAGGATGGACTGGTGCCCTGAATACACACTTCACAGGAGGGAAGAAGAACACAAAGAACAAATGTGTTACAACCATGTTTTAGGAAATGTGCTGTGTGAAACTAGAAGAAAAAGCAGCTAGAGTGAAACTGTCACTCTAGCTGTTATTTTTTGGAATTCAGTTAGACTTCTAATGTCATATTTCTCTTACCTTTTGTCCCTTCACCAAGAAAAGGTCCATGAGGCCAAAAAGAAGCAATTCAGTTTTGGCTCCATGCATCACAGAATCGTACCCGTTTTGTTCCAGTTTTCTAATGTTCTACTACGTCAAAATAACATTGCCATACGTAGCCCACTGAGTTTAACAAACTAATTTTAAGTTGCTTTACAAGTTCTTTGTAACAAGTTCTTTGCTTCAACCTTTTGTGAGTTCTTGCCTAGTCTTGGGTGTTTTAACTTATTCTTTCATCATTGTGTAAAGTGCATGCTTAATAAGATAAGTCCAAGATGTTCCACTTGTTCCTCATGATGAACTGTTCAGCTGCATTGACTTTATTATGATCCTGCATGCTAAAGAAATTTCCAGCAAGCATGGAAGCATTTTCTTCTATGTAAGCAGACAAAATGGTTTTTGAGAAGTTCAGAATTCATTCTACTGCATGCCATCATCAGTTACATCATCACGACGGCTGAGTGAGCCAGTTCCACAATGTCATGGTGAGGCTATGGTACTACTGTACCTTTACCATGATCCTCATTGGAGCATCTGCAGTTCATTTCCTTCTCCACACCTTCGCTCGTGGGCAAGGGTTAATCGTGGTCTCTCCCATCTATAACATTTTGTTTCACATCTCCCTATTTCTCAGCACATTTTAATCTGGGCTTTCTGTTCTTGGTGCTGATGAGAGGTTTACATCTTGCAGTGTTCGATTTGCACTTCTGCTGACCCAGCCTTCTCCAAACTGTGTGTTTTGGTACCATCACTCCTGCATTCTGAAGGTTGTTGGTAATTTCAAAATCAGTTGTTTTTAATTGACAGCTGTGATTTTTTGTTTAATTTTTAAGTCACTGAGGGCAGATGTTTTTCTTGGCCAACCCAGGTTTGGCTGACTGGTAATCATATCTGCAGTTGCTTCTTCTACATACTCCAAGTTGTTGATTTTGGTACACTCAATGTCTATGCGATGGCTTTGATAGCGTTTGCAATTGCCTGTTTTTCTTTCCAGAAAGGTATATTTTCCACTTTTGATTCTAAACAATTAAGTGTTCAATGAAGTGAGGCGGATTGCTAAATTACCTGTCGGACAACTGGCTGAATATGTTTGCTCCTTCAAAATGTTTGATTTGTTTAGTGAATCCAAACAAAGAACCTAATGTATTAAAATAATACTGGGGAACTGTATTCATCACTGATGTTTTTTGCATGAGAAATAATCACTATTAGAGTTTATTCTAATATCAAATTGAAAACCCCAATTCTAGTATTTGGAATGCACTACACATGTTTTATCTGTGTAATCACTGCTTTTTTTCCCCACAATGGAAGAGCTCTGTATTTTACAACATTACTTCAATTGTGTAACAATTCATGTTGAACTGCAGTACCCAAATTCAGCTAATATATACAGTACATATTATATACATAATATATAGTATTTGTGTATCTGCCATGTTTTTTGCTTTGCATTTTGTAGTATACATATTCTATATAAAGGATTAATATAATATGTAATACCTCTGTAGGATCCTTCCAAGAGCTAGTGATTAATCTTAAAGTGCAATTCACATACTCAGCTTAGTCAGAATTATACCTCATAATACAAACCTGTGAGGAAAATGAAACCTAGTGACCTAAGATGTTAAAGAGTGACAGTTCTCATGACATTGTTTTGACATCTGCCTGATGAGCAAGGGAATAATACATAACTGAATAATTATAGCTTATATTCCAAAAGCTGGCTGTTCTCATGCTGTCAAAAATCAGGTTAAATCTATTTTATATTCGACATGTTTTCATACACTTAAAAAATGCAAAGTAAATTCAGCTGGTGTTTAACAGTAGAACATTAACTTTAGAATACTTTTTTGTCCACAAAATCTAACATTGTTACGCAATGCTTTTCATTGTTTTTCATGGCAAAGTATTAATGTTTGTTGAGATTCAAGTGTTTTGGTTTCTTAGTTACTCATTGCAGAGAATTCTTATTCAAACACATACCAGTCGGTCTCTGTGAACTTATGTCTTCAGATAGTAACAGAATTCTATAAAAAGCATATGTTTTTAAAAAACATCTTAAACTCTTTTAAGACAAAATGATTAATGCAAATGATTCACAAAAAGTCTGTTTTTTGCAATTCATTCTTAACACAAAAAGGCAGTACCAAAACAGAATTCCCATGTGACTGTGATCCAGGCTAATATTGCTTAAAGGTCCAGAACAGTGGAGCCTAAAGTCTTTGATAGAAGATTAATTAAAATATTGACCATCTAAAAGATCAGCTTACCTGCAGAGACACCACAGAACAAAGCCCAGGCCACAGTAAGGGTCTAGACAGATAGCGACCTCTCGAGAGGGGTAAAGTTCACACTGTAGCTTGATTGAACGGCAGAAGGCACTGGTGGCTGTGTGAGACATCTGCACAGAAGAAAACAAGTTTCAACATCACTCCTGAAGAAAAAAGCAGTACACCCACATGCATACCCCTGTACATCGGCCACTCAAAGCATTGAAAATTCTGTTCCAATATGGTGGATGTCAATTAGCAACTAACTGCTAAGATGGGCCGAAAGTCCTCCTCTAATCTGGAATCTTCACTATGTTCTTATGCATGTGCCCATGAGGCACTAAAACACCTGAAAGGGAGAGAATTAGAAGAAGTAAGTGGTTTCTGTTTTGCTGTTTAGCAGCTTATTCTACCACAAAGTTCAGAAAGATCTGTTTTGAGGGAAGTTCCTTAAATTGTGTTTGAAGGTTTGTTCTGTACATTCAGATTTTATTGATTCTTGCCTGAAAAGGAAACCACAGTGTGTTTAAGAGATGTTTTCTCATGTAACAATCTTAAAAGGATACTCATAACCCTTTCTAATATTGCACTGTAACTACGTATAACATTACTTCAGAAAAATCCAAAAAAAATGAATTCAGTGATTTATTGAAAAAAAAGCTATATGTGCCCTGTATATTATACCCTATTTTATACCCTGAGATGGGAGGCGATCCAGGGTGTACTGTATTCTTTCTTACACCTTCTACCTTAACTCAGCCCTGTATTTGACTAAGCAGTTATTTAAAACAGAGGAACAGAGGAATTGTTTTGTCCCTTTATGCAGTAAAACTCTTCCTTATACCTATTATCTTTTGTAAACAAAATGTGTCTTTCCAAGTTCTTTCAATATGTTAACAATGCTGAATTGTTGTAGAAAATAGCATAACTTGGTAAATAAAATAATAAACAGCAAATCAAAGGGCATCAGGTTTTAAACAAGACCTTATCATCTCAGTAAATTAAACCTATTAAGAAATTTTGAAAAAAGCACCTATTCAGAAATTTGCACCTCATCTTTTTAATAAAAAAATGAAAAATGAGTTAAGAATTTTAGGTTATAGATTGGTATGTTCTTGAAAAATGATATACAGTATAGTAAATCTGGGCTCATGTAATGATAATCAGCATGAAGCTAAAGTCTTTCATTCAACAATTTTAAGGAGAGCTTTAAAGATCTTGTTTTTCCATCACCTGAACTGTGTGGCACAATAACTCTGTCTCAAAAGACTGATATTTTTAGGAGATTCGATGGACTGAAATCAATGACATGTAATTGTAGCTTCCTCTTAGTAACAGTGAGTATTTACTTACAAAAACAAAAATGCTCTTCTTGTTTGGTGAAAACAGCTATTATCTGCTACTTAAAGGATTTGCTTGCTTAAAAGTGAAGTCTAATTTTCATTAGGTGATTCCACAAAGCATCTCACATTCCCCAACAGAATGTGAGATGGGGGCACTGTATGTCTCAACAAAAGGATTATTTTTTACAGTGCCTTCATGTAAACAAGGCCTGTCCTTGTTTAAACATAGCAACCTCTAAGGAGCTTTGAGGAGAAGTCTTATCTGGAAGTGTTAGAACCCTTAGTACAAGCTCGGATGACTAAGCCACATTCTAAAGTAACAAAAAGAAAAACAGAATGATTCTTTTTTAGAAAGATATAAGCACTAACCCAATTCAGTGTGAATTAAGAGAGCCAAAACCTGTAATACTGCACGACTAATACACTGAGAGGTATTTAGTAAGTTACAAATAAATATTGGAACCAAGAGCACTTGCTGTGTTCTTAATGACTCTGAGAATAGATGATTAGTTTGTTTGGACTGCTTGATAATTTTAATTATTGTGCAATTTCAGAAATATTTAATTTATATAATAGCTGCTACAGTTTAGAAATTTACTATTGTAAGCAGTACAATCCCAGACCTAAATCATCTACAATAGCAGAAAGGTCATGAATGAGAGGAGGTGACTTAAGCAAGCAAGAGCAAGATCCAATATTTGCTGCACTGATATCAAACTCCCCAAATATTTATTCCCCCTACCTTTCTATTAATTTAAGGGATTTAATAATGGGCTTTTATCCACCCCCACAAACGCCCTTGACTTGTGAGGCCAAGTGCTAGAACTGCTAACTGCCATGCTACAGAAGGAGTTATACTGTATGTCCCTAAATCTTGATTAATGCATTTTTTCTGTCAGTTGCAGCTCTTACAAAATAACTGCTTTCACTAGGATTAAAACAGTTTTTATCACCAAAGAAGAACTGAAAATCAGGTAGTGACCTCATTATTTTGTCCAGACCTCTAATGATGACCTGAAAAGCTTGCTTTATATTTACAGTAAATACACTGAGTAGACGTCATCCTAAATCATCAAACTTTTCTTAATTTAGCATGACTAAAGATCTTTTAATTATAGATAACTGACATTTCCACCGATATTTTCAAACTGGACAAAAATTACACTTTGGTAAAGGGCTGTTGGTGTAGAATTGAGGAAGGGATGGCAGGTATTAAACTGGGAGACAGTAATGATGTAAAATAGTGGGAAAGGGCATTTTATTTTTGTGTTAACTGAAGTTAAAATGCCATTCAAAGCACACACAATACATTTGCAGGGTTTCGGTACCAGGTATTAAAATTGGTATCATAAAAGCTAAATCTGTACAGTCAGAGATTATGCCTTGACTAATAGTAATAATTGGTAAGACTTTTATGAAGTTCAGAAGTTATGTGTTTTTATTCAGTTATTCATCTTTCTCCTTATCTACACAAGGCACAATGAATGGGACTCTGTTTCTAACTGTAAACAAAGACAGGTGCTAAAGTAAGCACAGCTGAATACTTCCTATAGAAGAACAACTGGTTCAGCAACAATTCGTTTGTGTATTTATTGAACACTGATATGAGAAATGCTTCCACCCCCCAAACAACAGGGCTCTTTTTCTCGAACAACTAACCTTGACTCCCGCAAGCATTCCTGTTGTGGACACGCTGAAATCCAGGTAGGCCAAGGCGTCCGGATTGGAGGGTTTATAGAGCTGAGGAGGCCTTTTCTTTGGCAAATCATCTAAGTGGGGGTGAAAAAAAAAGCCATGTGACTTCTTTAGGAAAATTCAACTTTTTTGTAACACCTTTTCTTTTTTTAGGACTCCCATCAGATTCCACCCTTCACTTTCACAGTGTATGTCTTGCGTCCTTTGGTTCGTATCGGGCATCTTTTTGCTTGGTGTGAGTCAAAAAGCAGATTTTTCCCTGTTAAATCTTAGCCTTTTCCTTTCAAATATCAAACACTCCATTATTAGTTAAACTGAAAAATATGATCTATTCAGGGGCTTTCAAACTGTTCGGTGAGTAAAGGCGTTTTTCCTGGATATCGGTTTAGTCCAAAGATGTGTGCTGGATGCTTGGGTTATCTCTGTCTCTCTGCACTGTGCCTTTGGACTGTTGAAAAGGGTCCGAAGGCACAGTGGTTTGTATGTTGGAAGACACGTATATCTCTATATACATTGATAATGTTTTGACAATTCCAGGCATAAAAAGAGAAATATGAAGGATGTAACTAAAACAACACAAGTACAGGGTGGCCAGAAGAGATGAATTGGGGGAGGATATTTATGAGCCTCAGACTGGCTTGGCACTAGGAGACCTATTAGAAATCTGGGTCTTCACAATCTATCCTCCCACCTGTGTCCAACACTGGGGGCCACGTCCTGACGTCAACTGCAGCTGATGCTTCTCTTGACCTCAGCAGTTTACATATCACCTGCGTTGTCATGATACAGGCTGACCTGCTGACCTGAGAAGGAACAAACCGCACAGAATACTGAATCTCTATGATCTTCCAGATGTGTCATAGTACAATGTACTGTATATGGGGTTGGCTTTGTTTTCTCTAAATATTCCTCAGAAATAAAACAGCTACTGAAATATACTGGGTGATAAAATAATAGCATTATTGTTGTGTGTACAATATTTCAGAACAGACACACACCTCAAACGTTTATGTTAGTAAAAAAAGAACTTAACAAAAAAAAAAACAGCCAAACTTTCTAAACTAATTAGTTATAAGATTAGACAGTGTTATTAAAACTTTTATGCCTTAGTGGTACTGTAATTTATAAAATGTTATGGAACTATAGAAAAACACTTATTACCTTCTCCTACATGATGTACTGCACAATCAATATTTTCTAGCAATTCTATGACATTCTTCTTTTAATTTCAAATTAAACCATACTCTGATATTACTTAGACATCTAATCCAGAACATATTTTGTCTTTGGTAATGAAAAATGCTTAGCTTCAGCAAGAACAACAAAAAACCCATTAAAATCATAGTACTTTTTTTACCTGATAAACTAAGTGAAACCCTGATAGGTTTGGTCTCTTGACTTACTGATTCTATGTTCAATGAAGCAAGAACACTATCCTTTTAAAACTAATGATCTGCCTGAAGACCCACATCTAGCTTTAATAGGGATAAATAGGGTTGTGACAATGGGCACTGAATCTAGCATAATAGCTAAAAATGTAATTATTGAAAAAAGGGTGTACAATTCAAAAGAAGTGCAGAGCATTTAATGTAGTTTGAACCGGGCTAATGCAAATGCAATAATGAAATACATGTCTGACATATTGGATATTTTTTAAATTTAAAACAAATGCTATAAAATACCATGTTAAACCACTGACATTTCTTTATATAAAATCCCACACAAGCGGCTTTATTGTTTTGCTTGTCGCAGTCTTCTGTTCAAAATTACAGTGCTGTAAAAGCTAGACTGGGCTCACTAGGCTTTTATCAAAACAATTGCTGTAGTACACTGCTTTTACAACACATTACCTTGCAGACCATTAACTAACCTCCACAATCATCTTTACAGTGGGCAGGGTAGTGGCTATGTTCTGAGGATGCGGAGGTCGCACTGTTATTGGCACACAGCCTGCATACAGACATCCATAAAACGCTGCGATCAGGTCTATTCCTGCATGAAGGACACAAGAGAAAATTCTCATTCTTAATCTGCATCCACAACTAATCAAACCTTATAATAACAAGACAGAGTAGGAAAAAACTACAGTATTATTCACAAGAAGGTGTAAATGAGTGTGTAGCTTTAAACCTGTTTTTTGAATGCTGCCTTTATCCCCTTGTCGGCATTCGCTGTGCTTCGCCGAGTCCTTTCATTATGGATACATGGCTCTTTGAATAGTCCTTTAGCCATGAAATTCTGATGGAGTCTCAGTCTATAATTCATCCTTGGAGCCTGTCCCTCGCCTGAATAAAGTGTATCACTCTCTCTCCTGTCTTCCAAAAGCTTGTAAAAATACGAAAATCCCTGTGCACGTGTTTAAGAGGGTGATAGAAGTCACACTGATCCAACAGTAACTCCCAATTAAAGTGGATGCATTCTCAAGCAATTAAAAAAAACTATATGAAAACATTTCCCTTTCGGTTTGAGAGGCCTAAGCTTTAAAGTGATAGGACAAAGGAAAATAAGATAATCGAGGTGAGGGCTACACATTGGCGGTGGAGAGGAGTCCCCACTATCTGTAAACCGCTTAGAGTGGAGCTTTATGTAACTGTAAGGAATTATTCATTATTATCATGTATTCAGGACCAGGACCCGCGTGTTGTGAGAGCTGTTCTGATGACTTGCCAACAGGTTCAGGGCCTGACCTACCTGGGGGATAGACCAGAGCAACGTGATCTCCATCCTGCAAGTGACCCCGTTCTGCCAACATGGCTGCAATCTTCTCTGCTCGCTTGTGGAGCTGAAGGCAGGTCAAGGAGCTGGATATTGTTCCCTGCGTTACACAGAAGAGCAATACCTTGAGTACAGAGTACCTGTTGTAGCGATGCAGACAGAATGCACCCATGAAGACTAAGCATGCGAATTGTTAATTGATTCTAATTTTCATTTTGTTTTTAACTGTTAAAGATTTAATTCTATTCATTTTCAGAACTGTTTGTTGCTAACAAAATATTCTAAGAAATATGGAATATTAAAAAAGAAAACCTAATTTTTTAATGTGAAACAGAAAACCTTATATAAGTAAATAATGATTTTCTTTCAACTGTCCCTTTTATCCTTATAAAATAATTGTGAGAACAGGTGGTGTCATACGGAACTCTACACATACTGTACAGTATCTGCATTGTTTTAAGTTTAAAAAATGTGACCTTAATGTTTTCAGCTACCCAAAATGTATTTTTAGTCCAGTTGTGTTAAAGTGCTTGACAAGCCGCCAAAAAAGTACATACAGTATGTAAGATAGTATGTGATATGTAACATTATTATACTTCCAGAGGCAAAACAAAGCAAAAGTCAAATACAAAGAAAAGTATGTGATTACATTATATTACCAGTTATGTTTTTGAACAACATTTTTTTCAAATTTTCATTAATATAAACAACAATAAAAATAAAACTTAAAGTTTTACTGAAATAGCCAAAAAGTACTATACTGCACTTTACAGCTGGACTCATTCAACTCTCCAAAGCAAAATTAAACACTAAATACTGAAAATATCTGTTGACTGTGCTGGCAGCTGCTGTTTTGCGATTCTGAGACAAAGCCGATGATAAAGCATATACTCTGTCAAAAAAACCTACCCTTTCCTTATGTACGTAAAACAAAAATATGTTCTGGACTTTCATACTGTAGCACTGAAAGCTTTAAGGAATTAAACTGTAACCCAACACAATAAATTAATCCAATAGATTCTAGTGCTGTAAAACTCAAACCATAGACTTTTTTTCTCTAAAATGTCCTAAAAAACACTGTTATAGATTTCAACACCTGCAAAACAACAGAGCAGATTTTTTTTTCTGAAAAGGACAAAAGTAAAGATTTAAAAGTAAAAAGTCTTAAGTACTAAACCAATTGACCATCCCCCACAAACTATGATACTTCAGTTTCATCTTTTAACTGCATTCAGTGCTCAATGCCCTTTTGTGATCCAGTGCAGAACAAAGAATACTGCAAACAGGCTCTCACCCGTGAGTTGAGCAGTGTGTACAAAACGTGATCAGGAGTGGTCTGTGCTCTCCACTGTAGGACCTCAGAGAGGAAGAGGAACTAAAGAAACAAAAAAGACAAAGTCTCCAGTTGAATGACCAAAGACAAACAAGACAGTATTTTATAGCTCTACCATAAGCTGTAGATTTTGGTCTAAGTAGCACAAAGAGAGATATTGACATCAGCATCCCTAAAGAGCTCCATTTTTCAAACTGTCTTCAGGAAGGAAACCACACAAAAGACAGATTAAGTTACAGTTCGTGTACAGTACATGTCCTTCGATCTGAAAACTGGACTTTCCCCACATTTCATCTGAAGTTATGTTAATTTCATTTATATCATAATCATGTCAATAAAAAAAATAATAATAATCAATAAGGGCAGTAATGCATTTGAAAGAACAAATGTAATGAAGAATACCAATAACACAATGCCTTTCAGAGCAGGAAATAATATTATTTGTATTTGTCTGTTTTCTCTAATCATTCTTGACAATTTATTATGCTAATTAGGGTTGATTACATTAAAGTTCAATTTTAACTAAAATATTTTTTTATTAAGTTATTTTTTTTAATTTGGCAGCATCTGACAATGTTCCACATCATATTTGTTTAGACAGAGTAATGTTATCATCGTTTATATAATGCAAAGTTTCTCAGGCTTCCTGATTTTTCAAGAGTAATCAGAATATTTTTTTCTAAACTTGTGGTAGAAAAATTAAAAAAGAAGCATAACAATGAAACCAACAGGACTTCATTCATTAAACATTCAGCATACGTGTATCAAGGACTTTCTCATATTTGAATCAGAGGTTTAAATTGCTATTTACTTCAGCTGTAATGTATTTCTAGTTGTAAAATATTATTCTAAATTATGTGGGTATGCACCCACAGAATATTTTATTTTACAAATATGTATATATGTGGACTCGGAGTCAGAAATACTGAGTGAAGTTAATATGGACCAATGGAAGAACATGTTCCACTTCAAACCTGTAGATAAAAAATATGCTTGAGGTAAAGCCTGTAAATACAACCAATAAATAAACACGATGAATGACATATTATTTAAAAATAATATGGTAAAATATGTGTTATTGTGGTGTTTGCCTTGAGTAAATATGTTACATATTAGAAACTCAACAAGCTTGCAAGAAATCAGGTTTGACTTCACAATTTAAAACATAGGGAACTGTGAAAAATAAAACAAATGAATCAACATGGGAATATTGGTTCTTTTAACGGATGTTTCCTGGCTCCATGCACAACATTTCTTTGAAAACGTGGAAGATATTCTCCATTATTGGATTCCTGATTTTTCTGTATTGCAAGAGTGGGCTCAATGTGTAGAAAAAAAAAACCATCAGTCTGCAGCCACAATGTGAGTGGTCCCTGCTGATTCACTTGAGGAAGAAACATGACTGAAGCCCAGTGGCAGTTTAGCATGCAGATCAATCCTAACATTGAATTGAACATTATAGACATAAAAATCGGCACAATCAAAATCGGGCTCAATGTGTTATTTTAAAACCCCATTATTTTTTACAGCAAGGGTTATGCCCAAGTGTTATAAATGCTCGACCTAGTTTTATTTTAAATCAACAATGGAATGCAATTTTTGAATAATATGTTCTTTTACTAGTACATTCGATATTGTATTCTGTTTTCATAAAGTAATTGTGACCACACTCTTGTCCTTTTACTTCATTGTTCCAACTTCCAGTTCTAAAAGTATAACTAGTACAGCAGTAATGTAATTATGGTCATTTTGAAACAAGACTACAAATATATGGCATAAGGACTGAATAGTCCAGGATCTGCTGTGTCCTGGATCATAGTTTTTTTTTTTCCCAGAAGCTTATTTTTACCTGTTTGACTGTAAATGGGATAATTAAACACTGAAGACAATATTTAACTTTCTAATGCACCCTACTAGAACAAAGGGTACTTCCCTCTCAAATATAGAATTTAGTCTGACAAATGGATACAATACTCACCACCACACACAAAGAACACTTCTTTGCTCAGAGCCTTCTGAGCTTTATTCCATCCCCACCCAATGCGGAATAATTGCTTCGACAATATTACCCAATTGTCCCATTTATACAGTACATTGCACAGTGTTTTTTTCTTATTCATAAAAGGATTGGCAGGATCAGTAAAATGGCAGTTTTCTTGTACCGACATAATTCAGTTAACAATAAATTACTGATACATTTGCAACAACCAAAAACAGTGAAGGCATGTGCTGTAGCATTTTTTTTGGCCTTCCAGATAGCTGTAGAGAAAAACAGAGAAAGCTCAAATTCTGTACTCAAAAACTTCCAGTAGCAGTCTAAGACCATTAGATTGTTTGAAGTAAAAGCTTCAACTGTTAAAAGGAAAAAAAATGAATTTAGGATCAAGTAACTGACCTTATCAATGCAATTGGAACTGTAAAATAAAGCATCTTGGACTACCAAATTATGGTAGGATGAGAGGCACAGTAAAAGGAAGATCTTCTCCATCCAAAACCTAATAACTATGGTATTGGCTGTCAGGTGCAGCCTGAAATTTAGACATGGACCAAGAACAGGCCAAAATGTGTTTAACAATTTTTCTTATTTTGCTAAAATAATTTGAACACTGCATCTAAATCCATGTGCGTTCTGCTTATTTTTAAGACATGCTCGATCTTGTGTGACAATTGCAAAACTCCCTGCTCTTGGATTCAAACCCACTCACTGCTAGGCCCCAAGCACACACAACCCCACTTCCTTCCATGGCAGGGTTTTACTCTGTCTTGATTTTAGAGGTGGGTGACACTACTTCTGTAATGGGCTCAGTTATTGTTACACACGTATAAAAAAGTATCATGTACATATGAAATAATATGTTTAAATGCTTAAATGCTTAAATTTTGCACACTTGTTTGAATAACAACATTTTTCATTTAACTCTATTGACTTTGAACCACAAGAAGACAACAGTGTGTACTGTGCTATCTTACTTGCCAAAATTACCTCAAATAGAGGTAATTTTTTATTAAAATAATTTTTTATTTTTATTTATTTGAAACTGCAGTCAGACATTCAAGTCCTGACCCAAAAATGGCATCCTGTGCAAAGAATGTCTCAGCTCTGGTTAATAAAATCTTTTCTCTTATAGCTGGGAGCTACAATGGGAGAGAAAGATAGCCTCACATCCAGTTGAACATTACTGTAAATCAAATTATTTAAGGAACAGAGAAAACCAAAACACGGATAATATAGAGGGATAAAAATATGAGGCATAATTATGTTTTTAGAACATTTCTAACACAAATGTTCCCAACACACCCACTACAAATCATTATATACAGATTTAAGACAATGACAAAAAGCCTACAGTAGCTTTATTGGTCATATATATATTGCTTTTTTAGGACATAGTAATCTATTCTGAATTGTATTTTTCAAAATTATTTAAGACATTGCTTTCACATGGAAATATGCTTTATACATCTCAGATGTTGCTACTTGCCTAAACCACAACTCCAGAGGCCTGAACTGAGCTTCTTTTCTGTGGAACATTAGCAGGATTAACAACAAAAGGAATATGTATGAGCAGACATTGCCTGTATTAATGCATCGAAGTTAATGAATGGACATTTTATTATTCTACTCTTGTTTTGTTATTAACCCACTGTTGCACAATTGCTTAGCCCTGCTGGAACTATGTGAAAATGGCTTTCTATAAGTTCAGCAACAGAATATCATGTTTATATCTACAGTAAATACAGCAGTTGCCCTCAGGATCTGCCTTTCACCCACCATTACTCTCAACCCCTTGGGGCCAGGAAATTGAATTTCTTCTTTTACTGTACACCCAACAATCTGGAACTGTTAGATACCATTCAATGTTAAGAATATAAAGCATTCTAGAGTAGTGCTTAGGACCTTAGGCTTGTCATAGGAGGTTGTGGGCCCAAATCTTAGGAGGGTTACAACTGTACCCCGCTTGTACAAGATACTTGACCTAGCTTGCTCTAATAAAATAGCCTGCTAAGTAAATGGAAACAGACAGATGTTAAGTTGCTTTGGGGAAAACAGTCAGCTAAACAATTTAATCACAAAAAAATGATAATAACACATTAAAAGGCTACTAGCTTGTTTGGTTGCTAAGAAGTCAGGTGGTCCATTGGTCTCATCCTGCTTCTTCTTCAAAGAAGGAAGGGTATCGGCTTTGACAGCATGACTGAGCAGCTCATTCTAAACTCCTACATGCTTTTGTGTCAAAAAGAAAAGTGCTTCAGACATGGGTAACTCTAGCAACCATCTCACCAATCAGGACAGAAGAAGGCAACATTCAACATATAAAAAATGTGCTTGATGATGCTGTCCATGCATTTTCACACTGTAGAATTACTGGAGATTAAGACTGTAGCAATTGTGTGCCATTTACTTAACATAACGATCACAACTGGCAAAGGCACAGCTTAGACTCAAACCCACTTGGTCACCCTTAAAAGGATGAGCCTTTCTACAGACATGGTGTTATTTTACTAATATACAGTACTTTCTACGTGCATTAACAAATTCCCCCCTCATGTAATGTCTCAGATTGCTATGAAGATGCAGATTTGCTGTTTACACATTAAACAGCTAAGCCCTCTGAGAGCTGCATTACAAAACATAACTATAAAATCATTAATTGCCTCAGTACTACAGGCCGAGCTATGAAGAGAGAGAGAGCAGGAAAAATATACAAAATGAACATTTTGCAATACAAGATTACAGACAGTATAATACACAGATACATACCAAATTTTCCATCAGAACTAGATATTACTGTACGTGTGCCATTTTCTCCCTCACCCCTTTCATACGCTTCAACTGTATACTGTATATGCCTTTTTAATTTTTTTCGCTCTTTAAAATGTTAATATATCATGATGGCCTTGCATAACCTAGAAAAAGCATTATGTTATTATATTACATCCAGTAGAATTACTAACAAATACACTTTATTGTTTACAACAACAAACAAGAATAAGAATTTAAAAATCCACTCACACAGAGGGCCTGATTTTCAAACACATGCAGATGCTCAATGGTTACGTTGTATGGTGTCAGAAGAAGCACAGTGGAGGGTGGTATAGTGAAGGTATGTACACTATGTACAAACATAGTTCTGCCTGTTGAACCAGCAGTATGACACATGGCACATACGTGCAAAAGGGTGAATATGCCTGTATGTGTGTCATGGGGGAAGGAGTTTTTAAAGATAATCATGAAGAAGCAGAGTGGGCACTATGAGTCAGAGAATAAAAACAGCAATAATAATAAAAAAATCATCATACAGATTGAATTTAAGGCATACCTACAGAATTGACCATTTTGCATGTACTCTTGAAATCAATTTCATTGCAGCCCAATAAACAATTGAAATATGCCACATCCATTACTTTATAAGCTTTCAATTCAAACCTTTCAAATATAAACTGGTATAATCTGAAAGTATTATCAGTTATTCTTTGTAGCTGTCTTGTCTCATTATGTCCAAATGATTAGCCCATGTACATCACAGGTTGACGTGATGACTGATGAGATTTCAAGTTTTAGAAAGCGGGAATAAATAATCCCATCTTTTAGCAGCAGAACAACATGAATATGCAGAACTCTTTATAAAGCTGTAATTATTTTAGATTGCATTTTTACATTTCCTTTAAAGTCTCTTTAGGGTAATTTTTAATTTGACCAAGATTATTATTTCTAATTTGAGGCACTGTGCTAAATAAAAATTGTGAATGGATTATAACATTATCATTCTCAATATTATAATACATACCATTGGCAGTTAAGTCTGTCTACTTCTGATGCTTAAATTCATGTATTTAAACCAACCATATAAAGGAAGAGAGAAGAACTAAAGGCCGAATATCAAAAAGACACTGGCATATAGCAGCAGAAAATACAGACGATGGCAGATGAAGGCATGAAATAATGATGGGAAAGTAGGTAGTTCTTTTCTTTCTCATGAGACATGAATTTAAAAGATAGCAGCCTGTGATCATGATTCAGGCAGTTATCCAAGAACCTGCTTGTACATTCAGGATGAATGACTAAAACTCTAACCTATCAATTTGCTATATAATAATGTCCACAGTTTGGAATTTGAACTCATTTATTATCATAATCAAGAATAACACACAGTAATAACACAGTTCATGCTCTGTCTTTCAAATGATGAGATTCCATCACCTAAGCTCCAAAAATTAAAAAAAAAAGATAACAGGTACCCAAATTACATAAATACTAATGTGTGACCTCCATCCTCGCATTATTTTTTTCTCTTACACCTTGTTAAGTGTTGTCTGGAATGACTTCCATTTTGTGTTTGCAGTTCTACCTTTTTCAGTTAGGACTGAAAAACATTCTAGTGATGTGAAAAACAAAACAACACCAGGAATTAAGGCATATGAAGTTCCACATTACATATTTTTTGCCATGCTTTTTGCATGAATCACAACTGTATTATTAAAGACTGTTGTGGTTTTCTCCTTACACTGTGTGTTTGTGAGGAGCAGCAGAAGCAGGACAGGAGGATTGACGGCGCACAGGGGTTTACTCTATTTAATAATTAACAGGTGCATGCCAGTGCCAGAGAGGGGTTGAGAAAGAGAAAGAGTGTCGCATTCACTAACACCCCAGGAGGAGCTCTTACTCTTAGAGGGTGAAGGGTGGAGGTTAAATAACTGTCCCAGATGTCTATCAGCATGGGGGGGGGGGCAGAAGACTATAGTTTTGTGCTGTTTACTGTAATAATACTGTAGGTAGGTGAGTTAGGTCCCCTTTTAGGCCATAAAGGCACATGGGGAATGGGGGGCAAGGGCCACCATTTTTCTCAACCATCCGGCACTGGAAGTGGAGGTGATGTGGTCAGCATCACACTCCAGCCAGCCTATTACCCCCTAGAAGGATTAACCGGGCTGAGCGGACTTGTGTGGACCTAATTCTGGCAGGAATTAGAGCAAGCTCCATCGCTTGCCCCTACCTGGGATTGAACCCGGGACCTTCCAGTCAGGAGCCGGACGCCCTTGCCATCTGAGCTACTACGGTTCTGTAATGATATTGTAATACTGTAATTTTGTATTACTACAGTTATGTAATAATGATGATAATGAAAACAATTTTAAGTTTGAACAAACTGTATAAGCGTGTGTTCCAAATTAAGAACATTTTGACGTTCGTAGCTAAAGTTGTGCAGAATGTAACTCTTACGTAACTGGGAGGGCACCTGCATTTTTTATTTACTTATTAAGAAACTACAGATGTATGGCATAATAACTAGAGACTATGTGTGTGAAATCAAACTGCTATTCACTCACTATTCAGTTAAACACGTGGACTAGGGGTTCTCACCTTTGATCCTAGAGGACAAAACACTTGCTGGTTTTCATTCCAGCTAATCTTATTTACCGAACTGAAGCCTTAATTGAACTAACAAGTTGCTTGATTGGAATATTTATGAGTTTTGCTTTTCTAATCAAATGTTTTTTTTTTTGTAATTGCAATAACGCAAAAGTCAAAAAGGCAACAGCTGAAAACAGTTAAAATTACTCTTATATTACTCTGTATTATTTCAAATAAAGGTCAGATTTTGTAACTGAGAGCATGACGGGAACACAAAACCAGCAGATGTGTGGTTCTCCAAGACCATGATTGGACAGTAAGATAGTTATGCTGAGGCAAATGTATATATACTTCTAAAACAAGCCTACTTCCCTATCACCCAATGGACAAAGGATGTTGAAGCAGGTGATCATAATCAAATGAATCCAGTGCATCCAATTTAAACTAGAATGAAAAACAACAGAATAATTAAATGTAACCTTCAACTCAGGCGCCAGTGACACATTTCAAACCTAATACTGGATCGCATAGGTTTCCATTGAGAGCAAGGAAGCAACTCCTAGCAAACAAAGTACTGACTTGTAGTTTGTAAGGGAGCGTGATTTGAAGATTTCATTTAATCTGGGCTCACGTATCTGATCCCTTTGATCAAAGGAAGCAGATCATTATGAAGGAAATGAATTAAATGACAAAACAGCTAGGATTCATAAAAGACGTATGCAAATGCAACTTATGGAAACAACTACGGTAAATTAAACATGGAATGAGCTACTGATTGCAAGCACTCATTGCACAGTTTAATTTATTGCTTAGTGGATGTTAATTGAAAATCAAGCCCTTTTGGTCTGGGTTACGCACACACACCTTTCTTGCCTGATCATTGTCTTCGATCTGGCCCAGATCTCTGCCGCTGGCCTGCGCTATTCTCTTCCCAGATACCAGGTTCCCCACCATCACAGAGGCAGGACCGATTTCTGCAAGACACCATCACAATACATGAGTTCCTGTTTGACATAGGTGTGCCTGATGAGCAGGAGAGCACAGAGCACAGAGTGGCAGTCTCACTGGGTGAAATAAGCCATACAAGCTGATTTCTGGACTTACACAACAAATTTTGTTATATCCAAGTTCACTTTAAATTGACCCACATAAATATTTGAAATTTGAAATTAAAACCATCTGCTGAAGCCATCAAATCTTCATCTACATGCTGTGAGACAGCACGTAAGACAGGATGGAAGTTAATTTATAGGAATTTCTGTTCATTTTCTCCTATAAAGACATATTAACATAGAAGATAAGGAACCACACAAGATATATTAAGTCATTAATTGCAAGGTCACAGCCCCCGTCCTTTTCCTTGCTTTCCAGTCTACACACTGTTAGACTACCACTGATGGGTGAGACAGCCTTAAATCAGATAGCTCCATCTCTAATGCAGTGCCTGATTCAAACTGCCATCTCACACACAGTTCATTACTTTGCTCATCGTTTAATGTGGTATTAATACTGTCTGGTGTTTTATTCAACATGAGCTACAGTGGAGCAAACCACTCCACATGCCTCTATATTTAAATACTATTCGCTTCCTACAGCCATAGCACACAGCACACCAATTATCGCTGTTATTAATTGCATTTAGCAGAAACTACCAGTGACAGACTTCCTTGTGATCCGTAAAATTTCTGACTGGGGACACAACTTTGCAATTAACAGAATTTGCAATTATAAGAATTCAAACCGTTGAGACCGTTGAGACGGTTGAGACTGAGAATGATCAGAAATCCCCTTAAATTACCTTCTCCCTTGAGCTATCGATGTCCGTGCTACTTCTTACCAACATCTAAAAAGGTGTGCTTGATACTGTCCCTAAAGAACAATGAAGGGCCACTCCACTGAGCAAATGCACCCCAGCCTGATGGTTTTCATTCCAAATGATGTTGGAAGTGCTCAGCTGAACCAACTGCTGTTTATACCATTTAATTCATCAAGATTATTGAGATCTTTAGATGTTAACTGAAACAAACTTTGATGTGAATGACGCATCAGTACTTTTTATACTGAACATGTTTTCCCCACTGCGCTGTTTACAGTGAAGACCCCCTGTACCCACAAAGGGAAAATGGGACAGCATGGACAGGTTCCTATGAGTTGCTATGCTGCAAGCTCCACAGCAACAAGCAGGAAATTCAAAACCTATTGGAGGAGAGGTGCGTTCCTCGCCAACCTTCCCCCAAGCTCGCAGACAAGTTGTCACAATGGTCAGTTTTTTTTTTTCCACCAGGTGCTGATACCACCCTGATTGATTAATATCAATCCTATTCCCGGTGGAGCTGAGCTAATTGAGCTACAAACCTGGGAATCCTGGTCACAGCTCTTTAATGCCATGACCCGGAATTAAACTTGTGAAAGTTGAATAATCCAGCCCGAAACCAGTGCCTTCACCTGTTGAACCACTCAGGAACCTCCACAATAACATTTTAAAAGGAAATGGACTTGCAGTACAACCCAGATTAAGTGAGGTAATGTATGGAAAAAAATGTTTCAGAACTGACAGACAACATAATCTTCAAATGAATCAACACTGCTTATAACTCAGAACACTTGGGACAACTGTCTGACCTTGTGCATATACTGCAAACATGAGAATGGATGAAATGTACACTGATGCAGTCACTCACATACAGTAGTAGAAGATCTCTGATTTATCTACAGACTCTACACAATATGTTGAAATGAGCCATCAATGGAGAATAGCTTCAAAAAGCAGCTTCAAATCTCCACCAGATGAGTGTAAAAGTTTTAGTGTTTTTATATTGCAGGAAGCACAGTGTGTAAAAACATAACTGTTCTTAGCTGCAATGTTTTATGGGATTTAATTACATTTAATTTAAAGGGAGTTAACTTTAATTTAATACATTTAAAGGGAGTCAGCTTAGATTTTCCCTTTTTTTCAAAAAGATGTTCATTGCAATGTAGAGAGTTAAGGAACTGAAGAAGACTGACCTCAGAAAAACCACCTACGACTGAAATAAATACTTTTCATTTATTCCTTCATGCATCCCATTAGGTGTTCCTGCCACTTCATGGTTACTCCCACCACAAACGGCAAAGGAGGAGGACAATGCATTATAAAAAGTCTATGCTTATGGTCTTGCTGTCAACACCCATGTTGACCAAATGAACTCAATCAAGAGAGTTGTTAAACCCTTAGGGCTATAATCTATATTTACAATCCATCCACACCATATGAATTGAATCGATTCCTGGTACCTTTACCTCTCATGTTCTTCAGACCCTGAGGCCAGTATTGTTCCCCCGTGAGTCTCTGGCCAAGATCAACCATGTGGCAAGACCAACATTTTAAAGCAGTAATTTATCAGATGTGCCTTACCTTACACATCAGTAAATGTTCACACCAGTGGATGTGCATTACTGAGGATCCAGAGCTTGCCTTTTTTAGTATTGACATAACAGATCCCAGGACTGACCAGACCCCGTCTTGCTTTGTTAAGTGACAAATTCACCTGGTTGCTTTTGTCTTGGCTTGGGCAGATTTGTTACACAGGTGTGTGGACACATCAACACATTGCAAGGATGCAAAGAGCCTTCCAGGAAGAGCTGCTTGGTTTCTGATAGATGGATCCCTCCCAGCGGAGTTTTGGGGAGGGTGTTGGCGGGAACTAGGGCCAAGCAGTATATTCCCACTTGGTGTATGCTGTCTATTGCCTGAAAATATAAAATATTTAAAATAAAATATATGATCTGAAGATAAACAAAGCAAGGGACAAGGTTATTTAAAAACAAATTTATGTTTAGCAAGTCATGGTTAATTAAAAGTATGAAATTGTATGTCAAAATGATTTTTTTTAATAAACAATGACAGACATTACAAAGTGAACTACACAATCAGAACCATCATGATCACCTTCTCTATGTATTATTTGTTAGGATACACATACTGTATGACAATGCTTTAAAGAAAACCACAAGTCATGAAACACAAGTATTCTGGACACAAGCATTGATGCAACTATCTAACAGTGAAACACTTTTCATAACTGTTACAGTGGCCAAAAAAAAGCAGGATGTAAAAGCAAGAACTGATTCTTATTCTGTGTTCTAAATATTTTATTATTTTAAGAGAACACAAATGTTTAATTCCTCTGAGAATACATTTGTATAAAGATGTGTTAACATCCTAAAATTAATTTGATTACACAGACAACACTTTTTAAAGTCTGTGAAGCCCCCACAGTGACATCTCTCTGCACACGGCAAATATAGCACAGCATGTGAAGACCTATCATAGCCTACAAATAGACAAAGTGTATTAGGGAAGACAAACGGGACTTTGTGTCATTTCTTACCTGCAGCACTCGACTCATCCACTGGAAACTGTCCTCCTCTGTGGAGTCTGGTCTCTGCTCAGCAACGATAACTATCCGCTCATCGTGAAGGACAGTGATGGAAAATACAGCTATCCTGTTAACCCCAACAGAATAGTCAAAACCTTTTTGTTTTGAATGTCAGGTACTTTATTAGTATAGTCATAGCATAATCACTATTTTACTATTTTAATAGTAACTAATTACTGTGAAATGTGAAATAGTGAAATTATTACTATTTTCTGTAACTAGCCATTGCTAGCTTTTGTGGAAAGGATCCATTATATTTAAAAAATGAAAAAGTTGTTTATTTTCAACAGAATTTCTTTTTTGTTATTCTTATTTCTCCTTAAGCCATGTCCACTCACATCCAAGTCCACCTTTTAAAGTGTAGTAATACTGACAGAGAGTGAAATTATTAGAAACAAGAAAGAATTTAGCATCAACATTACCCATTAAGTTACACATCGACACTGACAAGCACTTGCCTACTGTAACTGAACAAGATACAATTGACGATTCTAATACCACATGTTGTGATGCTCTTTTAGTTCAGGCAATGTTCAAACAAGATGGCAGATGCTGTCTGGCCTACTGTACATTCTCCAGAATGGAGAAGAAGACAATTGGTCAATGGACCAGAACCCGAAGTGTCACAGAAAAACGTATGTTGCTTGTAAGAAAGAACTTGTTTGGTATGTTAGTAATTATATATATGCCTTTCATGAATGAAAAACAAACTATAAAGTGAGGTGTAACAATTAAATATGAAAGGAATCTACCAAATTCAAATGCATTTGGTCTTATATCCTGTGCTTTGTCTTCTACCTCTGCATCAAAGGCAGTTTTTTTCTAATATGGCTGGGAACACTAACAGAGACCTTTTACTTACCTGCCTCTGTACACAAACTTCATGGGCTCGACTGCCAGGGCTGTGGCTACAATGTCGTCAGCATTGTGTCTCCGTCCACTAACTACCATCAGCCCATCCATTTTGCCAGCAATGAAGACCAGCCCTCCCGGGCCTACAAACCCCAGCAAGCCAGTCCTGGTGAAAGGGTATTCACTAATGGGGCCCCCAGAGCTAGTCATTGGGAATACCTGTCAAAAACAGAAAGGAATTGTAAGTTCTACCAATGTGTCTCTGAAATAGAGGTAAGTTTGTTCATTACCAAATACCTAGTTAAAAATAACCTTGAAAGGGACAAGGTTAATTACAGTGCTCTGTCAATTGTTTCCCAAGTACCTCTGCGATATCATGTCTAATTGCATTACAATTGTTTTGATATTTTATGTCCCATACTCGAGGTAATAAATTAACATAGGAATGGAAATTAAACTGAATCACCAAACATTTTATGTTGCAGTTCAGAAACTGGCTTGAAGGTTAGATCATACTTTGCTAACATGCATAAATCATAATTATTTATGTGGAGTCTGATATTGTGGGAATACAGCTTATCGGGAAGGCAATGTTGTTGATGTTTATAATGTAAAAAAAAGAGGATTTCCTAATCCTTCAAAACTTCATAAACTCTGGCTGCATAAAACCTATATATCAAACACCAATCATACATTATCTCAGTCCTTTTCTAAGCCATATCTTGTGCTTCTCAATGCATCACTTGATGTCAAGGGAATATTTCTGACACTGTAATGAGGTTGAACTTTACCATTCCAAAAACTATTAAGAAACATTTCAGGAATGCTGTTCGAATCTCCTTTTCAAGGGTCCAGGAATAAAGTAAGGTAATGAAAATTCCATGCAAGCATAATTATATTTACTTACCTCAAAGGTATTCTTGGTCATGCCTGAGAGGCCATAGTAAGAGGTACCTGTGGCTATAGAGCACACACACAGCTCTCCAATTTCATCTGTTCTGCATAACTGTGGGACCCCATCTGGCTTCACAACACACATGAGAGCTGCAAACACGAGCGGATATTCTATTAGATTTGATTGCCAACCTTCTAGAACATTTCTTAGAACCCACTGTTTTGCCTTTAACCCCTCAGTAATTCCACACATCAACTGAAAATAGGCAAAGAGGAGCAATCAAATCTACAATAGTGTACAGCACAAACAGAATGAGATAATATAACTAAGTATTCTTCTAACATGGGGAAGAAAAAGAGTTGTAATTAACTTTTCAGTTATAAATTTAAAAGAGCTGTTACAAAATCTGATTTAATTTGAAATGATTTCCAGAAAGCCTAAATACAAACCATCTGAAGAATGCTAGCAGTTTTGCCTATTAAAGAGCAACATGGATCTCATGGAGAATTGATTGGTATTCTGAACTTGAAAAAATGCATTGGTTGGCCAAAAGTTATAAGTCTGTCTGTATTAAATTTTGCAGTGCTGAAACACTGTGACTCATCTGGTGGCAATATGTAGTGGAATAAGCAGAAATACACAAAATTAACACCCTTTTCAGCCAGTGCTATGTGCAAACTGAACTTTATCACTCACAAACACCACAACAAATGCGTAGTGCAAATAACAGACAGCATTAAACCTTAGCAGAAAACAACTGAGTGTGAAAATGATTTGTTTTGGTAAAAAATAAAGACACTTTTTTCACAAATTTCTAGTTTGAGTGAAAAGTAAATTGGATCCTGAGTAGATATTGTAAAATACTAAAATACATTAATATTTGTCATCTGAGTACAAGTGGGGCCATTACTGTTGATGTACCTCCTGGCATGACTGTGCCCACATCCTGCACCGTCAGAACTGACAGCTTTTCTTCAGAATCCACTCGGATCACCCCATGGCTCAAGCCCTGCATGGAAAGAACTCCTCTACCAGGGGGCTGATTGGTGTCATCTGTTGGCCTGCCAAAACATACCAGTATTTCAACACCACTTTCAACAGAACCCCCCTTACAGGCATCCTGGAACTACACAAATAAAATTATAAACAACAGCCTTTCTCTTATATACTGTAGGGCCCTTCATCGCATACGTTATTAACACCGTGGCAGTGCGGTGGCTCTGTGGCTAAAGATCTTCGCCTGTGGCTGGATATCAATCATTAAAAAATTACAAGTGACGTCCTCACAAAATAAAACTTTCTACTTGTATTAAATTATAACACTTTTATGTATGTGTGCATTCTCTTGTAATATACAGAATGTACAAAGTGTCTGAAGAATTCTGAATGAGCTTAATTAGCAGCTGTACAGCTTAGTGAGTTCTCTTCATTTTAATTACACTTCTTTTGATAATTTAAGGAGCATAGACACCTTCATAAATTAATATGTGAATGGAACTGAAACTGTCTTTAAACATTTAAAGTCTAGAACTTCATAGGTTGTAGAGGAGACCAAGTGGTGCAAATTTCCTTTCTAAAAATCTTATAAATAAAGGATTTACTTCGATAAACCTAGCTCTAACTGCGTATTCATGAGATGTTAGTAACAAAACCATAATTCTAACCATAGCCTGAACTCCTAACATACTAAGGTTAGATAGTAATAAGAGGCATCTGTGCTAAAAGTGTGACCACCTTAAGATACATAATCAGACTTGCAGAGGCTGTTACATGAGCTCATGAGCTGTCTCTCAGAGCTCCATACCTTCGAATGGCAACTGTGAGAGCCTCCGGAGAGCTGGCACAAGGACAGATGACCTCTGCACGCAGTCCCTTGCTCTGGAAGACATTGAGGAATGCATCGCAGGAAGATATAGACCCTAGGGGGAAAATATGATGGCAGAATTGTCAGCAAGAACGAATTTAAGACTGTACAATAAAAAAATAGTGAACAAAAAATATTTTATTACTTCGTATGGAATACTATATTTAAAGATTTAGAATGAATACAGGATTGGACTTATTGCCGGTTTCGATGGATAGTTTTGGGGTTCCAGCTCTATGCCTCTCATCTTAAAAGATCCAGCCAGTTTGTTTTAAAACACGTGGGCAGTCACCTCCTTTGCTCTATACCTGTTCCTTTTCATTAGCACATCTTCTGTCTCTGTCTTCATGCCTCCGAATCGCTCCAGTGGAGTTTTTGTTTGGAATGATGCCATGCACAGAAAGCTATTCAGTCTGGAACATCATTCTGACTCATCAGTTCCCTTAAAACAATTTCTCTCATGCTGTGTTTAAATATATTCATACTGCTTGCTGCTGTTTTTTTCCAACATTGGTGACAATGTTTTTCCTAACGCTGTTGCTTAAACAGTAAATTTACTACTGATTCTAAAAACTGTAACTACTTTTCTGTGGTTTTCATATAACCTATAGAAAAGTCTGATATTTGATCAATTAGATTAAATGGTCACCTGTAAAGAGCTTTGAGTTGAGTGTCCAGAAAAGCGCCGTATAAGCGTAAGCAATTATTATTATTATTATTAACATGTACTCTTTGCAAGATATAGGGGTCCTTACTCTAATCTTACGTAGGATGATTCTATTACTGGAAATCATTGCAAAAGCATTGCGCTTTTCAGAAGGTACATTATTCAATTTTATTTATTTCACTGGATTCTCTCAATGCCACTGATTAAAAGATCACAAACTTATGTTTTCTTTTTTGATTTATTTGAGGGAGATCTTAGAATCAGGGTGGCACAGTGGTGTCCTGGTTAGCAATGCTGCCTCACAGCCCTGGGCCCTAGGTTGAATAACTGGAACTCTGGTTTCTTACCACAGTGCAAAGACATCCTGGTAGGTTAATTGGCTTTGGGAAAATGTGTACGTTTGTGTCTATGTATGTCCTGACAAAGACTGGCATCTTGCCCAGGTCTTGCCTTGCGCCTACTGGTTGCTGAGATAGGCTCCGCCTCCCCCACAACCCGAATAGGATGAACGTTGGAAAATCGATAGACAGATGAATCTTGGAATCTAACTCACAGGGGTTGGATCCATCAGCCACAATTAACATGCGCAAGGAGCTGAGGTTGATGTCTCGTTGGTCTCGATGTGCCACCAAGGCCCAGTGCATATCTCTCGACTTCACACATGCTACTTTTGCTGAAAGCGGAAACACAGAAAAGCGCACGGTATAATACTTCACATTCGTGCCAGAAAGCCCTGCAAAGACTGAAAAAATATCCCTCTTCTAATTATAAATTTAAAATACAAAAAAAGGCAACAAGGATAATATAATGTATGCACTTTTAGGCACCTCAGAAGCCATCTGCAGTATCCTCTAAAATATTCACACTTTTTGCATGATTTATTGCATCAGTTCACTTGAGTTGTATTTGGTGACTAATCTTCAAGATAACAGTTACATTTAGGCATGAAAATAAAATAAACTTGGAACATTCCTTTAATCTTGCACCCTACCAAACTTTTAAGAAAATCGGTTGGCTTTTGATCAAACAACATCAAAAGGTTAGTTAAAAAATGCTTCAGCTTCATGCAAATGAGTTTCAAAGTGCACAGCTCTTGAATATTTCACTTAGTGGTTTTAAAACTGTGTAAGTAAATCTAAATTGAACAAGAACAGGTGCAGTACTCAAGGTAGGTCTGTAGTGTTTTACTGATTAGGCAGACTGTTAATACTGAATGTGGTAAGACTTTGTTTAGCTTACATATAGACTGTGAATGTATACAAACCTTTGTATTGACAAACTTTCTGTATCCAGGAAAGAGGGTTCACCTTCATTAGGGAATAGGGGATACTGATAACATGCATCATGTTCATGACACTCTGAAAGAGAAAAACATTATATTACTGCTTGTACTTAGGTAAAGCTATAGTGGTTATTTGGCATCATTTGTTAAAGTTTCCCTGCAGTATCTGAATTAATTTGTAAAGTGATCTATGCAAGAAGCAATCAAGATAACTCAGATTAAACAAATCTTCTAATTCTACCCAAAGCTATTTATGTTGATGCTTTTCATGTTTCTTTAAAAAGACTGGAAAAAATGAACTTCTCAAATTGACTTTTAAATAGGGCCCATTAACTTCCATATTTATGAATCAAATGATCCCTACGGCTTTCATGACATTACACCTTCATTATCATTTTAATTACTCTGACATGAAGTGTTGCACTGCACAACAAAAATAAGCCATTTCAGGTAATTGCAGTGTCATTTAACATTAAGGGGCATGTAAAGAAACAATGACAGAATGAAAGGTTAAAAATAATCAGCTTTTGACATGGTGAAGTGATTAACACATTTAGCCAATTAATAAAGTCTTCTCTGACCTGGAGGTTCTAAGGTAATTAGGAGTATCTGGTACCTGTTTAGAGCTTCACACTGCCCATGAAATCAAAACTCCACACAGCCAGTGTCTTTAAACTAGCTTTGCAAGTCATACAGGTGGTTAGAAATAGCATAGCATGTCATGACCACTGATATTAAAAAATATAACCATCAGATACTGTTATACCAAATATACAAAATATACCAAAATGAAACTCACACAGTTCCTATTTCACTAAAATTATTTTAAAAGTATTTTGCCATAAAGAATTAATTTGCCTAAAAACTAGGATTCTCCACACTGTAAAATGTATCCATCAGACAGTAATATCTTATCAGATACTAAACACTTACTGAATGAAAAGTGACTTGCTTATTTATCAGTACTAGACAAAATACAAAGAGTGTACAAAACATTAGCGACACCTGCTCTTTCCTTGAAATGGACCAGGTAAGTCCAGGTGAAAGCTATGGTCTCCTGAACCTAAGCTACACTTCAAAGTAGATGAAGGGGAGGAGACAGGATAAAGAAGGATTTTTGAGGCTGGAGATCACTGAGACACGGATTGTGTATGTGAGGCAGAATGGGCACTGGTGTAAGTATGTCAAAAACTACAATGCCACGGGGGTTTTCAAGCTCAGTAGTGTTCTTTGTGTATCTGGAATAGTCCACCGCTAAAAAGACATCCAGCCAACAGCAGGCCAGTGGTCGAAAGCAGCACATTGATGAAAGAGGTGAAAGAAGGCTGACATGAATTGTGCAGATCAACAGACGGTCTACAGTTAGTCAACTGATAGCCCTGTACAACACTGCTGCCGAAAGACCCATACAAGAACACACAACTCATCGTACCTTGACGGATGGGGTATGGCAGCCATTAACCTTAAGAGTTCCAGTTCTTTCAGCAAAAAACAAGAAGGAACGAAAACATTGGATACTAGAGAATTGGAAAAACATAGCCTGGACTGATGAATCCTGGTACCCGCCTTTTCACACTGATGGAAGGACTGATGCATCCATCATGCCATGTATCAACATACAGTGGTGGTGGTGGTGTGATTGTGTGGGGAGTATTTTCATGGCACTCAGTGGGCTCCTTAATAAAAATGGAGCAACATTTGAATGCCATAGGATATCTGACCATCACTGCCAATCAGCTGCATCCCTTCATGGCAGCAGTGTATCAATCTGTAAATGGATTTATTTCAGCAGGATAATGCCCCATTCCACAATTGTCCAGGAATGGTTCCATGAACATGACAATGAATTCATCTTAATGCAGTGGCCTGCCAAGTCACCAGATCTCAATCCAATTGAACATCCATGGGAATGATGCTATTTGGAGCAGAGATCCACTATCAGCCAACTCAACACAACTGTGGGAAGCACTGGAGTCGGCTTGGGCCACCATCCCCGTGGAAAGCTTTCAACACCTTGTTGAGTCCATGCCCCAACGACCTGAGGCTCTTCTGAGAGCAAAAGGGGGTGCAAAGCAATATTAGGAAGGCCTCCCTAATGCTTTGTTCACTCAGTGTATGTGAAAATTCTCAATATACAGGAATAAAGAATCAAGGAAAAATGTGATAAACCCAGATTGGATTTTTTTGGTCTTCTCAGTATGTGTATTGTTATAAAATAAGTTAATACCAAAGTAGCAAAAAAAGAGAACCTACTGTGAGAATGCCATGCCACAGGCCAACATCCTTCTTAAAGTCTAATACATTCACAATGGTCTCAGCTGTCAAAGACAAAACACATTATATTTTCACTTCTTACCATAAAAGGATTAAAAGTACTGTACTTACACTTTAAAAACATGCAAAACATATACTATAAAGCATTATACTGTAGTTCTATGTATGGTCTTGAGATGTTACGACAATTTTATTTTATAATATATGAAGTAAGTATAAAATCCACATGTTTGTTGCATGTCTATCAGATTGGGAAGATGGAACCAACCTTCTGTATATCCACAGGCTTGAGTGAGGGCCTGACAATGGGTGAGCAAAGCAATCCTTGTCACAGTCACTCCCAGCACACTCCCATCCTTGCAGGTCTTGTACTGTTTAACAGTGTTAGAACATTGACATTCATTTTAAAACAATAAAATACATTACACTGACCTACTGAAACACTGTTCCTGACAAAAATTAGCTTCTAAGTTTTAGTGTTATTCCCCTACTTTAAGAGAGATCATTTGTGCGAAGTTTCTCTACCTATATAAACTTTTTCTCTACAGCAAGAAATCCTCATCATTGTATTAGACAGTTACAGTATTTAAGTGGCATCTACAGTATATATAATATGGATAATTCCATGCTAAACATATCCAATTCTTTGTAAGAACTCTGTACATTTAGAAGGTCTATACTATTCCTAATCTATTTTCTATCTGATTGCAATAATGTAAAAAATCTGAAATGCGATGGAAAACACAGAAAAGCAATAAATTACATTATGAATCACCACTTACAGTATATTCACTTACATTCACTTACACCTCATAGTATCCATCATACTTTATTTACTTAAATAGCAAAAATAAATACAAAAAAGGTATACATTAACGCAACAGCAATGCATTTGTTATTTCAGGTTATATAACATTCTCTCCAGACTAAGCTGAAAATAGTAAAGGAAAAACAGTCATAAGAACAAAACACCCATGAAATAACCCATCCCAGAAGAGCCACACCTTCTGTCTGTCTCAAACAATACAGCACACTGTGAAAATCTGTGCCTCTTGGACTCAGAAAGCCAATTCAATTCCGCTGAAGCCACTGAAGCCTGAGCCAGATTAGAACATAAGAAGCCGGTGAAGTACCCTAATAGGGCACTCAGTGCCACTGTTTTATGTCCTTTATGGCTCCCTATTTTTGTCTCACTGAAAATGAAAGGCAGAGGCCATTTCTCAAACACAGAGTACAAGTTCTGCTCCCTTGCGTCAGTTGCAAAAAGGGAAACTTAACTTAATTTGAACAGTGTGGATCACAGAAACAAACACGTCTAAATGCAACTTGATCCGCAAGAAAAATGGAGGCAGGAGTAACGAAACACTGAGGAAGCACAAATATGATGCCATTACTGCTACTGAAAATCCCTTTAAATAAGACTGCCCATATTTTACATTATTTTCTAATTTTGTAACAATGCATAGCTATGTATCATGGCAGAAACATCAGCCTTCTTTTGATAACGAACAGCTAATGGAAACTTTCATAATTTCATTCTGCCAAGAATGAGACAAAGGTTTTTTTTATGAGCACACAAGTAATATGACCCAAACATTAAATCAAAAGAGCATAATTGCACTTTAAAAATAGAAATGTGTGGTTTTCATATAATCTTTTTGCTAAAACAAACTCTGCAACAAAACTAAAAACAAAATGCATTAAATTCCAAGCTTCTGAACAGCTGAGACTAGAAACAGCAGCATTCCTCACAGGTGATATGCTATACTCTTTAATATTGCAATGTTAATTAGGATACATGTTAGTTCTGGTGCAAAAACATTGGTTTATGTAGGCATACAATAACACAATGCAGTTGCAGAAATTCATAATATTGAAATATTTTAGGTTTTATTCACAAACTGATCATAAGAAGATAAGAAGTTTCAGTAACAACCGAAAAGGAGGTTGTTCGGTCAATTTAAATTCCAGATGGTAAATAGATTCTAATCTGTAAGTCTGAAATAATGAACAGAGAGTGTTTTCTGCTTCTGTTCTAACAGTATGAAAACCATTGATGACCTCACCTCAATGTAGGCAGTGTCATTATTTGCATCCTTGATATGTGGGAACCAATCTCGAGGAGGTTTGGACAAATGTTTAGACTCTGTAACAAACCACAGCAGCTTTGGCCACCCTGAAAAGAGAGCCAAAGAGAAACAGATACATTTTCTCTCCTGAATGACAAAGAATGCTAACACCTGTCTTTCTATTGGAAATTCAGTTTATTTTATTGTGCTAAGTTAAACCAGAAAGAAAAACATGATTTTCTGTATACGGCAATAGTTTCAGTACACCAAAAAGTACAGAAAAATACAAATAAGTAAGATAATCAAGCACATTTGTTTGCCAAAACTTAACGTTAACTTCCCATTTAAAAAAAATCATATTATTCCACTACTGAGAGGCATTCTAAAACAAAAACTGATGAAAAACAGGTTTACAAAAATGTAGTTTTAGTTATAATTGCTACTCTAACATTCTACACTTTCTGTAGTCATAGTGGTACTCATGTCGCTATAAAGCTTGCTGTCATCTGCTTTGTAAAGCAACACAGCTGTTGTGGTATCACAATGCATCAATCAATAGCATCCACATCAAGAAAACTGGAACACTTCTGTCTTGTTGACCATTCACAAAGACTTAAATTTAATTTTTTAACAAGTTTCCTAGCAAATTGGCTGTCACGAATCATAATACATTTAATTTAACTCATCCATACATTTAAGGTGTACATGTTGTAGGTCTCCCAGTTCATCTATTTGAAGGCATAACTCCAAGGACCTCTCTTTCACCAGTTTTTCTCTATTTTTCTGGGAGATTTGTTACAGCAAGGACACACGATGCATCACTCAACTGAACGGCACTTTTTGCAGCCTTCTAAAACACTAATTTCTTATGAGATTCCCCAGGTTTTAATTGATTAAAAAAAAACGTGTTTTTAGCTCTGAAGTCAAACTTCCTTGTCTATAATAAATTAATTCTAGATTTTTATAGTTAAAGAAACTAAGATACATGGTCTTTGCATGATGAAGATAAATTATAGTTAATGAAATAACAATACCTTTGAATTGTGGTATCTCTCCTGTTGGGCTTTTCGGCAGTCCTTTATGGCAGGCATCACTAGTCAAGGCTACTGTGACTCCACAGCTTCCTAACAGAAAACCGATCTGCTGACTTCCTGCATCCTGGGCCAGATTTGGTAAAGACAACAAAGCATGTTAACTGATTAAAGACAGGACAGATGAGTTGACCAACAAAATGCATAAAGGCAAAAAATCCCCAAAATCCCCAACCCCTGCAAAAATCTTAAGAGCCGAACTCTAACTCATGCTTACTTTACCAAAACAAGCTTAGGAATATCAACAGAAAAGAATAAGAGTATTTCAATTTCAAACCTAACATATGTGAACGCCCTACAAATGAAATTTAAGAAACACCTAGAGCTCCTTGAACTTCCTTAGCAACTGTTACCAACCAAAAGGTAATTTTTGCTCTGTTGCCCTTGGCTGCTATTTTCTACCTGGTGTTGCCATGTCTCTCACTCTAAGAAACGGCTCACCTGGTTCATACAGCATGTAAGACAATTTGCCAGTACTTCAGAATTCCATATCTTCTGAAGTGTGAGAGCTACCACAGTGCTTTATTTACCATGAAGAAAAGTGCACTTGAAATGTTTTTTTCTTTTCCCACCATTGCTGGTAACCTTAGCTGGACACATTTCACAAGATTACATGTCAGACAGTATACTGACATTTGAGAAGAAGATGCAAGTTTAAGAGTGTTTTTGGAGTGTTAATCTCCAGCCATTACACAGCATCGCATTCACAATTTTAAGCATTCTCTTGCACCAAGCAAAAAGTCCAAAAATTCTCTAAAGCCAGAAGCATTACAGGCAAGACTAAAGGCAAAAGTCCGAAAAATAGACAAATGGATACTAAGGACATACGGTATGTCATCAGATAATGGAGAAGCCAGTGACCAAACAGATCTATTCAAAGGTGAAACGGTTCTTCTGCCAGCTTTTATCCAGTAAAAGTAATTTTATAATTGTGGTACAGTATATTGACAGACGTATGATGCAATACTGCACTGGGGACAAGAGCTTATTAAATTTAACTTTTCAAATAAAAGAAATCTGAAATAGAACAAAACAAAACAAAAGGAAAGGAACACAGACAAACAGTGCAATACTTTAACATTAACAATGGTTAAATGTTATTCTATTTTAAAGAAGGTAATGTAATCATAATGTAAATATGACTGGTATTTAAATTAAATATATTTCCAGGGTAGAGGTTACTGAGATAAAAAAAATATCGGTCTCATTTGTGTACATTTATTCAGACTTTGTTTTCAAATCCATGTCCAGTACTTGGTTCAGAGCACCACTTCACTGTCATTTTATACGATTGTTGTAAAATGTCTCTAAACATTTTCTTTCCCAAGTATCTGAAAAACTGCAATACAAAGTGACAAAATGAATTGATGACAAGCATGCACTGGTTTGTTAACGGATGTTGCAAGAGTGAATTTTAGGAATAAATAATCCAACAGATTATTAAGGTAACGATTATGTGTAATGAAAATGGTCTAAAAGTCAAAATGAGAGTCATGTCAATCAGTCTTTGAAAGTGTAGAGTTATGAGTGAAAACGGTTATTTTTTACATTCAAGATGCGAATATGCTCCTACAGCAAAATGATCATTATTGTACTAAGTGAGTTTTATACTGTATATATTTGTGTGTTGGATAGATTTTGTGTATGCAGACTGGGTCTTTCTTCCTCATATTGAAGAGTCTCACAGAAAGTCACATTTATAATTTGAATTGCTAGAAAGAGCTAAAATGTTGAGAGTCTTTACACAGACTAGGTTTATCTAATCAGATAAGCAAACCTTAGTCAAGTAGAGACAACAGATGTGTGTCTGAAACCAGACCTTCTGGATCGGACAGGTTAAGCTCAAGTGAACAATGCTGTCCTTGAAAAGGCAGATTGTTAAGGGATTTAATAGGATAGAGGAGAAGCAAGCAGACAAGAGTGTTTGAGCTCCAGCATTAAAATCTTCACCATTTTGATTCCTCCATATCAACCAACCAAGAACTATTAGGCATAAAGCACTGAAGGAACTAGGGAAAAAAGTTTTTTCTTATTTATAGAAATATTTAATTTTCCTTTTAAACCCACCAGACAAAGTTTGATACTCTAGCTTGTATCTGGATACTTTTACTGTATAAATAGGGACCAGTGGTTGTCTCCTTTTAGCAAGAAGAGAATGTAAGTTTTCCCTGAAGCATTATTTATTTTATGAAAGTATGACTTCATCAGAAAGCATTATTTGATTATTAAGACTCATTGAGTGTGGATGTTGGATGTTTTGATCTCATGCTTTGTGCTAGCAATTTACAAAAAATAGTTTGCGTGATTTGTGTGTTGCATGTTAGTTTTGTTTAGTAGATCCTGGTATTAAACTATTACTGTACCTATTTATTGTTCATCTACCAAATGATTCATGTAAAATTAAGTGGTTGTATAATTTTTTACCTGGAACAGTGCTTGTACATATGCTGGTGTCACAAATGTTATTGAACCTCTGTTAATTATTCAACACCCCCTTTTTATAACCATATATACAAAGAAATAGCGGATAGGAAAAATAACACAAAGGAACCATGTACAAGATACAGATGTGCCTACAAGATGGCAACTCATTTTAAGACAGACATACAAGTAAACAAATATTTGGAACAATGTCAAAACTAAGTGTTAGCAGTGATGAAGTGAAATCATGCATTAGTCTTCTCTTCTCCAAGGATACAGACAGAATGTAAGGAACAGATGCATTTTTATCGAACAACTGGAGCATGAGATTATGTGGCATTTAGCAGCATGTGGTTTTTGTTTTAGTAAACCTAAACATAAATACATGGGGAAAATGCCATAGTGCTGAAATGTAAATCAATGCTTAAATACATATGCCTCATTGGTTTTGAAAATTCAGTGTAACTGCAAATATTTTAAACATGCACGTCAAGTCTGCCAAAGGAAAAGTAAAGTTTGAGATGTCTGACTGGACAATGCTTTATGGAACACCCTAGAAATATACGCTGACTCCGTAATAAAATGATGTAGGTCAAGGAGAAAGTGCAAGCTAAATTAAAAATGTCAATGGGCAGGGCTACCTTATTGCATTTAACAACTTTATTTTAAAAGTATATAGCATGTTAACTGAATAACATCATTTCATATGACTCACTTAAGTCTCCCCCTCACATGATGTAATGGGTAGGAGGAATATTGTTTTTCTGGCAAACAAATATGCTTTCATATTGTTTGGAAACAGAGCTAAACACGTCATAAAAACAAATCTCAGATCCTGCAGCTTTCATAACATAACCAACCACAACGTGCTGGATCTCCTCATTCCTCACAGAACACCAGCTTGATTTCATCAGCTGATTCTGCATCAGCAGCTCTCAGAAATGTGGTGGAAGAATCTTATCTACTGGCAGGCTAGAGCATCGTAAGAAATCATGCTATCTCAGTTAGTGAGAGAGTGCCAAATTAATGTCAAGTGTCTACAGACTATCCCATTCTCAAAAAATGTTCCTTAGCATCTGGAAAGTGACTAATGGATTGCTATTTTAACTTGATGACAACACTAACTATTCACTACGTGATTACCCTACTTAAATTTACTTAAACCAAGAGAATTTCAAAACATTGAGTTCTGAAATTGATATATTGTTCTAACAAGTGTCCTAACTACACTCTCTGTGAAATGCTACAGTATGTGATAAACCTAACAGTGCAAAATTAGTATAGCTAGGAAGATTTCAGATCAAACAATTATTTACTTTTGGTCTAGTGTGATGAAAAATAATTGAATTAAAAATGACTGATGAAAAATGAAATTACTATTTTTTAACAGTAAATCACTATGCAACAGTGTCTTTAATGAAGGTTAATATAAATTAACAGCTTACAGTATGTCTTTTTTTGTCTCCACATCAGTATCTAGATGTCCCCATTTTTTCATGGCTTGAGAGCCATTTGCATGCATACTTGCTTTTTATTAATTGCAAATAAGCTCTATTATTGTAATTGCAAATTAGAAGTTATGTTTATAGGACAGTCGTTTGTTTTGCTCTTTTTTAAACCGAGGAACAATGATTCTGAATAAACCAAACACACTGGTTGGCACTGATGGATTACTGTACATCCATAGCAAAACTTTTAACAATATAGGCTGCAGCTTAGTGAATTTTATAAACAACTTAACATTTAGCTATCTATTATAATACAGCCACAAGCAAGATATGATGATGGGAATTAAATTATCTATACTGTTCCCAAATAGTCTGTATTAGAAAAGTAAATGCCTAAAGCATGAAGAGAATCACGCTTAAAATGAATTTCAGTTTAGAAGACAACTATTTTTTTACAGATTAAACAAACCCAAATGGAAGAGTAATGGCATAGAGTAATAGGATCCTGAAACACATACATAACATGTTAAATATGTATTCCAGAGCATTCTTTTCTTTTCATATTTCTAGAATAATTCTCATGCCTCTCTTTTCTGAGATTATAACCACAGTAAAGAATCCAAGCAAAATATTAAGACATCTCCTGAAAAGGATGTCTTAAAAATGTTCTTCCATTCACTGGTTTCATGTTTACTCCATACTGATACTCCACATGTGATGCAATTTTACAAAATATGATGAACTAATTATCTTATTTAATAAAATATATTATTTGAACATCTAAGTATATGTTTGGATGTACATTAATTTATAAAATATTTAGAAGGTAAAATATTTGCATTCTTTTAGCCAATAATACATTTTAAATTTATATGATTTTTAATATTGTTTTTAAGACACAACTGAAAGGCTTATTGTGTTTTCAGTTTCTGAACCAGGAGGATTTCAAATATGTCCATTAAAATGTCTTGGTGGAAAAACAAAAAAAGAACAGGGAGGACATGTTGTGTGAGAACAGAAAAGGGGAGTCTATTAAGGGAGTTTTAAAATTCCTCTAAATTCCAAACAGTTTCAGTTCTGTCATGTGGACAACATGAATGTACTGAACAGGTTCCAGAATGAGAGATAAAACAATAAAAATAATAATTAAAACCTGTCAAATGTAAAATAATAAAGATGGATAGCCAAAAATGAATCCTATGCACAGAAAGATAAACTCACAAAACGCTCTTTGTCATTTGCCAGCTTTCATAAGTTGCAGCCCATTCTGTACCTCTTTCATCAAGAGGGCCTGGCAGTGATACTGGTGCCGGCTGCTAATTTGGAAAAACACTTGCTCTTTGTTCTCCTTATCAAGCATATGGATATTTCTTCCTTACGCAAGACAGTACAAAGAATCTCACTATCTGATTTTACTAAAGGACAGGATATCTTCCCTTAACAAATACACCAGGAAACAAAAAAGTCAGTTAATATCAAAACATTGGGTTAAACCAGACAATATCTGGCATCAATTTTGAGATAATTTTACAAAATACAGGTCCAAGACTCCTATACACCTTGGAAATTTATGCAGAGTGTTGCAGAGCAGTCCCTCATTTTTCAGTACATCAACAGTATATCTAAAAATGGTCTGTGTCCACGGCCTCTCTCTCACTTAGATGACTGAAGAACAAAAACACACTTTAGTGGCAGTATAGCACTCACAAACCATAATGCAGTCTATAAGAAGTAAAGCAGCAGGCAGTGGAAAACAATAAAATTATACAGACTAATCAATTCAGTGCGATAAAAAACAGAATTGGAGAGTTGCTCTTAACTGTAACTCCAAGGCTAAAAATCTACCCTAGAGATCTTGCAGAGGAAAAAGTGTAATATTACACCACGTCACACCAGTTTGAGCGCTGTTACTCAGCTACACAATAAAGCAAAAATCAATATACATAAATAAGTATACAATTAAACTACTACTGCTAATGATTCAAAATCATTAAGTCTGGGGCACTCATTTTCAAGATGTCTTCTGGAATGGGTTTGCAGTCCTATGTCGGAGTGTGTCACCAAGCCTGCACACCACTCACTACTATGCACGACCAAAACTTCAAAACTTCAGGCCTCAGAACACAAGCACTTCTCAGATAAGTCTGTTCCAGATTGTTTCAAAGCTTCAGGCCTCAGAACACAAGCACTTCTCAGACACCTACAGCTAACATCACAGAAAACACACAACCTCTGCAGTGAACAACTGGTGTATGTGTGTTAACATCTTGAAAATTAGTGTGGTAAACTTTAAGTTCATACATTTAGAAACGTATTAAGATGTAGAAAATGAAAAGAGTTACATACAGTATATGGTTCTAATGACGAAGGGGCTCGCATAACAGTGTAATTGAAACTTTGCTTCTTGCTCTTTAAGGTTTTGTGTGCTTTAGCATCTTTAGAAAACTCTAACCTGTTTTGCAAAAATACATTTGTAGACCCTTACCTTTCTGGTTAGTGGCACTTCAATGGGCACAGGAACAACTTCAGCCAACAGGCAGCCATAAAACGCAACCATGAATGCAGCAGGATCGTTGTTGGGGAAGACAAGAGCCACCTAAATTCACAATTAATAAAGCGAAAAAATTAATTCTGAGCAGAAGCACTGAAAATGTAAATGATAATAAGATTATAAAATAAACAGATTGAAATTGCAAAGATTTAAGATTATGTGGCAAGCCATATCAGAGCAAGAAATAGTTTCTTACTTGAAAATTTTGTAAAAAGCAGAAGTACTGGTCCAAAGCCAACACAGCAAGATATCTTTCAACATGTTTATGTATAACATTTTATGTTAGAAGATCTGTTGTATTCCTTTATCTTTAGTGAATACTTTTAATTTGTACAGAAAGTCAAAATCTCATTTTTCTTACTTCACAAGTAATAAAGCCACCAGCTGATTTAAGAATGTAAGAACCATCCAGTAGCTTCCTGATGGATCCCAGTTTGGGCTTCAGCAACATGGCTCGGAAAATATTCCAGACAACTATGACTCAGCAAAGAAGCATTTCCTATTCTCCATCCATAACAATGTCCCTTTTAAGTTTCCAGTTGTGTCCCCATGTCCTTAATTTGCAGCCAAGTCCTAATTTGACTCAATTTTCTACTTTATCTATAACTTTTAGTTTGCAAATTTACCTTTCATTTTTCTGGAATCTAAATGTTACTGTATACAGTACCATATGCTTTAGAGGTAAAACCTGTCCTTTCTGCTTGTTAAATTACTTAAATAATAAGATCAATGTCACAGTAGCTGTCTCTTAAAATGCTATTATTCTGTAATCAGTCTTGCAATTTAGTTCTAATGTTTGTTTCCACAATCTTAACAGAAACAGAAGAAATCTAATGGTTTCAAGTGTCCTGGTTCAGATTTCTCCCTATTTTAATAAATCTGTCTGCACAGATGAAATAACGTTTACAGGTCTATGAATGATATCCATTTCTTCCTTAAGTACGAATGGGGAAAAAAAATCAGTCCCCACTGAATTTCTTTCTATTTAGATGGCCTAGTCCCTGTAATATATCCTCAGTGTAAGTTATTATAAAATTACTCAGTATTAACAGAGCTCTTTGCATAACCTGGAGCATGTTGCTGACATCTTCTTTTGTAAAAACCTCTGTGACATTTTAATTTTGCACGTTTATTTTTCTTTTTAATCTTTGTCATTAGCTGATTAACTTGTGTTGGCTTTAAGTCTGATTAATTCAAGGATTCAAGGAACAAATTTCCCTTCTGACATTGTTTAATTAAGATACTGCTGATCATCTTATATAGAACATTCTCAGACAGCTACAGTTGGAACATGTTATGGCTAGCATTTACAGGTAAGGAAGCAACAGTGTGAAGCAGAAGAACAGGCTGTCAAGCAACTAAATAATCTTTAAAGCATTTTAGAAACTAATTTCAAGTGTGTCATAAACAGATAACATTTTTAACACATCAATTTAAAACAATTAAAGGTGTGAGTAGTCGACAAGAAAGTCATACAGGCCACAAAATATTTTAAATAACAGAATGCGCTATGATTTGGTTTTGCTTTGTATGTTTTTACACAATTAAACATATCCTTCTCTCTCAGCATACTGTGTTTTTGCTCCATTATTGGAAAAGTTCCAGTTCAATCTAGACTGAAGTTACACATGGTGAGGGTTAGAAAAATTCTTAAACATCCCAATGAGGGCAAACTATTTTGATAATGCATTTCTGTTGAAAGTAACTCCCTGCTGTTACTCCATGCTGAAACTGAATCAAGATGTTTAGAATGTCTTACAAATAAGAGAGACGGGTTACTGATTTAAATTCATGAACAATAGTACTGTTCACTGATTGGACAAAGCAAATGTGGACTTTCGACTTAGTTCTGAGGTCAGGTGGCCTCACTTACTAAATATTATGCAATTCCAGACATAAAAGTATGGCTGAACATATAAAACTATTAAAATCGTTATCCTGAAATTATGACATCCTGACTTGTAATACTGGAACTATCTGGAACAAATTCTTTGCCTGTTAGCAAGATCACTAGATTTGCTAAAGGGGTCATTTCTAGTTCAAAGAGGAGCTGCAAAAGCCAAAATAAAGACTACATGTTTAAACTTTTAAGCTGAACTAGAAATCATAGTGCATACAAAGATATTGCTAAGTCCCAATGTTGTCTTAACTATATGTTTTGGTATAAGGATCTGGTAAAGGTTTATTCCATGCTGAAAGGAAAAGAACAGAGATAAGTTTTGTATGCTTTTTAGAAACCATACATCTGGGTTTTCCCTTTCAGAAATCAGCTGATGTTGTCTCCTCCAGATGCTTTCCTTCTAGTGTGTGGGTAAAGCCCTGATACATTTTTTTAATGATGAATTGGCATTGAAAGTACTAGAACCGTCTTGACAAGAAAACTGCTCTTTAACCAAAACACAAAATCTATTCTAAGAATACATTTGAATAATGAAAACGATAAATGCATGTTCATTTAAAAAAAACTGCCAATAAAATCTACCATCTTATTCCACATTTAATAATGCTCTGATGCACGCTGGAAATGATCTGAATAAACATGCTCTTAAGTGCAGCTAATAGCTACCACATTGTGACTAGTTTGTAAAAGAGATGGCCTCTTGACTCAGATTTAAGTGCACTTTGCTGTATCAGTAATGACTGCAAACCACAAGTCATCACACAATTTCTCAGTCTATCGTAAAAGATTAGATATGACAACAGAGTCATATACGAGTCAAATGGGCTTCAGTATAGAAATCGACAACACAAAAATGAATATAACTGTTACTTTTGTCTGAATCTGAAGAAAACACACCTTTTCTTCAAATCTGAATCCTTGTTGCAAAACAGGCCTTCACAATATATAAAGAGTGCAAGGAGATTCATTCTAAGGTTACACTGGCCCTTTTGACCTTTTTAACACAAGGAAACAATCAGGCGTTGTCAGATCCATTTCGGCAAACCTTACTTTTTTATCTCGTTTTTCTTTTGGAAACATAAAAGGCTTTTTGAAACAAAAATAGGGGTTACTGAAGAGGATCAGAAGGAAGGTTAAGAAGATGTTGGATGTTAAACATTCCAAAAGATACTTGAAAATTGGTATACAGTATATGCTGGCCTTCTCCCGGCATATTGTAATGATGCCTTACGTTTTCCAGCATGCTTGACACCACAGATATTGTCACCAACAAAAGGACGTGATCCATACAGAAGCTAAACAATCACACTATTTTCTTGGGGTTTCTTGGGTATGACCTCATGCAGAGGGAGAATATGCAAACCTCATGCAGAAGCAGAATATCATCATGCTTGCCTTACTGCAAACATTGTGTTCAGACCTACTCAAACAATAAAAGAATACTGTTCTCTCTTAAGCAAGGCTGTAGAGATAATAAAAAAGTCAATACACGGCAGTCCAATCTGTATACTGGGTTTTGGTTATTTTGCACATTTGTTTGTAATGCAAAGAGCTGTTCTTAGAACTTTTATGTTATTTTCATTGCATTTGCTTTCTGTCCATCTTGAAGTGTGCAAAATCAGATTGTAGAATGCATATGTACTACTGAATGGTCTTAACCTTAGTAGACTTAACAATAACAGCTCTAGGAAAACTGTTTTATTTATTCTTTAGACAAATTCTTTTCATTCTGAAAGACCTTTTGCATTATAAGTACTAACTCTATGTTCAGAAAGTAGAAAGTGGTTATATAGCTAAGAGCTTCTTTGACAATTGAACAGTTCAGTATCTTACATTAGGGTTTATTTAATACCACCTTCTAATTTTAGTATACATCTCTGAAGTGCTTCTAAAATGCTTACTGTACATGGACATTTATCCAAACATTTTGAAAACAATGACTGATTTCTTACTCACCCTGTCTCCTGGTCTGACCATCGGCTCCTGCTTTGTTCCCAGTTTGTGCAGAATATTATAGGCCACTTTCATACTCCTGGTCCACAGTTTTCCTGGCCAAAGAAATTGGAATGTTTAGCTGCCTGGTAAAGACTTACTATAAATTCAAATTGTTTTTTTCATGCTTGAATATTTTTTAATTTTCCTGTTTTCCTTATATTCAGATATCCCATGTTCAGTACCGTCTTGAATTTCAATACATGTATAATGAATACCAGCATCTTAGCAGTATTTATTGAGCATCAAAAGAAACACATACTGGAAGTACAACAATTTCATAGAGTTATATTCAAGACAAGTTATATGACATTCTATTGAACAGATATGTCATTGGCAAATTCATTATGCTGGATTGTCATCAACAGAGGGTCTTATTCTAAAGGCCGGTAGCATGTGTGGCCTCCAGTTAAAGCAGGTGGGCATCTGTAATGTACATGTATGCTTAGAACTAAGATGCTGTGTTGGGGAGTTCTGTACAATTCATCTCATGTGCCTGTTCACTGGTCTCTGAGCCTTAGATGCTACACATCATTCTAGCTCACCCTACTAATGTAAAATGGGGATCACGTATGTTGAGTAGGGCAACCATTACATTCTTTTTTGGCAGGAATAAAGTCACATCGGGATGTGCCTGCAGGAAGATTAGCAGATGAGGCCCCAGGGCTTGATAAAGGTAGGGGTTTGTAGTCTCTTTGCCATAAAATAACTACAAAGTGGAGTTATGAAGCGACTATTCACTCCTGCCCAGAACATGACACTTGGATCCCCCAAAAGTTGGTCTATTGTAAACAACAGTACCAGGTGTACAACAATTAAACATTAGGGTACACAACACAAGATCTTCAATCAAAGCTAATGCGAAATTGGCTCCACTGCTTGCAAGTCCACTAGAGGTGTTGCTCCAATAACTAGATGACATGAAGACGTGATTATCTCCAGAAGCAGGATGAATTTGTTCCTTTCTGTTTTTTCTTTCTTGATTTTCACCAGGGCTTGGCATTCAGATAAATCACCTAAAACTGGCTGGGCCAAATCAAGTCCCTCACTAATGAGGTGATTTAGTGCTTATGCTAATACACCAAAATGACATTTAATCAATTTCCAAAATCTGTATGCTGTTTTTTTTTCTAAAAACAAGCATAAAGTTTCTTCTGATGCTCAGTATATATGCACTTTGACAGAAAATATCCAGACAACTGCACACATTAGTAGAATAATCTTTTTGTGTGTTCTGCACACTTGTATTAATGCAATGTATGGTACCCATAAACTTTTTTTATTATACTTTTGGTAAATATACAGTATATATACATATGAGATGGTAGCTGGAGCTTTTAATTAAGATGATCATACATCTAAATCCACACACTGGTATACATAGTTAATAAAATAAATACCTAGTATCTTTTCCAGTCCTCACAACCCTATAAAACAATTTCTAAAACTATGACCATAATGAAGGTAATATTTCTGTTTTTCACATGACTGCAAAATATATTGCAATATTGCACGTTTAAAAAATTTACATTCAAAAGTTCAAACAAAAATAACACTAAAAAACATAGCAACACTGCAAAAAACCCAAGACTGAAAGTCTTAACGAAACCCTCTTTACAATTCGTGCTATTATTTGACTTGATATTAAAGGAGTCCTTCAAGACATACAAAATTCTTTTCCATTTTAATAGACAACTGTTTTAAAATAATTTTAATAATCCAATTCATTGTTTATTTTTGTACTTCTAGCAAATATTCTAAAAAACTGAAACATTTTCTTCATGACAATATCTGTTGTATTTCTGAAAATTTCACTTATTCTAAATCAAAATTCTTTTGATTTTCTTTAGCAACAGGAGATTAAACTATTTTTGGGGGGTGATACACTCACAGCTTACTGACAGTGTATTACACCTTACAGCACAATACTATTTAAGGTCAATGTTCCATACTACCAAACCTACTTGTGTAAAGAGAGGATTCTCGGTTTTAAAAGCATTTTCATATACTGTAGTTTCAACTTGTGTCCCCTGGTTTGGTTATCACTGATCATTCTGTAGAAGTTCATAAGATTAGCTTTGCCAGTGCCTTTGAGGAACTGAAAACTAAAACACATCCCCTTGCAGTCACCTCTTTTTAGGACCAAATCGTGTCTGATTTTTGAGTTAGTCAGTGTACAACTTGCCTTTGAACATATCTGGTTGCTAATAATTTGGCTTGCTGTTTTGGCTATAAATTTCCATCCACAAACAGCATCTCTAAGATGTGTTAATGGTGACATTTAGAACTGCAGAATAATTAAACACTAACTTAACTCCCTTATGTCAGTCCTGATTATCAAAGGTTTCTTTTTTAATATGGAATTCTTCAATAGGCCATGCTACTGATACAGCTGACCATGGCATGAGATCTAAGGTGATCTACAGGATATAACTTATGCGTCCCCTCTGTCCCAAGTCACCTTATAACATGGAACTCTGAAACATGAAACCCTTACATTTTATGATGTTAAATATCTGTACTACACTGCTCAGTAGCTCAGCAACATACGCCAAGTTTAAAATGAATCTGGCCTGATGGAGTTTGGATGACATTCATCTGCCCTAAGCTTTCCTCGATCTCTCTCCAAAATGCAATTGTAAGCACTGCTGTGTTGTTTAAATTGAAAAATTAAAATCAGGGATATATTACCCATTTTGTCTTCAAAGATGTAAGCTTTTCTAATATATTGCAATTACAACATTCTATACTGTCATGATGCCCATTATTATATATCTGTAAAGACGTTTAAAAGAGACACCTCATTTTAAGAAGATGAATATTGACAAATAAGATGTGTTAGCTCATTTGTATTTTGGTACATAAAAGCTGTTTTGTGAAAGACGCCAGGCAATCACCTTTAATATCACTGCTGGATTGCTTGTTCCAAATCCCACTACCTTACTTATTACAATTATTTAATCATTTCTACTTACAGATTTATTATGTGAAAGATTATTTTCTTCACTAAAAGTGACAACTGTGGACTTTGTACTTAAACATATTACATGGTCATTTCATGTACTTTACCGAATTATGAAAATATATTCTACACATGATGACTGTAAATAGTTAAAAATTATTTTAGGATTAATACTAGTGTTTGATCACTGCTTCTTAGCACATCTAAGCATTAGAAAATGCTACTACGCAGGTCCACTCATGTGATGTGAATTGGTATGCATCCTATTAATTTATCCTATCCTATAAATAACACAACTAATTATAATCTTACATAAATAAAAACTGAACTTTTTGCCACAATTTACTTACTCAACTTTGTTTTATTTTAAAATGGAAAAAGGAAACATTTCTCATTGTAAGACATTAAATATCACTAAAAAGACTGTGTATATAATTCAAATGTAACCACTATTGAATTGCTAAATCATATCTACTAACCAGGCAGTTAGTCAAATGGATTCTGGAAAGTCTTATGTGTTTTAGGGGTGTAAGCAATGGATGTTCAATTTGGTATCTTAATCAATTTCTTATTTTTCACATTACAAAAGGGCCAGATAATGCTTGAGAAGAATTAAAGATTTTTTCAATTTATTCAACAAGCTTGAGAACCTGACCCTCTATGGCACACAATCATAAGCCATTTCTCACACTTCCTACAGTATGTCAATTATGAATGACACATTATTATTAGGTTTTATTTAAATAATCTTTGAATGCAAAGAGGGTTCAAGACAACCTCATGAAAAGTTCAGGAAAAACACAAATAGTTTGGAATATATCCATCACTGCACACCACTGTTCAAAGAAGCTCAAAGTTCAAAGAACCAACATGAAGATCTCAGCACATCTTACCAAATCTTCATGTTGGCATCCCATCAGAATGCTGTAAATAATTCAGGTTTAGACAAGCATTTTTCAAAAGGCTCATTCTGTTCACTTAAAACTAGAAATTTGTGTTCAGATGCTTTAACACTACTGTATCACATCACATTTTTAAAAGATTTTGTTTGTAACATTAATTATCCTGCAAATAGAATCTGAGGTGTGAATCTTACTGTATATCCAAGATTTAGACAGACAATACAATTTTAACATTTTTTAAAAAGCCATCCAATGACGATGAGAATAGTTTTTTTGCAGTAAAAAAGACTGCCGGATAATTGATGTTCCAAACAGTAGATGATCGTTTTCTCCACTGTTTGTTGTTTCCTACGGGAATACATCTGCATGGTATCTCTTCTACAGACTGTTAACAGAATAAAATCCATTTTCATCACACACAACACAGCCCAAGTGTGCAGTCTGTGTGGTGAAGAAAAATGTCACCACCGGAAATTCGACTAAAGCACCATACTGAGTTCATTACTTTAATTACAGAGCAGATAGAATTGATGACTCTCAGCTTGACTGTTACATTTTCCAAGACACAAGCTCCTTGCAAAGCTAACCTGTACCTTTACCAATACTGTAATCCTCCTCCATCTAGCAACGCCTTTTATTTAAAAATACTGAACTGCCAGCAAGTCATCTGCAAAAGGGTCTTGCGCTTGTGCTGGCACTTCTGTCTTTACCAAATGTAAATCTGAGCTTCCAATGTGCAGGCTCAGTGAATTGAAACATAATCACAGCAAACAAAAAGACCTATAATTAATACAGCTTTCCCAAGAAAACTGCTTCTTTGTATACTACAACCATTAAAAATTAGATTGAACTAAAAAGACAAATTCAGCTATAAAACTGAATTTCACAGATATCCAGTTTTACGTATAATTTACGTGTGAAGTAATTAATATTATATCTTTCAATAACACTTTGTGTTCCTCTAATGGGTAAACTTAAACGCATGTAATTTCTGTACTTAAGACATATTCTGTTATCTGAGATGTGACTATTTTCTTGGTACCAGGTGCTAAGGATCTGTGCTTTTTCTAGTAGATCAAATTTCTACTCTGTACACCCGTTCATAGTAAAGCAGGAATCACTGCACTTTGTTATGTAAAAATCCCATGTTTTACTTTGCACTGATTACAAGTACTAAATAAAATAATACTCTTAAGCAGAAGGTGTGTAAGGTCAGATGTAGACTTATGTCAACTTTCATATAAAGCACTTTATAAAACTCTTAGTTCATTTTTGAATTGGAGGAGAGCATTGCAATGACCTAGCCAAAGAAGAGTAGTTACCATAAGTTAGAATATATAGTGGTTTTCCATTAGTGTCCATGGTGGTCAAGCATGGGGCTTTTGGGGAGATGGTCCCCCATCGCTGCAGGGCGGCCTCTAGAGATGGGGGCCAGTTGGTCACGACCCCTAGCTGCTCCCCTCGCATTGGCAGCATCTGAGCTCCCTCTGGCTTGGGCTGGTTTGGATCCGGCTGTTGAACTGATAACACCACAACACCACCAGCATCAACACTGTGTTGGGAAAGCATGGCTTAACTCAATAAATAAACAGCGCAATGATAGATAGACCTTCTGATAGATCAGTGTCTACAGTGCAGCATGGGGCTGAGACCTCAGCGGCCAGGCTTCACTGAGCTAGAGCCACAGTGAGCAATCATGCTACAGGCATCTCCATGCACGAACAGTTGGATGGCAGTTGGACATCAGACGAGTGTAAAAAAAAACACATCAGAAACACTGCTGGTGTAGATCAGCCTTTAGTGACATATTAATACGAAGATTGATATATATTATAGAGAGCAACAGAAAGATACCTTCCAGAAGTTCTTCAAAATCGTCAACGAAGAACTCTCTTAATGGGGGTCGTTTGGGCCTCTTCAGGGTGTTAACCAGCTGCTGGATCTTAGCAGACACTCTGCTGCTGACTGGCACTCCTGCACAAAGGAGATCAAAGCACACATCAGCGCCAGCCCTGTGTCACATGATGTTAAAGCAACAGCGCTATAGCTGAAGGCTGTTTGGCCTTTTTTTTTTTTAAATGTCACTTTTTACTTCTATGTAAAAAAAACCCGACAGTAAGAACACTGGACAGAGTGAGGATGTCTTTCTGGGAACTCACAATGTGCTATGAAGGCTGAAAACCAAATGCTGCTTAGTTTGGCTCTTCCTACCCTGTGCACAGACACATCTATTTCATAGGTCACTGTAACTGACACCTTTTACATGTTTGATTTACATTGCCCCTGAGGCACCATTTCTTAAGTGTGAGCACCCCCAAAATGAAAAGGCAGCCCTGGGCCCCCTTTTCGACCTGGATTAGATTCAGCAATTGCCAGGGCAGGCCTGGTGTAATGTAATGTACATCTTCTTATATCACCTTAAGGGTAAGAATGTATAATAAGAATTGTTACATAATTGCCACTTCCAAACACACCAGCAAGCAATGAAAACAAAAAAAAAAAAACGTCACACTTGGTATTTACTGTAAATGGAGAGTTGAGTGGACAAGTTAAAATGTCTTTTTTATTGCACAAATAATTAAACAGCTTTTTAAAAGTACTGTAAAAGATTCCTTTGAAATTAGCGTGTTCTATCAGCTGCCTTTAAACAGTGACTAAACTCAAGTTTTAAAAAGTATACAATATAGTATTAAGACATACCATTATACTGTATCAACCTGTAAATGAGTAAGCTCATGTTCAGCAGTACATTAATGGAGAGAAGGTGCAATTAAAGCTCATGTTTAGCAGTACATTTACGGAGAAAAGGTCCAATTATCTTGAGACCTTGGGATTTATTCATCCAGAGGGATGCTATCTTCAAAAGACATCCCAGTCTTTTATTCTAGGTTACCAATGGTACTGAGACAAGCTCAGATATCTTGAAGATATGAAAACCACAATGGCACAATCAAACATTACCTCTGGAGGCATTCAGTTTCATAAGATCCTTCAAACAGATTTTTATCTTTTAATCCAATCCGAAGCTGCTTTAAGGAAATTGACCATTATGTCACCATTGTTCCAGACTGTTCTATCACAATGGGATTGTCACAGTGACACGCTCACAACATCGCTTGTGGATGAAGTCCACAAGTTCACCTCTGCAACTCCAGCAGAAATCGATTGGGTCAGAAAAACGATGTCCATTATCCACCCTGTGTCAGAAACCACTTTCTCTCTAATAAGATGTCGCAGTAAGCTGCAGCCTAACCCAAATGGCACAAATGGTACAGGACATCAATTGCGAGAGAAATAAATCATTTTAGAATTTTCTGGTCTTTTAAAAGTAACCTATTTCAAGACAAAAGAGTCTGTAGAAACGTAATTTTCCCCAGTCTTTATTTTGCCCTGTTGAATTCAGAAAAGACTGATCAACAGAAAACACCGGGCAAGTCTAAATGCACTATTATCACGCGGTGACATTTTATAATATGGTTGTGTGAGCTAAAGTGTAAATCAGAGCAGGTCCTGCTCTTCCCCTACAATTATTAAATGAAAGTGTCATACTGTATGTATCGACAGTTATCCTTGTCTCTACGGTTGTTCTGCCACTTGATTTATCTTTTACGTTTCACCAATATTTATGTGGAACTGTGTTTTCTCTCAACATTATTGATTTAGGTATCTCACAAAGGCGTTAGAATGGCTGCAGCAGGTTTCCCAAGAGGACAAATTACATTGCAATAAATGACCTAAATTGGCCTACTCCATCATTTCTTTTTTCTCAACCCATATAGAATATACACACTGCAAAAGACAGGTTACAGTTTTTTAAAAGAATTGGTTCTGTACACCTTAGGAGTGCTGTTTACATAGTCATTATGAGAAATAATCTTTTCTGCTCTTATATTGTGAAGAATTCAAATACATGTAAGGAGTCTGACCACAGTGTGAGAAAGGCAGCTATCATCTGTGAAAATGTTGCTTGAAAGTACAAATCTTCACAAAATAATTATCAGACACCAAAGAACAACTTATGAGACATTTGAGTAGCAGCTTTATGATTACAATACTTAATTCCTTTTATAGATGAAGTAAAGATGCTTGCTGTTTTATTAGAAAGGGACAACATGGTTCAAAGAAAACAACACTGGCTGATATTAAACGTTCTTCAAAAGAATTATGAAGTTTCTATCCTTTTTCAATAATTGATAATAACTTATCTCCTCTGCTAATGTAGAGTCTTTCATTAACTGAAAAAATATAAGGTTACATTAACCATGGAGGAATGTGCTGAGCATAGATGTTAACCTCTTCCGCTGCCATAATACATTTTTGGATGTACTTTCCAAATGTCCCTATAAGGTATTCTAAATTGGTATCCGAAAGTATTCTAAAATTGTAATTAAGACCAGTGAAGAACATAGACATTCCAACTTAAAGGGGAACACCAGTTCCAATTTCACAGACCGGTTCTTAAATCTCGGTAGCAAAATAAATTAAGTGATGGTGTAGAAAAATGTTACAAATTACAAATTAAGCACAAAATCGTGAATTTTGTGAAAGTACTGTATGTATGCCATTGTTGTCACAAACCACTGGTCTCGCCACAGGTGAGAGCGAGAGTTCGCATGAATTGCTATGTGAAGCGGCCCTTCCTGCTCACTAGTCACTGTAATTATAAAGGTAATGTGATGTACAAGCGAATAAGTTCAGGGTATGCACCAGACATTTCACCACAGAAACGTGATCTGCATGCACCGTTAACAAGTAGTATTTGTCTGCAAAACGATCTTGAAATCGAGAGAAATATTTCTATTGGCGTAATAGAGATGTATTCACAAGCCTGCTTGGTTGCAATGTAATAGGGCCGCTTAACCTCACCTGATGTTTGGATGTTTTGGTGCCTCATTCTGAAACACAGACAATGAAGGCATTGTGGTGTGGCGCATTCCTGGAAATTATGTCTATTTTGTGATATGAATTGGACGGTTTACATGTTACTGTGTACATTTTACTGTTATTGTGGTTTAAAATGCACTCATCCATGCTAATTCTTTCTAACCCTAAAATATACAAATAGCACTACAGTTCCCCTTTAAAGCACATGAACTTATGAGAAAACTTGCCACATGAACCCCTAAAATGGCTTACCATCTCCTGTCTCCATGAGTTCAGCATTGCCATATTTGGGAGCCACTCTAGATGTTGAGCCCTGCGGTCGCTCCACCTGTATTGAGTGTTCTGAGGTGTAAGTGGTAACATCTGGAGGTGCGGAGTGGTTTTCTAGGTGCAAAGAAAGATCAAACAGGCTCATTAATTTCACTACCAGAACATTCTTGATGGAAGACTGCAATGCAGACCCAACCAGAATCATACATTGACCTTTCTCTGTGTAGAGGTAAATGCAAAATCAAAATGGTGAAAATAAGACACTGGAATGAGCACATGTAGATGTTCTCTCAATTATAGATGATGAAAAAGACTTATGTTACTTCAAACAGCTACAGTACGTGCTTGGAAATTTTAAAAGACTTTTATCTAAGCCCTTCTAATTGAAACATTACGTTTCAAACAAACATTTCCAACTAAAATATTTTAGAATTGCTAAACATCCATCAATCTTTTCAACAAAAAAAAATCAATTAATTTACAAATATTCTCTCACTGGGAACTGCTAGTGGTTTTACAATCACCACTGAACCACCATGGAAAAGATATAGAGAACATAGAAAGATCTTACCAGAGCTTGCAGTAATGATGCAAGCTCAGAAACACTGCGAGCCAGCCATAGGAGTACTTGTTGCATGCAGAACTGTACAAACTGACTCTGGGCCAATCCAAATAAGGGATATTCCTCAATTATTAAGTGACCCAGAGTCAGAATCTGAATTTAGAGTAAAACTGAGGAGCTCTGGTACCACTCTGGTAATGACATTCAATCAATAATCTCTTGAAAGGTTTACATAGGAAATAAAAGTAAATAGGGGGTCATTTGAAAATGCTGTCTTTACTGCAGGGTAATTTTGAAACTCACAGCTTATCATTCCTAATTGGATAAGCATGACCACTATTATTTTGTGGTGCCTGTCCATCCTATAATCACTTTTTGATACAACCTTGTGACTGATGATTCCAAAGCACAAACAGCAGTCATGCTGTTTACATAATTTACATTCACATAGGTACTGTTAGGTATATCACCACAGTATGATTTTCATTAATAACCAGCAGATCATTAAAGGTTAACTCAAGCAAGTAAGAAACCTTTCTGTTTGATGAAGTACAATGTAAAATAATTCTTTCCATGCTAAAAGCACTTTTCAAGGAGCAAAGGACATGAAGATTTCAAATCCAGTCACCGTTCAAAGCAAAATATTCGGTTCTATGAAATTAGATTTTCCATTGAAGGGCCATACAGTAGGACACTGTTTTTAGAGTATTATCATCTTTTAAGCCAGTTCATGGAAGCAAGTGAAAGCAAGTGCATCAATTGAGAGTGGGGCATTTGGTGTACTTTTCTAATTTGGCAGTAAACAGTTCATTGATCCTAATATCTCATTCAGCCATTCTAGAAAGGTTTCAAGAAACTCTTTTAAATAAAGTGTCTGAATAAGTTTATTCAAGACACTTTAGAGTCTTTGTGTAAAGAAATCTTTCCTATTTTTAAATGTCCCACTCATTAATATTTCTAATGTGTTTCCGTCTTATTGCAAATAATTTGTGACTCAAATTGATTGGAAAGGCCTTCTTTTGGAGAATGCAGACCTACCCCTGTAGACACGATTGCTGTTACTGATTGGAAACTGTGTATGTTTCGAAACAGGGGCTGCTTAGTTTGTGTGAAATCTAAAAGTACAAGACACATTACTACCTAGAGCTTAAAATACAGTACTTTTACTGTATCCACCTCTGCTTTTGACAGTGGAGTCCAAAACTATGTTACAGTTCACATACATAAGTTATGTTCTTTGATTAAGTATATTTTTGGCTCTTCTAGGCTACCTTTTTTCTAATACAGTATGATTTAATCTAGCAATGCTTTTAATAGTAGACACTGGTATTAATAAAAACAGTACAATAACATTTCAACAGTCCAGTGCTCCTTCTTTATACCACCAGGTAAGGGTAATAAGACAAAGTGGTGATAAAGCGAGTGTGGCATTACAGAGAGGATCATTAAAATGTGTGCTATGAATGTAAATCTTTTATTCCACTTTCTACAGCAGAGTATTATTCCAGGTTTCCTGAAAATTGTTGCACATCTTCAAATGGAGTTCTTAACATAAGAGTATGATAGCAGCAAGCACTTTCCTGCATTTGTTAAGCACAAAAAAATTGCAATGCATCCAAATGTTTTAGGTATTCGTACTGTGTAATGACTTCTCTGTCTTTAATTCTCTCATCGGAAACTGCGGTTTGACAGACACCAGCACTTCCACCACTGCAACATGGTGTGTGATCCTGTGGTGAGCAGTGTAGCCAAATGTTTAAAGAATCAATTCCAACTTTATTGCTGAATTTACATCCCTTTTCTTTTAAAACTGCATCAGCGACTATGGTATTTGCTTTTTGCCCTGTTTGACTAAACCACAATAAACAAGGCTTGTTTTAATTCAGAGTGCGTTTATGGCATTTTGATTTGAGCGTACAGCAAAGGCAAACCTACATCACTAGTAAATCTGAAGGTTTTGCTGATGTGGCCTGTTTTAGTCAAGATGAAGTTTTAATTTTTGCTCTGGTGTTAGATATACATATAAATCAAGTCACAAAGTCATTTTGTGATTACTACTTATCTTAACATTAGTTTGATACTGATTTTAACTGCTCACATATGTACAATACATCTAGGGTTAAGCATCCACTGCCTTTATTTCTGGGACACTGTAATTTTTCCAGTGGTGTAAGGAGGGAAACTACAAGTTGCACAGTCTGTCTGTTTTAGGGTGGTGGACCACAAGGTAGTAAAATAATGGGTTAAATGAGCATTTTCTTGCCTTGGTAGCCACTGGCTTCTAAACAACCAAAGGGATGAGTGTAGCATTACAGAGAGAGCTGACATAATGAGGGAGCACTATGTATGGTTTTGGGTTTAGGAACACTGATATTCAAGGGGAAGGAAGAAGCCTTTTATTTGACTGTCCAGCAATTACAATGGACAGGGGAGTGCTTCATGTATGACTCACAGGAAATCTGTAAGCCATTCATATATTTTGAGTGTAAAACATTTAATTAAATAAAGTCTTTGGAAGAAAGAATGCATTTAATGTGCTTCCTGAAATTCAATAACAGAGCTTAAATATACTTGGAGATGAATATACTTGGAGATGAAATACAGAGCACTGCCAATACTTTGTGTTCTTTTCTAATCCCGTGTTTTCAAGGACATGATAAAATGATAAATGTCTGTGACTTACGAAGTGTGGGATCATTTACACATTTTGTTTAAACTTTTATGAGATCTTTGAGCAGTCAGAATTGTAGTGGTGCCTCAATGACCTGAGAAACATACAGAAGGTCATGACTGACTGTTTATTCACAGAAGGCAGTAGGTCTGTGTAAAAAGAATGACTTGATATTTCATTCCTTGGTAAATATTTAAATATATCTGATTCAAGTCATTGAATATTACACATTATTCACGTTAATAAAAACATTATAAATCATTTGCTTTGGAAATAGTGCATTACCCTGAGCTAGATACAGTATAATATAATGTGTTTGGTGGTATACTGCAGTTGTGCCATTAGTAAAAATTCTTAATGCACACAACTTGAATACAGCTACTACTTAATGCAACTATTGAAGGGCTTTTTGATTCTATATCTCACATGGATGAAAACTGTTAGAAACATTTTCTTAGGTGTGACAGGTCCCCCTCCTATAAACAGTGGGGAACAGTGAGACTGGGGCTAAGACTGAGGGTCGAACAATCCTGGTGTGAAAACCTCACTCTGACTGTGTCCGTAACCAGCTTTTTCCTCACCGGATTTCCCTGTTAACGTAATGTTATATGACAAGAAAGTAGCATAGCAGTTCTCCCTTTCAGCTCCAATTCTAAGGGTAAACCACAATCTGCTTTAACCTTCTTAAAGCTGCAGTCCAGCCTTCTTACTTCTCCCTTTTAACATAAATATTCATTATTTTAATATGAATCTTTTCCCTTGTCTCCCCATAACCTCATGCCTAGCCAATTAGACATTAGTGTGCTGAACGGTTTTATAGAGAGAACAAGAATCAAACACAGTCACATGAGATCTTACTCCCTCTGCCTAATGCGGCTGACTGCACTGTCTCTCAGTGCGGCGTCATAGACTTCTGAGAGAGACAGCTGCTCCGTTACCCTATGGCTGCTTCTCAACAATTCTGTGCTTAACCTGGACAGGGGCTTGGCTTTCTCTGAATAAACAGACACACCTTTATGGGTTATATGGGTCTACCTTCCATTTCTCACAATGAATTACCTGGATTTTGCAAGCCTCAGTGCTTGCTTCATTCTGGATCTCTTCGTGACATCAAGCACTATATTTACAGAAATAAGCCGTACTTGAGTTGTAAAAAAAAAAAAAATAACATAGAAAGTGTTGTCAATCAGAGGATTAGTGGGTACGATGTGGATAATGGCCAGCTTGTGGGAAGTCCTTGAATTAATCACTGTTTTGGGTAGGGAGCTACAGTTTATTTTTTTAATGAGAATAATAATATATATTGTAGTTCTTTTAACAAAGGGAATGTTTCTTTAAAGAAGGGTAATAGGCTTCCCTACCCTGTTTCCCCTAAATCTGGGCAATGGGTACAAGACGAAAAGAAGGATTGTAATGTTATCCTTTGTATTTCTGTTATCCAAATAAAAAAGATTTTTCAAAAGCCTTATGAAAATGCTGAACATTGTAAACTCTCCTATTGGATTGAATTTAGATTTTTACCCTTCGCAATTTCAAACACTATCACAAGCTGTCTACCATTTTTCAGTTGATTTCTCTAGGATTGACCACTTAAGCATGAAATAGCATTCCAAACACACTTTGGGTTTGTGGGCGAGAGGCATTTCAATGAAGCCCTCCTCCAGACTCTTAACAACAAACACTGTAAAACCACTGTCACAGATATACTGTAGTCACTGCAGTCAAGGGTAATAAAGGGAAGTGGGTGAATGACTCCTGTTGCAAATTGTGAACACTTCAATATAGTGGTTTCCTTAAAAGTGAGACTCTGGAATTCTATTAATTAAAAAGGCACCATTTCATGAGATCTTTTCAGACACAAGCAGACATATTTAAAGCAAAATACTCCTATACAAGGTATCTATTATGTCTATTAGGAAATCCATATGCACTGATTCCTTCCTTATGTGCTGTTTCCCTTTGTGTTATTAATGTATCTGCCCACCAAAGAGACTGTAATTACAGTAGTTATTTGCTTTCTATAATATAATTGTTGTATAATGCAATTGAAAGGGTTATCAAGTGAATGTGAAAGTAATGAAAACATCACCGGCATTTCCATTTCTAGCCAAAGGAACAAATCAAAATTTACCCTCATGTGGAAGCATTAGCTAAAAGATTTGGTAGGGAGACAAGTGTGAAAGCGCCTACTGGTTAACTAAGCACAATTCCAGCAGACAGCACTGACTAATAATGTCAGATCAAGGACGCTTGTCTTCTGCCCATGCTGAGCTGGAGCTGTTTTCTAACTCCCCTTTTCTCTCATTTATAAGAATGGCTGTCATAGGAGCCAGGAGCTCCTTATATAACTGACCAAAATAACTGAGTGTTACACACTCACGTAGATGTGTTAGAAGTAGGAATATACTTGGACATTTTGAAAATCACTGTACCTTTGACACTGCTCTATCATTTTAAGAATTGTGATTTTAAGTTATGTTTTGTCATTCTAAACATTTATTAATAGGCAGAAAAACCAAAGTCAGGATTGGAATGATGAAGATTTCTGTGAAGTGAATGCAGAAACATTACCATTGTGTAATGTATTACAATTTACATTTGAAAACCTTTGTAAGACCAACACTTTGTGAAAGCAGGGACTTTAGATCTTAGACATTCTGCAAAGGATGATATTTATAATAGAAGTTCACTATTAACATACAGTACATCCACATTTGTTCACATGGACTACAGTATGTTAGCAATTTCAGATTTACATGTTAGAAATCTTCAAGCTTTTCACTCAAACCTTTTTTAAGTACTTTTAGTACACTTAAATATTAACTAGACAGTTCTGGGATTGAACATTTAACATCTGTGATATATATATATTAATTTCAAATACATTGATATCAATGTTTTGAGCAAAAACAACAAAAACGTAAATATGAAATTTCAATCAAGAGACCTGTCTTATACAAATACATGAATAATGGTCAAAAGCCAAGGCAAAGCTATATCTTTTAAAGAATATTTTCTGAGACATAAAAGTTTCCAGCGATATTCATGATCAATAAACGTTATTTGTTGAAACTGTAAAATGTTTACCATCATAAAGATAATCATGGTAAGGCACTTGTTTTTAACAAAATAAGGCAAGACTTTTCATACCAGTTCTAGTTGTGTCTGAAAGTACAAAGGATGTCAGAACATGTACAGTGGATATCTTGATCTATAGTTTGCTTTTTAGATTGCATTTATTAATTGTAAGAATACTAAGAATTATACATGCTTCAACTCAAGGGATCTTTTCTAAAAAGAGATACTCCAGCTACAGAGGAAAAGCAACACCAGTGTCAATAAACATAAAAAATAATAGTATTATTTTGAAAACATATGGATGACTATTCTTCCTACTGATGCACACTTCAGAGAAGATAATATTCTGGAACATGTTCACAAGGAGCAATTGCCAACAGAACATATTCTTCCATGAAGAGTTTTATCAAGGAGTCTACCGCAAATACACATTTCTACAACATTAAGGCCCAGGAATAAACCTGGCCGGTGCTTAACTTGAAACATCTCAATTGATCCTATTGGGAAGATAGGCTAGGCATAAGAAAATAATTGAGGAGAGTCTGGAGAGAATACCATTGATTTTACAATTTGTGAAACTAAAAACTTTTTTTCCAATAAAACCTGATGAATTAAAAAAAAAAAATCTTTTGATGAAAACCTTTATCTGGTTAGAACTGAAAGAAGGCCTGGAATGAGAATGTAATTTAAAAAGCAGCGTTAAAAGATAACTAACAAAATAAAGTGGCAGCATCGGTTAAAACATGCAAGTAGCAACCTGTTTAAAGACACTACCAAAATTAAAGCAATAAAACTGATTCCAAGCGTGAGATGACTATACACAGTACAGGAACTGTGTATACTCTGTATATGAAATGCACTTCCACAATACACTGATTAAGACAAATGAAAGAAAGCATCTAAAAGCAGACGTTTAGCCAGCGCTGTAGTAGCAAAGCTGCACCCTGCTTTTATTTCAAATCATGAAAGGCCATCTGTATGTGCAAGTCTTTTTCTTACTCTTAAATGCTCTTTAAAAACTACATAAATTAAACAACAGTTCAGTAAATAAAAGATAGGCATTTGCTTTGTGTGTTTTCTCTATTTACACACATTTAGGCATGAAGATTAGACACACATCACCATACGGCTTGATTGACATTTAGCAATGCAAGTGCAAAGTTCATGTATTACTTTTTTAATGATATACACATCTGGAGCACAAACGTCATGGATGACACACTGATATCAAGGCTGACTAGATGGGGACACTGGATGCTTCTATGCACCATTAATACTGACCCTCTGATTCCAAGGGTGGCCAGGTGAGTTCTGATCCAAATTCACAGGACCGCCGCAATGAATTTCCATTTTCAACTGGGCCAGGCATTGTTTTTCTCTTCAGTGAAAGGTGAGCAATTGGTCCTGGATGTGAGGGAAAACCAGAACCACCTTAGATCCTCACCGCAACCTGCTTCAGCAACTGATGGAGGTGGAGGGACTGACTGGGGGTGAGACAAGTAACCTGTGAAGACGCAGCCTTCTGGCTCTATCCAGCAGCAGCATGGAAGAATTAATGGTGATACGAAGGTTAAGGGGCACTAATGTACAAAGAAATACACGATTATCTCAAAGCGTAGACACAACAGTTTCTTCTGGGAGCAAGGCATAACATTCGAAGAAGGGGAAAAAACCTCCAAGTGTTTGTTTTTATTATTTTTCATACCACGTAGTAATAAAAACACAAGGCAGTATGACAGGGCAAGAACAAACCAAATCTGCAAAAACAAGCTAATATCCTCTAAAAGAACAAAGGACTAGGCCACTCTTTTTAAAAAAAAAATGGGGTTCTACTTAAAAAAAGTGAAAATGTTGGAAATATCTCATTTTGCGGCTCTAATTACATCATGTTCACAAAACTTCTACTTGGGATTTCGTGGATTGCTTTTAAAAAATCCTTGGGAATAACCTTCAGGGGACAGTGACGCATACCACAACAGCACCCGCCTGCTGACTTCCAAATGCTTCCTCAATATCCTTCACAGGCAGCTTTATTTCATATACAGATAAAGTTCTTGTTCTCTGTCTGCTTTTAGATGACAGTTTTAGAGAAAGATGCAACAGTGTAAGGAAGTACTTTTTTATTATTTTTGTGACACTCTTCTTTGTCAACACTAGGTTTTTCTTTGCAGAAACACAGACCTGTGACTTGTGATTATTAGACAGCCAGAAGCAAAATTAAGAAATATACTGTAACCATTTATACCCCAGGTTATTTTGCTAAATATACTGGCATCCATTTGTAATGTGTTTTTGGAGGCATATGAGTGTTTAGAAGGCCTGTGCAGCATTTTATCTTTTTTAATATTTACTTTTTCCATTTAGCAGTAGTAATACAGCAGATCAGAGCATATTGAGCATCAGCTAGTTGCTGAAAACCAGTTGGACCTGAATATGCACATTTTATATTATGGCAAAACATAATTTTAAAATTCATATCAAATACAAGGAAATGGGCATCTGCACATAGTGACACACTAGTGGCCTTTCAGAGTCAATTGCAATTCATTACTGATTGGTATTAATCTGAATGTGACTGCGACAGTTTCCTAAGTTGTCTTCCTTTTATGATTTTTTCACTGGATTCTTCTGTCATCTGATTTTGTGACACAACATGCTGGTCATAATACCATACTCTTCATGGGAGAACTGTACAGAACTAAATAAGCAAAAATAACTAATCTGTAGCAAGAGGCTGAAATAGAATAGGTCATTACAGTATGTCAAATTTCCCTGCCATCAAAACAATTCTCTAAGTCTCATCACTACCCATTTGCTGAAAATGTGCCACCGTCACTAAATCCTGTGTGCACAACTAGGAGATTTGGTGATAATTTTGTTAGTCACTATAAATGACTTGCTGTATTAATCGCTCTTTGTTTTATAGTCTTTTGACTTTGACATTTTCAAATCAGATCTGTGAAGAACTTCTTAAATAAAAAGTAGCATCTATTAAACTTCTGCCTGCCTTGATGCCAAACATATGGCAGCCCATCTAGGCAGATTTCAAGGGCTGTATGAGAGTCAAGCTTAGGGCTTGAAGGTTGATGACATAATAAGTATTTAAGAGCAAACAACTGACTGACTAGTGATGACCTTGTGACAAGCTATAAATATGGTATAAACAATACAGACAATCCTTAATTTCTTCATTTTTAAAAAAGAAGAAGGGTGAAGTATTATAAATGCAAATCTATTTCAATCCATTGCTGATTTTATTAAGGGACTTAACTAATAAATGTAACCCACTACAGTGCTGAACCAAACCAATTGCCAACCCTGGACTAGAACCTAAAAACACTCAAACTGGCTTATCTATAAGCACTATCTGCACATCAACATTATTAACAGGTAAACATTAACACTGTAAAAACACATGTGTCTGATGTATTAAACCATGGTATTGAAGAAATTAAAAAAGATTAAAGCCATCAGGGATTATCTTCTGTTCTCTCTCTGCTCACTCTGTAAAAACCAACACATCAAGCCTAAGATTCATATCAGTGGTTTCACAAACCCCCATTATCGCAGTTCTGGATAAGCTAATGTAAATTTAGGTAAACAAGTCTAGGACTAATCAGGGTCTGCGAATCTATTCCTAAATGAACCACTATGGTTATGTCTCCAGATCAGACAGCCTGGGGTATAAAGGGTTTTAACTGGTATGTGTTTTGTGAGACTTCTTCCACGGAGACAAAACATGAGACCACACTTAGCATTCGTCCGCTCAAGGCAGGTTCCGACTATATAAAAAGGTTTCACACTGCACAAAAGTGAGATTTAATCTGTGGGTCAACGCGGGGCTTTCAATGTGCCACATGCCTGGGTGCAAGCAAGAAGAGCAAAACAGAGAGAGTTGCTCAGGAAAAGAAATTGAACAAACTTCAAATAAATACAGTGTACAGCATATACATATGCTCCTGAGGAAAAGACAAACTAATTAGTAAATAGAGGGATTACCTGACTTACCGATGTGCGTCTGGGCCATGACGTCAGCGAGGCGGTTGGCGGCCCCGCTGCCCCCACTCTGAGTGGAGGAAGAGGAAGTGGTGGAGGAAGTGGTGGAGCCGTGGATGGCACGGTTAATCCAGTGCTCCATGTTAATGCTTCCCTGGCTGGAAGTGGGCGTCCCCTGGGAGTCCCCTTGCACCGAGCCCTCTTCCTCTGACCCGGAGGAGGTGTCTAGGAAGACAACACAGCAATACCTGGTTAGGGACAGACAGCTCGACGAAATTAAAAAAAAGGGTGGTAGTTCTTTCTTCCAACCAAGGGCGGCTTGTGTTCAGCAGGGCACAAATGCAAATCAGGAACTGTAGGAAAGTCAATTATATTGAACCCAAACCAGCACAAAACACTGCATGACAGAATGTAAAAAGTTATATCAGCATTGTTGATTTTCTCTCTTATATTCAGCTTTTGTGCCAAGAAAATTTTGCTCAAACACCAATATGTCCACTCATTTCTTTTTCTATTTTTTGAAACCTCCATACTTGTCTCTTGGCAACATTCCTGTAAAGTTAACTGGCCACCTAGCAGGTGCAGTGGATCTAGGTGAAAACAAGTCTTTTTTTGCATGCAATTTGCATGTCAGAGAGTCAGTGCAGTTCAAGCAAAGGCCTTTTCACCATTTGTGGTCTTGTCAATACACAAAGGCTGACTTTACTGTTAACATTACTGTATGGTGGGAATTGCAACCTACTGAAGTAATTCTCAATTCTAGATTCTCAACTGGACTGGACACTATTTAAACACAGTTTTAAAAATTGAATCATGAAGAACACATACTGTACACTCAATAAAATGTCAAATTAAGAAAAAGAATAAGAACAAACGAAATATATACAGTGCTGTATACCACATTTTCCCCCATTTACCTTCGGCAACATGTCTTAATATTATGTATCTACTTTGTGTCATACTGTACCCTTTCTACCAATAGACACCAAAAACATTTCATATTTGCCAACTCAGGCATTTTTCTTTTCTCAGATAGAAATCATTGCAAAGTCAGGTAACCTGCCATGCATAATAAGATCCTCTGAATGATAAAAAGACAAACGTCAATCGAGTCCCACCAGTTCTTTTGGTTTACCACCCTGCCACAAGAGGGGGTCAGGAATCTAGAGTTTGTTGTAGAGGTTAACCATCAATCAATAATTTAAGCCATAAGGATTTCCATCTGATAGTAAAGAAAAGCACGTTTCAGAATTGAAATGTGTTCTTTGTTTTATATTCTAACATGTTTGGGACAGAAATTTGACTGATGTTCTTGTCTATCCAAACACATTACTGATACATAATCAAGTGAAAGGAGGATGAAAAGCTTCCCAGTGTAAACAATTCCCAATGTAATGTGATTTTTTTTCTTTTCACAAATAAAATGATACCCCACCCCCTCGTAATTATACATTGAGGCTCGTCACCCACCCTTGGCTTCAATAAAGCTTCTGACAAAAACAGAAACGAATATTCATACTAGACTGAAAAGTGTTTCTTCCTGCCCAAAGCGCAGGTTCCTTTTCCATGACAATCCCTTCTTCTGTCCTGCTCACCTCTGGAGGGTATACCAAGAGATCACTGACTTGCCATGGCAACACACAGACTAGTTGGGCGTCTGTGAAATCAGCAGTGATCTCCTGCAGTGACTCCTTCAGCTGACACTGACTGTAAACTCTGCTGTTTGTTGTTTAGAGCAAAAGCAAGAAACCCTACAGCACGTGTACAGTATACAGTATACCTGTGAATGTATTTCTGAGTTAAATTAAGGGCCTGCTGGCAACTAATTTAGCATAACAATTTGCATTACACATTGTTACCATTAAACTCCTATCACGTCCTGTATCAACAACAACAGCAACAACAATAAGCAAAAACAACTACTACTGGTACTATTCCTACTATTAATTCTACAGTATGTGGGGAAATAAAATGACACACAGTAATAGTCTAACTTGTCACCTGTAAACTCATCAGGTGATTTTTTATGTATTCCTTTAATGGACAAAGTTAATTTCCATATCAAAACCCTCAACAAGACAGAAATGCTTGAAAATAATTAAGACAACCTGAACTTTATCACAAAACACGCCATTAAAAAAAGATTTTTTTATTTTATTTTTTATGCTTTATTTGCATACAAATAAATTGTCCACTTCTGCATCAGTACTCAATGCCATTAAGAAACAAAATATATTGTTTCCAAAATTTCCAGTCATCAATAAATCAAGAGCAAGATATAGTTTCTAGTATTGGAAATAGCAATATTTATTTATCACCTAGCAACCCTTCAATTTATTTCTCTCATTACTTCTGGATGATGCCCAGAAGATTCAGCCCCTGGGATAGTGTATTTAAAAATGAGAATGCCAAGAGTAAACTAAACAACAAAAAAAACTTTTTAGGGGGTGCACAAATAGGAGGCTATATTGTCCTGCTTTTTATATTTCAATATAAAAAGTTTTTGAAGAATTGTGAAGCAACCACGCTTTTGTCAAAGAAAAAACGTAATTTGCTAATGTAGTGAAAAAATGTAACTATTCAGCACTTTTGTACTTTACCCTTAATGTGATTCTAACAGGATTATCAGCATTGCTAAAATGCAGTTTTAAGGAAGAGGATTCAAAAACTAATTTCATGATTGTTTTTCCACCTTCGACTTACTGCATTCTCCAATTACATTAAATAAGAAAATCCCACTATGGAAACAAACTGAACGATCCATATTTGATATTTCTGAGAGGGCCTGTCTGTTAAATTAAAATGTCTCCAAATATACAGTTAATCCTTCTTTAACTCAACCAATATAGAAATACAGACTGACTGGGAAAAAAAAATATTTTGTTGCTCAATTCATCCAGAGAGAAGACATTGCAGCCATGGCATTTGAAGTGACAATTGAAGAGAACAGTGTTAACTGGGTTAAATGAAATCTGTAAAAGTGAAAATTCTCATATCACAATTCTCATGACATAGAGGCTGGATTAGAAGCTGACAGCTCATGTACAATAGAGGTAAACGATTTGCATTAATTTAAAATGAGTCCGCTGTTTTTGGAAATATACATCGTTTCTTTTAATACAAAAATAAGCAACTGCCTTGTAAACATTATTTTGGAGTTCTTATACATAGTAAGGTAACTATAAAAAGATGCTGGTTAATGTATAATTCTTTTTGTTTTACTATTAACCCATGTATTGCTTTATTTTCATAGATTTTTAATTAAGAGAGTCTAAAGTTCATCAGTATATTGTTCATCAGTACAGTTCATCAAGTTTTTGAATTAAGCATTTATGACTTTGGGGCTCATTAAAGAAAATAACAGAAAAAATTAATACAAACGTTCCATTTATACTTCTAAACCAAATGCAATTTTCTTCGAAGAAAACAGCCTAAAATAATGAAATTCCATTTTTGGTTGTTGTTTTCACTAACACTTATGTCACCCTTGCATGCACACATCCTGTTTTATACACAAAAGTCAAAAACTCCCTAATACTAAATTATAAAAATACACACCTCTTGGTTGATACCTCTCAGTGCTCCTATCCCACTCTGTAGACACATTACAAATAAAGCGCACACAATGGCAAATGTGTAGAATGTTAGCCTGTGTTGTTCAATGACTATCTTATTATGCAAACCAGTAACGGTACTAACGTTCTGTGCCAAGAGTATAAACCTTTAAGCCATTTCAAAAACCAAAATTATTTTAACATAAAACTGTAGCAATACAAATTTAAAGCAGGGCTTGATGGTCAACTTATTCTTAAACATGTTTGGTAGCCAAAGATGGTGCATTTCTATTATTGTAAAAAGCATATCACTTTCCACAGAATCACAGAATGTCCACGTGACTATGCAGATGCTAGATATACATTTATAATGATAAATACAAGAAGTTATCTACACAGCTGTTTGTGGCAAATGTGAGCAGATGTGTTTGTCAGAGCATTGAAATTCATCATATTTGAGTCTCAAGCAAACTAGAATAATAAATATACTGGACTGGTGATAAGTACTGATAAATATCAGTACCGATAAAAAGTATGTTCAAATAAAAATACAGAATAATATGAATATGTAAGTTCAAATAAAAATTTCTATATTCTCCACCTGAATGACTTCTCCTTCCCAACTTTTAAATGAACTCAAATCCTTATTGTTTGTTGTACAGCTATTAACAAAACATCACCTGACAAAAATTAACATCTTTCATTTCAATACAGTACATGCAGAAAATATTTTTCTATGCTCTAAACCTGGGGTGCCCACACTTTTGTAGCTTAAGATCTACTTTCGGATTTGGCAAGTCAACAAGATCTACTGATCTGTATTTTTTTATATATTATATATTATATATATTACAATATATAATATTACAAATAGTTAGGTTATAAATTCCTATAAGCAAGTTTATGTAGTTACTGAATGTATTATTTTCGTGCTATAATAATTACAGTATAGTCTATATGAGGCAAAATTATAATTATTCATTGTGGCACTTGCTGATAAATAGATGGGGGTCCCTAACTTATTCTGATAATTTGCACTAAATGGAGTCAGCCAGTTTTGCATAATCAGGACAGTAGCCACTGGTTGCAAGCCTCAGGCAGGTTTCCAGGTGGTCATCAGACAGAGTTGACCGGTATTTGGTTTTAATGACCTTCAGGTAGGAAAATGCTGATTCGCATAAGTAAGTCGATCCAAAAAAAGCTTTAAAGTAAGCTCCGCATTTTCGCATGCTTGGACACTTTTACTTTGTAAGCAAGTTCCAAAACTGCCCAGCAGTAGCCCTCGCCTTTATTTGAATGTCTGATTGGAGTGATAAAATTTCATCCCCGAGCGCTGACGAATCAAGGTGAAACAAGGAGGCGATTTTGACGGCGAGAGCATCAGCATCTGTTTCTGCTCCAAACGGAAAACGCATGAAAGTCGCGATCGGCTCAAGTACTGCAAAGCCTTGGAGGCCTTTGTTGAAGTCCGCTACAAGACACGTAGCGTGCAGTGTCAAACTGTGCAGTTTCTTTTCCCTGTTTTTACAGCTCGTATACTGTGTTTGGTAAGTTTGTTAGGTCATGACGCTGTAGCTTTGAAGCCAGCAATTCTAATTTTCATTTGAAAGTGTTAACAGTGCTGGTCATATCGATCGCATTCTTGTCTTTACCTTGCAGCTCTTAGTTAAGTTCAATGAGTATGCCAGTCAAGTCAGTTAAAAATGCCAGTCAGTGTCAATCAGGTTTATTTAGATTGTTTCAGACAAAAAAGGGTGGGAATAAGGATAAAGCCAGCGTCAGCCTACACTTAAATTTAGCTTACACTTGAATTAAAACGACCATGTATATTTTAAGATTGTGATGCGATCGACCCAGAGCTGTTTTGACATAATGGGCACCCCTGCTCCAAACTATAACGTTATGGTGACCAAAACACTTTTGGTGTGTTTAAATAATTGTGCAGATTATCTAATGTGAAGATGCACACGTTTTCAGTGTTTGGTATGATGGTGCCAGCTTTAGATATTATAGTTTTTTTGATGATATGTTTTGACAATGGTCACCACACTTTTGCAAAAACTGTAAAGTACGGTATATTCGTATTCCATGTTTGTGCTAGTTTAATGTTTTGATACAAAAACATCTATATAATATAAAATATTAAGTATGCTAACATCATTTTATGGTAGTTTGTTAACTGTGATGGTCTGATCTTTCCTATTTAAAGCACAGTTGTAAATATAAACTATCCTCCATGTTGAAATACTAGAGGAATCCGTGGAATACCAGAGCTGTCTGACATTCTGGTAAAAAACCCAAATGTAAATATTTTGTTTTTGTAGCTAGATTTAAAAATGTGATTTCAGTTCTGCAATATACTGTATTTTTTCACGCATAGCAAATATTTATGCCAGTGTTCTTCAGAGAAACAGAAAGATGTTAAAAAAAGACAATAAACAAGGGGAAAAATGTTAGCCTTCTACTGTGAAAGATTTGTAGATGGGAATGAGAAACACATTTTTATAAATAAGAAAAATATAATGGTGTCTTGCAGAACCCTAATTGAAAAGCCACACTGATAATGCACTGACAGGAACACAACAGGCACACAAAATCAGTGGGTTAGCCCTTTTCTGCTTCTCAAAGGTCACTGCTGCACAATCACATCATTCAGCCGTGCTGTCAACATCATACTCACTGCCATGGCATTACCTTGGTGGGGTATATGTTCCTCACCTGGGGGAGTGTAGGCATCCATCGAGGTTTGTACGACCAGTGAGCGGCGCTTGGAGGGCATGGGCACTGCCATCTTCCTTTCCTTATGTTTGGCCAGTGCTGCCTGGACAGCCTCAGTGTGTACATCTGGAAAACACAAAGTAAACGCCCACGTCTTAGAACTTCTGCAAGACGGCCAGTCAGAATGAAGACACTTTAAACATTTTCGAATCGAACACAGATCGAGAACTATCACAACAGGCGACAGCAAAAGCTCTATTCTGCAGTAAACATAAATTCTTTGGTGGTTTCTTCTCAATTAAACTACTGTGTTGGTGTCTGTGTATCGGCAGTCTTACAGTAAAATAATCTTACTGAAAACTCAGAAGTAATCTGAAGCCACAAGAACTCACACAAGCATGATGAAAACACATTGTCCAAACACTATATGGGTCAGAATACAGTATAGTGTACAGTAGCCAAACTGTATCATCCAATACTGACTTAATACATATATAGTTCGCAGTGGAGTGTTTTAAACTACTTTAGGAAAGCAAAATTAAGCCTTGAAATTTAACGCATACACACATTTTGACACAATAGAGTCATGTCTCTGCTCTTGGCTGTACATTTAGTCCTGAACCTTCCTGGACACTTGCAGGCTGTAGGTGAGGGATGTGCCCTTTCTCCAATCAGAGCCGCATTTCCAGCACAGAACATGTTGCCTGTGACGTGCTAAAACATGCAATTTGATCTCTCTTTTGTGTGGTAGTAGTTTTAGAAGAAAAACACAGCCTTTATATAATCCTGTCACACCCTGTACACCTAGAGGGCGCTCTGCTTCTGTCCTGTTCCTAGTTCCCTGTGATTATTCTCATCTTTCTGGTGTGTCTTGTTGTGTTGGCTATTTACTTCATGTGTCTACTCTGCTCCTGGCTCAGCACTGAGGGTACGGATGTCATGAGACCCGCCTAGCACCAGGCCGCCCCACGTCCGTGGCCTGAGGGCATAGGATTCTTTCCGACATCGTCTGACCTCCTGAGCCCGGGCTAACCTCCGTGTTGTACCGCTACGCACAGGGTCTCTACTGTTCTCCTGGCCATTCCACGTCAAGCCCTTCCAACATCCGTGACAAATCCTTGTCATTCATTTATGCAGTGTACCCTTTTTTTAGGTAGTCACACATACTCTATAACACTATTGCATCACCAAACTGTCATAAGATTAATTACAATTATGTCATCCAAAATATTACAGTATTTCACTTGAACTACATGTGAGAGTGAAGTTTGATTCTTGCATTTTGAGGTGTCAGCAAAATAAATAACTTTTAGAAAGGTTTTCAAAAAAACAGTTATATTGTGTCTTTAACTTCTATTTATTTTTTTCAATTTAAATTTGATCATGTCAGCCATTGAGTGTGTGAAGGCAGTGTTATTGGCTCTGGAACTGACTTTAACAATAGTCCACAAATATTAGTTTTGCCTTTTGTGTGTTAGTTTTGCTAATAAACCTTTGTCCTTTTAAGATACTGCACACTTAAAGACAAAAGCCAAATTATTTTAAGACTTGTGTGTTGTGCTTTTGTTCTATTATTTGCATTCCAGCTGGTGTCAGGACTATTACATAACATCTGTTGACTGCCCCCATCCCCTTATGATAATAACAATATTAATAACTTAAAAGTAAGGTTCCACTTCAGAAAAAAAAACTTGAAAAACTCTGCTTGAACAAACACCAGCAAGGCAGAGAAGTGTTGAAATGAAATACTTCTTTATTTAGTCAAGTTCAAAGGTATCAAACCATGTTAAATATGTAAGTGGAAGCAGGTAGATTGCTAAAGTAAATATTCCTGATAAAGCTTGCAAGGTAGCAAAACAAACTTTTGTGCAGATTTGGCAAAAGGATACATCCCATGTATCTCCAGTGCACCAGCAAATGTGCTAATGAGTACCAAATACGTAGCTGTAAAGAAACTAAACTGTGTTTGATGCAGCAGCTGGAAGGAAGGAAGGCAACCCTATGAAGACATGAAAGCAACTACTTAAGAGCACCACATAGCCAGATTTGTGGAAGAAATAATCAAAAGGACAGTTATAAAAATGTGAAGGATATTTTATCCATCCATTTCTTCAAAGGAGGCCAAGAAGCTCACTGGCTTGTTTCGTACTACCACAACCCTTTGTTGTACTTAGGAATACCACAAGAAACAGGTAAAGAATTGTATTCTGTTCTCAGATCTTTAGAAAAAATGCACTTCCACTTGTATCCTCTGGTTCAAGTTTCACCAATTATACAAATAATCCATAGGACTGATTTTGTCAATGTCTTTACTGTGGTGATATGAACAGTACACAATGTTTTAAACACAAACTGACGGATATACAATTTTAACATAACATCCCTTGATTTTTAATCTACACTTTTAACTTTTAAACCCTAAAATTCTATTTGCCTTTTGAATTGCTACATCATAACCACATAATTACAGCAAAAAAGAAGTGGAGCTTGTGCTTTATGGTGTGAATATACAATTAAATGAACACTTCTGGATCACAATTCAGGCAGCAATTACTGTGCCACTATGCTTCTTAAAATCAGAATCATTAATCATGAATAAAAATTGCTTTACTGTAAGGCAAAACTGGCTGTTTTTCCTTTGTTGTTCCAGTAATTTTGTAGGACACTGTAACTGTGTGTGCCTTTTGTCAACTAATTCAGGAAAGATGTAGTAAAAAAAAACTGTGATTCAGTTGTATGCGAATTTCAAATGTTTATGAAGTTTTGGATTTTATCATGTTCATCTTCATCTTCACTAGAATGATTCGAAGTAAAAGGATAAAATGACCAAGCTATACATAAAGTCTAACACATGTTTAATAATAACATTTTATTAATTTCAGCTTCAGGATATTACACGTTATAGGCTATACTGTACATCTTCATAAAACATAGATGTGCAAGTTAAAACTGCAACTGACAGAGTTTTTGGAAAAACAAATTATAAAATGGTTTTATCTTATAACCAGTTAAATCTATCTTTTGCCTGAAGCTGATTCTGAAGCTACTGTATTAGACTAAAACGTTTGGAAATGAAGGAGAAAAATCCAGTTGTTCATTTTTCATAACAAATGCAATTCCTGCAGGAAGCCAAGAGTCAGAAGACTAATGGCAAAAAGCTGCAGTATCTGAGACTGAAACTAAGTGTCTGAGTAAAAAATATAACTTTACATAATGTTCAAGGATACAACTTAATCATTCCATTATATGGTGATTTAATTTTATTTTAAGGAATATTGAAAGAGGTCTGTCACTATTCATCTGTTACCTGTCACACGTTCCATATTCTGTGTCAGGAATAAACTAAAAAAGACAAGTTTTATTATGCTCGCTTATCAATCAAATTTTCAGATTAAATCTTCATCAATATAAAAAGAATCATATTGTCAAATAGTTCAAGTAGTTAGCTGCATCAGCACTGCATGGGCTACAAAGGAGCAAGTAAAGGTTTCTTTCATGCTGAAAGGAGAAGAAAAGAAACACAACGTTTCGCCTGTGGAGCCTTCTTCGGGTGTGCCTTCCATATTTCAAATATACGTGAAAGTAAGTTTTCTTATAATGAAATTGCACTGGAAAATGAATTAATGTACTAAAAATTTCCTTTTGTATCATGTTTTGCAGTAACCCCAAATGACGTGTTTAAATGTCCAAAAATGGTTTTAAAACACCAGAGTTCAAATGCATATAACCAAAACAAGTCTAGACTGTAAAAAAAGTGTTTTCTTTTTTACTGCTGGCCAAAACCTGATTTCAAAAAGATATAATTTTTCACATAAAAAAGAAATAGACAACTAAGGAGTGTCTTTGTCTATATTTGGCTAGTTATACTATGGCCTATACCGGGTAAAACATGAGAAGGAAAAAATACCAGTTAATTCCATGCTGAAACTTACGGCTATAAAACCTTCTTTATGTGTGGGATAAAATAATAAGTCTTATTTTTTTCTCTCATACAGTATGACATGGACAGCAAGTTCAAAATTAGTAAATAAATAATATGGATGTACAATGGCAAGTCCATTATTTACACACCTCAAACTTCAGTCCTTAATCTTTCTGCAAGGTGAACATATACCTCGAAAATAGATCTTTTCTTATTTCAGTGCAATGATCTGATCATCACAATGGCTCTGAACACAGCAGCAAAAATTTGGAACTGACTTTAGATGTGAGCAACATAGGAAATCAGAAACTACGAAGTCCTTCACCATTTCATTTTTATTTTCAAATTACCCATCAAATAAAGAAGATCTGCTTTAATATTAACCTAATGAATCCATGCCTAACCTAAAAACTATTTTCTGATCAGACATTGAAATAGAAATTAGGATGACTTAGTTGTTTTTTGTAACCCATGATAAGATGAAGACTGTAGATTGTAAATCCTGTGAATTGAAGGTTATTAAGCAATTATTAGGGAAGTGAACATTTGCTGTAAGTGTATATTCCTTATTATTTTAGAATTGAGTGACTATTTCACTTAACTGTGTGCTTCTAAGTCAGAGTAGATCTTCTATGTAGCTCAGCAGTCTGAAGTTCTAAAACCCAAATGAACGGGACAGCTGAAAGCACAGAGACTTGGGATTCTACTCCAGCAGGCAGATTTGGAGAAACCAGAGCCCCCCAGCTCAATGTACTGTGCAGGACTGTATATACAGTAGTTGATTTGCATGCAAACTACAGAAAATTACTAAGCTACACCTCAGGGAGATGAAAATACTTAAAGTTGCAAGGATTTGCAAGCAGTTTATTTGATAATTATCAGACTAGAAATTCAGTAATCATGATACATGGCATCAAGAATAAAGCAGGCACTGGCAAGAGCTGAATCCGTGTTTACACACGTTCCTCTAACGTGTGGGAAGAGTAAAGTGAGCAAATTTGCAGTGCACAGATGACAAATTACCTGCGACAAAACAACAATCCACTCCCTCAGGTTTTGCTTGTGTTTTGGCCTGAGTTCTTACCGTTATGTGGGCACACAGCGCCCGTGTGTGTTTTTACAACGCTGTTGTGCTTATGTTTTGGTTAATGCGCTATGGCACCAAGGTGTCTTGGCAGGTGTTTGCCACTTTCAGTCAGTTCATTAAGATGCACAATAAAGAGCAGACGTCTGCAAAATCTGTCCGCCTCAATCTTTGGTTTCCCATGGTATAGCACTTCCCAATTCCTTTAGCTATTTACCGAGTTGATAACTTTAACTACTTTTCTTTTAGTCTTTAGCAGATGACTCATAAAATCTGGAAACCCCAGAGCACAGGGTTATATACTCCTCTTTCATAGTGTAGCCAAAAAAGATGCAACCCATTGAATCATTTTAAAATGTGCAAGGGGGCAGTGCTTGAATCTGTACTTTTGAGCTATCAAAATATTTTGAGATATCTTCGGATAGATAACTGCAGTTGGATTGCATATAAAAACAGTTCTTCTTATTAGACATCATATTGTCCCAAGGTGACCAGATCACCTCTTGGCTCCTGCAATTCATTGCAGATAAATGTGGCTGCAAAGTGACCTATTATTATGTTCTAGGGAATATGATATAGACTAAATCAGGTGAGTGCTTCATGGAAACTAAACCAAGGGCAACTGCACATTTGATGTGTGCATTTGCACAAATATTTTCCACCGTTTTTTAAATTAACATTAAAAACATAAGTGGACCAAGCTACACTGTTTATAATGCTGTTTATTATGCTCCTCATCATCTTGTACTGCTGCTATCTGCAGTATTAAGTAATGCATTTTTTAAATACGGTGAATCTCTCAGTCATGCTGAGTCACGTGGATGAAAACTATAATTTGACACACTTTCCCTACCGCAAATTATGTATCACCAATGTGGAATATGTTGCCGAGACAACAAATCAAATTTCCTCACAGGCAATTTGTTAACAAGCCTGGTGCTGTACACACTGTGCTGCCCTGAATACAACGGTTAACTACAGCCTAGGGCACGAACTACACATGTTCATTACTATGACTGAGCACTCCTGGTCTCTGGATTTTAAAGACAACAAAAGGCACCATCCTGCACACTGGCTGTGTGAGCAGCTACACTTAGCTGTATAAGATAGATTATGTAATGATCAAAGGCAGCCTTTTGTCCTGTTTACAGGAAATAAAAGGTGTACTTGAAACACTAGCTGGAAAGAGATTGAATGGATCAACACTTCATTTCAGGGCTGTCAAAATAAATTGAAGCTTCAATTGCACGGTGATTTAATAACAATATAATAGAACATTCACCCCATAAAACAAACTCTTTAAATTCTTTGTTTTATTCAGCACTTTTTCATTCTATTAAAGACTGTTTTTCTTTTTACTTAGAAGCCTTCCTGTACTCGACTACAAAGGGAATTGAACAATGCATTCTTAATTGCAACAGGTGGTAAGGATATCAAAGCTGACTGGGAACATTACTTTTTATAGAACGTTATTTACTGATCATTCTGCAGAGTTCTCCTGGTGGAGCAGACACTTGGACTGGATAATAAGCAACAGGTAACAACAGCCTTAGACAACAAAGCACCCAGTCCTGCAGATCCTTAGACAGATATTTTATTGTCCACTACTGTGGTCGTTTGTCTTTGGCTTCTCCCATAAAAGTGCAAAACGTGCAAAACATGCGAGCAAAACATAAAAGTCACATAAAATTAGAATTAGATAGAACTGAAATACTCATCAGGCAAAACAATATGTCAGCATTTCCTAAAAATGCCATTTTCTCATGCCCTTTTCAGCATTGTGCGTTTCAGCCTTGCGTACAAGGATTCAAGGTATGAAGACCTGGGATTAATGGAGATAGCAGAACGGCCACATGGAGGATACTTCAAGAAAATATTTTTGGCCTAAATGAAAAAAATATATATTTGGAAGTTATCTACCTTACATTATGTGCACAGTACGAATGGCATTAACTAAAATGTGTTGAAAGGAGTGCTATGAATGTCAGGGTCAAAGAAGAAATAATCATCAGCAAAAAGCCACAGAAAAAAGAATGTTCTTAAATGCACTCTTATTTAATAATGATTCAATTACTATATATATAGCACGGAATTAGATATTAACAATTATTTCCATGTACAGTATATGTATACCAGTTTGCCCCCACTTTACCCACCACTGAAGAGGAGAACACATGCCTGGGTAATGCCACTACTATGCCAGCAAGCTGAACAAGTGAAATACACATAGATACTATATATATATAACACACAGAAACATATTACTTTATGAATAAAAAAATAAAGTACGCGGCATCATTTTTATTAAACACAGGTTGACTCTGATAGTGTCAAACGAGTCTGAATGTTGCAGGAGCACAAAATCACCTCGTCAGTGAGAAAGTGGATATGGCAGGATTAAAACTGCTGAATGGTGAAAGTCAAGAAACAAAAATCCAGATATGCCAATATCTCTCACTTTTTAAGAGAATTGTGATATGTTGCAAACAAAGATATGTTGCAGGTAGAATCACCAGGTGGGAAGTCAGGTCCTTTTTAAAATTTGCTCTAGGTTTTGTATAAAGCTCCCTGATGTACTGATTCCAACTTCTCAACATTATTGAATGTATTAGTCTTAAAATTCAGATTCAAGTTAACAAAGCATTTCCCTGCCACCTGCTCATTAACAGCTTCATAGTGTCATTAAGACCTTACTGTACTTTGTGTTCCAACTAATGAAGTTTATACTCAGCATAAAACATTTACAGGTACCTACAGTATGTCTGTTTAATGCCTGTTCTTTATTATGACAAACAATTGTTGCAGTTCTGCAAGTGTTTAAGGAGTTCATTTTGATACCCATTTCTTCTGTTCTACTTTACTGCATATGTTTTGACCTTGTAGATTTCTGTTTCAGTATTTACTATACATTTTATGCAAAGACATGAGCTAAATAATTTTATAGCTCAAAAGACTCAGGGCATTGCAACCCCAGTCAGCCACAGTCCACCAGGTTGTACAGTACCCTGTCCAAATCAAGTCATTAAGAGATCAGCAGCAGGAGTCAAAACCAGTAAAAAGTTCTGATTGGCAGAAGGCCAGTTCATGTTTGGAAACGAGACAATTCTCCTCAACTCAGGCTTCATCATAGGAAATGAAAATGGAAAGAATGAGGCTCCTTAACCATGACCTTCAGAACAGAGATGCATTGTGCCTTAGGAAAAGGAAAAGTATGTTCCTCACATACCTGATCTGTACCGTTCATCCCGGGAGCCGGATGACCGACGCCGATGGAATCGGGAGGAAGAGGGGGTGACTGGAGTTCTGCGTTCTTGGGGCATTGATGGCTCCACTCCTGGAAAAAAAAAGGATACCCTCAGCATTAATGATCTTTTAATCTCAAAGAGCTAATCCAATTGTAATTCAGCTCAAGATTTTCTACAGATCAATGACTAGACTGCCAGATGGAATTCTTCCCCCTGTAGTCTGGCATCACACATTACTTTGCATGACAAAAGCCCATTCATTGCTCTAGTTGTAAAGTGCTTCATTTAAACAAGGGCTTTACTTAAGATAAACAGCGCATACTTGGTTAATGTAAAAGCACCACCTACAATGTGTTTCAAAATAATAGTCTGTAAAATGAAAACAGCTTTGAAAGCTCTATAGCTTAAATATGAGACAAAATACAGTGCTTCAAAAACTGGTGTTGCAGACGAAATTTGAATGAAAACAGACCATTCAATGTAAAATTCTATACATTAAGTTTCTTTAGGTGCACTTAAAACAGAGTAATGTGTGCTGAATCTAAAACTATTCAGTTAAACGTCCATGTGGAAATTCACACTTTATAAAGGAAAAACATTAGATCAGGGTATCATTAGGAATGTTTAACAACACAAATACAAGACAAACTTTAGAAATGGAGCACAAATGTTCTGTTTCAGTAAGCCTGGTGCATGATATGAACCTCCCTTTTTAATTCGTTACCACCAACAAAAAAGCTACAAGAAAGGTAATTTACTGCCTGCTACTTAGTGGCCCTAACATCAAACACCGTATTACAGCAAAACTAGATTCAGAGGAATGTAACCAGTCAGATGCAAGAACAGATGAGGTTCTTTCTGAAGATAAAAAAAAACAGGCCTGAAAAACAGAACAGCTGGAAAGAAGTGTGCGCAAACTGAGACCTCTTGAAAACAGCTGCTTCGAATCAATACCATTTTTATATATCTTATTCCTGCTTGTATGTTTCTTTCAAGGCACCCAGTGGTAGTTTTGCCTCATTATACTTGCACTTTTAATGTCTGCTTGCCTCCACTGTTCCCAAATTCTGAAGCCTACACCCCACACCACTTAATAGCGTGAACAAGGCTTTTCAGTGTCATGCTTCGCATCACCCACAAACAAGCATTATTCCTGGCTAAGCTGCTTTTATCGAGTCATTAACCATTATTGCTATTACCCTTCTGTTCCGCCACAGCAATTTGTGTGTCACAGGGATGGCGAGGCCTTGCACCTCCCATCAGCCCTCGATGTTTAATGGACATGTATTAAGTTCCGAAGCTGATACTCTTGGGTACACAACGGGACTTGCTGAATGCTTCTTTTTTAATATCACAGGCACTATGTAACACATTATGCAAACAATAAGGGGAAAATAAAAGCTGGAAGGGGCTTTTACCCTCTCGTGTTGCCGACATACTGAAAGGTGGCCAACATCATCCTTTAAGAGCTATTCTACTATCTTAAAATGGTCAATTCTTGAACGAGAACGGCAACCCAGAAATCACTCTGCACTCTCTGTAGGCTCTGAAAAAATAATCAAACAGCCACGATGTGGGCACTACAGCAGCATTCCAAAGTCCTCCTAATTTTTTTTTCTCTTGCTTCCTGTGTGACACTCTAAGCATCTTGCATTAATTTAATTTATACTTTGGAAAAGAAAATCCTGAATCCTTCAATGTAGATCAGAAAAGGGGACTACTCTGAGCTGGTTGTACAGTAGGACTAGAAAAACCATGTGTTTACTTCAACAGAATGTTTTGGGTGAAATATGTACCTGTAGCTGTACTTCAAATGTGTACCTCTTTAGCTTTAAAAAAGTGAAACATTGTACGAGACAATGCAAGACACAAAATGCCACCGTCCTTCCACATTCCACTTCTATAAAGAAAGCAGGACTGTAGAAGTTTAAAACATTAACAGGGTATGAAAGTTAAGTAGAACAAATTAATTTTAAAAAATATGCTTTACTGTATCTTTTATAAATTGATATGAAAATTTACCTTGATCTTATGATAGTCTTCCAGAATGCTATTGCTCTGTATGTTGTACGCCTCAGCCGTTTGATTTCTGACAAATGCTAACAGAATTTGTGAGAAAGCCAATGCAGTTCAGCCAAAGTTTATTCCAACTAAGTAAAGACAGAGGAAGCATTGTATGTCGGTAATTGCACTTGGGTATATTGAAGTTACATATATTAAAATCTGCAAATGCCTTTTCCTCACTAAATACAGTTTAAAACATATTTTAAAGATCTTCTGTCAAAACAGAACTGAATTGAATACAAGCCTGGAAAATTCAAACAATCGCGGAAAAAGTTTGTTTTTTGGCTATCGATTTCTCCTTCTGTGAGTGGCTGTGCAAAATAATTCCATCAAAAACCACTGTGAATGATACTGCAGTATATACACTATACAGTACCTACACATATTTATAGTGAGTTATGCTTTAGAAAAGTTTCTTGTACTTTCATTTTTTTTTATTAAACCCAAGTGAATTTCTATCTCACAAAAATGTTTTTGTAATGTTGTTTAGAACTTTCTCACCTCTTAATCCCTCTCACAGTACATCTCCTCAGTAAAGACAATAATAGTGCTGTGTCAATAGTGATTTGGAAATCTCATTACATAACTCATTTACTTGAATTACTCCTTTCTTTAAGCAGCTCCATCCAGATCCTCTATCTTCTACTCTGTATTTTTAAGATAATGTAAAAAATGCCGCTATATTATTTTCAAATCTGGAATTAAATCAAATTTGAAAGCAGTTGCAAGCTTTGACAAAAGCTTTGTTTCACAGTGGGGTGAAAGGAGAGAAACCACAAAGGAGTGTTCAGAGAGAGAATCATACATCTGCCCATGATGTGGGAATATGCTACTAGGGTAAATGGAAGAAGCTGTTATTGAATCTGCCAGAGGTGTACTGAAAACTGGTAGATATGCATAAAATGTACGGACACTACTGTTAATATACCATATATATGGAATTATAGTGTTCTGAAATGTAAATGATATAATGGCGCAAGAAAGAAATTATAATTTGAAATTCCTTGCGTCAAATACAAGATAGAAAATGCTGATTTTCATCTATAGTCAAATACTGTATATTTTGTTATTTAAGAAAATCATAATCATGGAAGAGATCCGAACAGCAGAGGGGAGAAGCTAAATACAGATACCCTGAAGTGCCCTAAGGCAAAAAAAAACAAAACAAAGTTAGTGTCATAGCCAGTGGCAAAAAAACAACACATGCACATAATTTACCGGCAATACTGAATGACCTTAGCTGATGCACAAGCCAGCTAAGCCAATTTCAATTTGTCCTTATTATGGTATAAAAGAAACAACATGTTGGCAGCACAGACTTAAAATAAGGAAGGAAGACTTTTCTGTTTATTTTTTACTTAACCACAATAATATTTTAACAGCATCCTAAATTACCTTATTAAAATGTAGGAAGCTTGCAGACAGTGATACAAAACCTATATACTGTACAATGGCAAACACTTCTTCTAGACATGGAATACAGTATTTGTATTCAGCCAGCACACGGTTTGCCTAGTGATACATTTCTTATTGATTGTTAATTAGTAATTCAAGAGACCTGATTTTAGGCTCTCTCTCCTTATTCATTTCTTAGTAAGTATGTGGCAATGAATTATGAAAAAGCTACAAGACCAATATCATAATAATGTGGTTTATATGAGCATTTTTGATTATTTTAAAATTATATTTATTCAAAATAAAATAACGCATTCAAAACTATTGTATAATGCAACAATAATATAGTATACTTCACATACAGCGTAACTGAATACTGGCCTATCTAGCCTGTCTGATAGTTAGCTAATTGATCCAAGGATCTCATCCAACTGTTTAATCAAAAAAGACTGAATAATAGCTACAACAATATGATCTTGTTCCATAATCCCACAACCATTTGTACTAAAAAGTACTTTCTGTTCTCATTTTAAAAACAAGGTCCCATGTAGTTTCCATGTATGTCCTCTGATTTTGTGACTGAGTTGACTTGGGCAGGACCTTTAAGGATCCTGAATACTTGGAACAAATTATAACCACAAAAACACTCTATCACAGTTACTACTGTTATTAAGTAAAACTGGACTTTATTCAGTTGCGGCTCTCTGCCAGGGTGCCAGGCTACAGCTGGTCAGTATCATCTTCTATTGCAAGAAATGGAAAAACAGACAAGATTTGTTTTTTCTTCAAGTGACACAGTGCCTCATAATCCAGGATTACAATACAGTTGGCTATCTTCAATGCCTAGCACAGAAAAAGGGCAGACAAAAGCACAGCAGTAGATCACCTTGGCCTAGTAAATATCTTAAGGTCTGTTACAGGTGACAAAGCAAAGAAGTGGTTACCATTACTATGAGAATGCAAGACATTCCATATGCCTTCATTTTCATAAAGCAGCCTTCTGGGAATCCAGAGGGAACGGACGATACAGAAGGTAGATAAACCTGTTAAGAAGTAGGAAGACTAAACAACAGAAGACTGGGAACCATTTTCTAAAAAGCAACACTGCGAGCATGATGCTGAACACAGTCTACTACGCAGCACAAATGCCCTTGAATAGTGACAGAAAGAGAGGTTACCAAACTAAAATTACTTATTAGCATGCAAAGGAAACCCTTTTATTAATGAAGCATGGCCAGATACTCAAGGGGTGAAGTTATTTTAAGAACACTGCTTAAATACTGTAAGGGAAATTAAATCAATCTCAGAAGCTGGGCATTTTTCAGCTCTCTGTAAAATGATTGCTTGCAAGTTTGTACCTACACAAAAGCTCAGTTTCCAACAAGCAATTAATTAGTGACAAGAAAGTTTACATGAAACTAATAACATATCCCCATAAACTTTGAGGTTATGGTTAAACAATACCAACTTTAATACATGTAGGTTTCAATGTTTATCAGAGACCACAGTGTTTTAAACAGCACTATGGAAGTCCAATCTCGTCTTTTAAACACTTAGGTGCCTCAAGAAAGTTGCTTAACTCCACTCTTATTATATTATAGCCTTGGTCATACCATTCAATCTAACAAAAATACCTTTTCCACTTAAGTGTTTCAAGGAAATACTTTTATTTTTTAACAACAAATTCAGACCATTCTTAATGAAAATCAATAATTTTGTGCTGTGACAAAATGAAAAGCTCATAATATGAGAGTTGCTGGATGGTATCTAGTGTAAATATTGCTATTCTTTAAACTGACTGTTTCATGTCACATGATAAGTCATTTCCTCAGATACCCATTTTTCAGCTAATTGTGACACACTGATCAATTAAAGCAGTTGTCTCAAACTCTATTCCTTTGGGGTTTAGTGTGTTCTGTTCTTTGTTCCAACCTACTTGCTTTGACTAATTACTTAATTAACTGCATATTTATAACAATTCAAAAAGCTCCAAGGCATCTTGAGGGTAACTATAGATTTGAGGAAGTTAATATTTTGATTTACTTGTTTAATTATTTCGGTTTAATACTTAGATTGGACCGAAATCCAGAAGACACTAGACCCTCCAGGAAATAGGTTTGAGACCTCGTCATTAAAGCAGAACTGCAACACTATTTTATATTTTGGGGTTAGAAAACTGATGAGGATATTTCAAACTACAATAAAAGGAAAATGTATGTACACAGTAAATGTGTAAAACTTCATTCATATCACAAAATAGACCAAATTTCCAGGTACACTGTATGTGAAGCACCATATTCTGTCACTCAGAACGAGGCAACAAAACCTCCGGCGAGGTGAAGCGGCCCTATTACATTGTAAACAAGCAGGCTTGTGAATACATCTCTTTTAATCCAATAGAAATATTGCTCTCGACTCCGAAACGGTTTTGCCAATAAATGGAACTTACTTGTTAACTGTGTGTGTAGATCACATTGGAAATCTTTCTGCGATAAATATTTGCTGCTCAACTTGTTTCTGTTAGCTCGTACACAAGCAGGAAGGGCCACATCACGTCACAATTCTCGCAAACTCTCACTCTCGTCCGTGGCAGGACCACTGGTTTGCGACAACATGGCGACTTATAGTACTTTCACAAAGTTCAGCATTTTGTGCTTCATTCAAAATCTGTAACTGTTTTCTATACTGTCAATGAAGTTGTTTTGTTTTTGCGATTTAACAACCAGTCTGAGAAATTGGGACTGAAGTTCCCTTCAAAGCCTCCACCTTCTAGTTCTTTTCAATAGTCATAATTAATGTAACAATATAATTATAATATAATATATAATTGGTATTAGTCTATTTTCTTTCCTGTCAATCTGCAGTGCTGATCTATTAAATCAGTTACACACCTATGATGATTTAAGAATCTGTACCAGAACAGCTAGTTCACAGGCTCTTCATCCTGGAGGGCTTTTCATTATACCATGGACATGATTTGATCTGATTCAACTTTTCATAAAATCGGTCTATATTACTACTGCCTCCAGGTCTTTATTCAATGAGGATAACAAGTTACAGTACCAAATCCCAGATGACCATGACCCTCCAGGACCAGGAGGGAATATCCCTGCTGTAAGAAATTTCAAAATGCCAGCAAAGGGGAAAAGATTCTTTTTCAGGCTCTTCTTTCCAAAATTAGTCCTAGATAATTATTTCTTTTTGCTTTCAACAAGAATTAGGAAATGTACACTGTTAATCATTTTAGTTCACCATGACAATCCCCCAGAACATGCAGTGTCAAGACATCACAATAAAAGCCCCACTACCTCAAAACACTAATGACTATAGAGTTTGATCTGTGCTCTGAATGAGCACCTTAACAGGTTGAACTACAACAGAACAGAATGAATATTTAAAATAAAAGTGAAATCTTACCTAGCAACACAACATGAAATTAAATGAATTAGGGCCAAAACCCAGTATAACAATCCACCATTACTGGATGTATTAGATGTAGTCTGAAAATATGTTCCTGCAATAGCTAACTATTGTTAGCTAACACTGACTAACATCATAAATTTGGTGATTAAGAAGAAAAAAACAATAATGCTAAAATACAATTTATGTTAAAATAAAAACGGCAATTAAACAATAATAAAAATATTTAAAATTAGGACTACACAAATATATATAGGAGAAAAAACCATATGAATTCTCCACTTCATATTTTAAACACTCACTTCTCTAAATCACCTCCTGCCTTCTACATGTGGAGTCAGAAATTCCATAACCTTCACATATTTCCAATCTTTGACTTCATTTGAACCTTAACCACTCCTGGTCATCCTGGAACACGTCTTTCTTAGCTGAATCTAGGAAGTTGCAACAGTTTCTTAAAATACTATCGCCATTAAGAAAAAAGTAAATAATTTTACCTCTCACAAAATATTCATTTTTCTATAAGCTTGTTTTGGTTGATATTTAAGACTCCCAATACTACCAGGCTGTGATGAAGTCAGTGATGAAGACTTTGACAGGCTGACAGTTGTGCTCCTGATTTAAACTTTGGAATGGGGAAATAATCTATGATAGAGTTCCTTTTTTATACTGCTATCTGATATTTTTGTATTCTTTATGGGGGTTGATGCACTTTGATGCAGCAATAAACGTGGGAGTACCTAAGATACTGTAAGTGCAAAGGTAAATTGTGGATACTGTACATTACATCACAATACCTACCATTCAACATTAGCTCCACAGTAATAGATTATACTGTCTTTCATTTTTCTATAATTAGTTTCCATTAATTCTGAGAGTTTGCTAAACTGATTTTGATAAATCAATGATTGAGAAATACATACTATACCATCACATAAGAAACAATTGGTTCCATCTTATCTGAAATACCTTATGATATTAAGACCACTAAACATTTTTGTGTAAATTCAACTTAAAAAACAATTTTACATCAGCATCTTTAGAATGCCTGTTTGGACGAATTAACTTCCCACTGCAGATTAATTACAGCAGTCAACTACTGTTAAAATGTCGATTACGTACATTAAAATCTCTTAAGTTACATAGTACGTGAATACCAATAATTTCGGTCATTTAAAATGAAGGGGGAAACACAAGTGGACTTTAATGCTCAAAATGAAGACTTTTAAAGGTAAGATAAGTTACAGCAAATGTCAGCAAAAACTAAAAAGTATAAAATGAAATATATTGATTGTGTAACTATTCAGACCCATTAACTCATTAGCTGATGGAAGCAATTACAAATGCAAGTCTCAACCAACACTGCACACTGTACAATGGTACATTATAGATCAGTCTAATGTTTCCCGATTCTATGTGCAGATTTTCTCAACCTTTCTGAAGGTGTTCTTGCTCTTTCAAAGCTTTTGCTTGCTCCAGCAGCTCTGTTTGGCGGAACAGCCTGATCTAGGCAGTGTTTGGATGGTACAGTGCAACTTCCATTCCATGATGCCTGATACCTGGCCTCTTCTACCTTAATCACTCATTTAACTAATTCTAGTAAAGTGGATCTAAGTCAGTATTTCAGGTAGGTCCACTACATGCAATATACTGTAGATCCTCTTCAAAAGTGTTTCAGCTTGGATTGTCACTTTGGACAGAACAGGAATCAATCATCAGAAAGCCATCTCATGTGGATAACTGTAAAGTGTGCTGTATTTGAAAACAAACACAAAAATGTATTTTTGAAAAAAAAAGAAATCAGGTCAACTGTCAATACAAATAACTCTGAAGAGCAGCTGTCATGTGTACTATATCTTAAAAAAATAATTCCCTGCCTTTTTATAAACCTTGCCACAACTGAACTCCAAACTTCATTCTAAAGATGCCTTTGGCAGGCAGTCTGCCGTTCCCTTTCTGCCTCATAGTCAACATGACTTTAACTTCACAGTGAAGGGAAGCTTCCCTCTGTGCTGGCAGTGGACACCTGACCTTTCACTCAGCACATTCATTCCCAGCTTGGCACCCCAGTTCCTAAGCCCACAATACAGAGACCTGACATCCTACAGCACTTAGGTGGAGAATAAATTAATTGAAACCAGATCGCTCTTTAATGCCCCTTTCAGCAAACCAGTCAGTTCAAAATGGCACTTAAATGCATTTTTTATTACCTGCACAAAAGGATTAGAAACCAAGCAGAAGACTGGGGAGCTAAATCTAATAACAGAAATGCATTGTTTGTGCTGCTGTAATGAGATGGAAAAATGAATATGTAAAAAAAATAATGGCATACCCACTGCTGTGTTGTGTCTTGCAAGCAAATGCTTTATTAAAGCTTGCTAGAGAATAGTACAAAAATGAGCTTTCATCACTCGTCTCGCAGTCTTTTAAATACATAAATAATGTTGTGGGGGCAAAAATGCCATCTGTTGTACAAGACAACAATCCACTGATGTTTGGAAAACGTTTCATCAAGTTGCCTCACTTGCTTTACACTGCATAAATTGGAGCCCTGTAGCGGAGATTACTTCAGACCTTCGAGTATAGGAAACCCAGTAAGGGAGTTCTCTCTACGTTACCTGCTGGCTGTGGGAGGTAGGCCCCAATTAATTTTGATCTCTTCTTTTCATAGCCTTTCTGTGTGATGTCACCTGCCAAAGAAAGGATAGCCCCATTAGTGATCGTCAGCAAACAGACAAACTGAAGAGTGGTTGTGTGCCATTACTGACTGAATATTAATCACTGTGTTAAAATCTGTCAGGTCAACAGATTATAAAACACTGGAGTTACGTTAAAAGTAAATTTTCGTGCTATTTATTTATTTTTTTCAGAACAACACATAGACTGCTCCAGCAAGGTGAAAGAAAAAAGAATGGGAAATAGGGAGTTTTTTCTTACTTTATTTCTCACCAAATACAGTAACAAAAAATAAAGCCTGAATTAAACACATTGGCTATGATTTACATAACAAAGCCATGTCAGTAACAGCTGACACAAGGCATTGCCTATCAAGGCTCCATCATTGTGTCAGAAATTGGGATGGAATTCAGTGAAAGGCAGATGGAGAAAAACACAGAGAACATCACAACAGAGACATTTCTCTACAAATGACAAATATAGGAAAAAATGCCTTAAGACGTATGACTTTGACTCAGGAGAAGCAGTTAAGGAGAGAAGTGTCAGAGAGTATTAGCCACACTTTCTGAGTAGGAGCTCAAAGCTAACGCAAGACTAAGCCTTTGGAATTCCCTTCATTAATCAAAGGTGTTTATTCTAAACTAGGAGTGAAATGGAAAGCAAAACAAGGATGGGGTTATAATGAGAGGATCAGAACTTTAAAATAAAATGGGGGTTCATGGAATGGTACAATTTTCAGGTAATCATTTAAAATGAATGAGGGTATGATTTACTAGGCTTTTAGAAACCTAAAAACAATTAGTCCAGAAAAATGTAAGATCTGGAAAAACCTGCATGTAGTACACAGTAGTTTGTAGAATTTAATTTTCATGAGAATCCTTATTGGAAGGTCACAAACAAAAAAATGAAAACTATTGTATATACTGTACAGCAAAAAAACTAATACAGAGGGAATATTATTTTCAATATCAAATGATAAATCAACAAGTATAAAAAATAGAACACATGCATTATTTCTGATATATTATTACTGACACCAATTATAAACTATTCTACAACTTTGTCTTAGTATAACTACTAAAAGTCCAAAACATAGTCTGATCTGATGCAGACATCCTATAAAAACAGATGCACTAACAAACATATTACATTATTTCCCTTTCAATCTGGTGATGGAACAACCATTTCACAACACAGTGACTGAAAACTGCAAAAAGTATGAATGCTCAAGAAAATATTACCAGCAGTCTTGTTTTTATAAAAAAGGGCTATGTTCACAACTTGTTTTTTTGCATGTTTTTATCTCAAGCTTTTTACATGGATAGAAGATTCAAAGTGATAGATTTGTTCATACTATTTCTTCAAAGATGGTCTATGTATTTGGAAATCTGTGCCTCTGTTTATGGTTTATGGTACTTTATTATTATTATTATTATTATTATTATTATTATTATTATTATTATTATTATTATTATTATTATTAGCAGTGCACTCTATACAAAGTAAAAAATGCACACAGCAAAGTGTAGCACAGTAGTAGAGCCCTTACTGCTTGTTAGTTTGTAGTAATGCAGGGAAGACTTTCATTCTGGGGAAAAATGGGCTAAGTAAGTAAATATGTGTCTTTGCGATGGTGTGTGTGCAGAGCGGCTCAGCGCGTCCTCCCTGCTGTGCTTCCTGTCTCATCTCGCCGGGGGGTGGTACGCCGCGCGGGCCGTGCCTCCAATGGGCGCCTTTCACATTGGCGATAATTAATAGAGCGCTGACCTTCAGCTCTAATTGCACGTCACCCAGCGCCGCCGGCAGTCTGAGATGCGCAGCGGAATTAGTCATTAACTTGATAACTTCCAGATTCTTCCTGGCAGTGCTCAGGTGTTTAGCTTGTTAATGAGAAGTGCAGATCACTGGCCAGCAGCCAGGGTGGCAGCCTCTCTCCCTTCTCTCCTGCTCTCTCTATCCTATTGCTTTCTTTCACTTTTGTGAACGGAGAGGAAGGGACCCCTTGGGCCAGACATTTGACATTAGTTTTAATTACACTGAAGAGTAAAGTAGAGACGAACTCCCCAGCTGTGTTCATTACCTCTCAAAGTCCAGTTTCTCTGCTGAAAGTGCTCCAGAAAAAATAAGCTGGTTACTGATTTGCAAGATACCTTTTAAAAATTCTTTTCCAAGTGATTAATTTCACAGAAAAGCATTAATTATTCAAAGTTTATTCTTGACAAGTTGGGTGCTGTTTATTATTATT